GGAGGGGCTGATGGCCAGAGTGGCGATGTCGTCCGCGTACCCGAATCGCGCGTTCGGGTCGTCTTCAAGTATCTCTGCGATGTAGAGCAGAAAGGCAATGGGAGATAGTGGTGACCCCTGAGGCAGCCCGCATGACAGCGGGAAGTACTCCGTTGTGCTTTCTTCCAGTCGGACTCTAGCGGTGCGGTTGCAGGCAGAAGCTAAAGATCAGTCTGGTCAGGCCCATGTGGCCATCCCTGCTGACGCAGTCTAATGACGAGCCGGTTCCGAAGGACGGAGTCGAACGCCCCTTTTACGTCCATAGTCCAGAAGTGTCGCCGTGAGTCCTTTTAGGAGGGCCATCTCGATGTCGTGGGTGAGGCAGGTCGTCAGATCGACGGCTGACCTGCCTTGTAGAGCCCCGATCTGTTGCGGACTGATGATGCGCTCGACAATCGCCAGGGACGCCATCCTTCTGGCTATCAGTCGCTCTAGTCCCTTGCCCAGGCACGAGAGGAGCGCGATCGGCCGCCAGGACCCGGGCTTGGGAGGCATCCCTGCCGGCCTTCTGGATCATGACCACCTCAGCTCTGCGGAAGGGCAGAGGGAAAGTGGCCGGCCCGCATACAGGACTGGAATAGCTGCCTGACCGGTTCCGAGATGACATCCCAGCATGCCTGGAGGAGGCGTGTTGTGATGCCGTCCACACCAGGGGTCGTTGTCTTTGTTAAGGTGGCCGTCTTCACTTCTTCTCCGCTAACATTGTCCTGCCAAGTAATCGCTCGCCTCGGGACGACGGGTACGTCAAACGGGTCACCCGGTGCGTCATCTTCCGCACTAAACCTGTCGAGAAGGGCTCCCGAAGCGCTTGAGCCTTTTCGTTAGTATCCTCGATCGTCTGGTTGTCCACAACCAATGGGGGTGCTCTGGTCAGTAGGCTCGCCTTCCGCCAACCCATGATCTGGTACAGGTCCCGGTCTGAAGCGACTCCATCGATCTTTCCGGCCCAGTATGCTCGCTTAGCCTTCCTCACCGTGCTCAGGAACGCCTTTCGTTTCTCCATTAGATAAAGGTGCGCATCTTGCTCCGTCTCCCAGGCTTGTTGGTTGCGGGCAGCACGGTATGCTCTGTGGGCCTCTGCGCATTCCTCCGTCCACCAAGCCGCGCCTTTACCATGTTTTCCTCTCTTCTTGCCGACCGCCTCAATGGCTCGGGAGAAGAGCTCGACGATGTGACTTGCCTGCCCGTCCAGGTCTTCCGGAGTAGGTTGATCCCCCAGATTGGGCATCGCAGCTAGCCCCCCTTCGATCAGGTCTCTCAGCCGAGGCAGCGCCGAGTCGGGCACTGACAGTGGCCGTGGCTGCGGGTGGCCCTCTCCCTGTGACACTGGGCGTTTGAGTAGTGGTATGACGGCCACGATGGCCTCGTGGTCAGCTCCCGGGTGTAGCTGTGGGCTGACCTGCGCGTGCGCAAAAGGGATATTAGAGAAAGCCAGGTCCAGGACATGTCCGCAATCCTGGGTTGCCACCCCAACTTCGCTGATAAGAGAGAGATTGTGGCCGTCTGCCCAGCCTGCGATGTCATCTCCCCGGTTCCCGTTCCTCGTCCCGGGCTCCCAAGAGTAGTGATGCGCGTTGAAGTCACCCGCGATCAAAGCTCGCTCCGGGGGTTTGAGTTCTAGCAGTATCCCTGTTGTGCGGCTGTGGGGGTCGCGGGGTTGTCTGTACACGTTGACGATAGTCGTCGTTTTGTCGACCACCAGCCACAGTACGTCTCTCGTGTGGACAGGCCTCTGCTGCTCCACCGTCATCCCTATCCCTTTGCGTGTGTAGGTCAATACTCTTGGTCTGGTTCCTTCGCTGTCCCAGAAGTCGACCGGGACGAAAGAGTCGAAACCCGGGTGCGTGTTCAGTTGCACGTTTCCGTCCTTCCAGCCCGTCCAGGGTTCCTGGACGAGGACCACATCTATCTGAGCCTCCCAGCAGAGCTGCAGGAAAGCCGTGTGCGCCGGGGAGATCTTTCCGACGTTGCCCTGCGCAACGCGTAGCATCCGTGGGGTCGCCGCTCTCGGCTTACGTCTCCGAGTCGAGTTCGAGGTGGGTGTAGGCATTCGCGACGTTGTAGTTTGGCTTCTGTGCTGCCCGTTGGCTCCTGCTTGGCATGGGTAGCACGGGACGGTCGATGGAGGTGTTGTCGGGGGAGTCTTCGCCTTCGCCTTCGTCCGCCTCGTCTTCATCCATGCTGCTGCTGTCAGTGCTTCCGTCACCGAGGCAAACGATCGAGCTTGCGGAGGGCGTTCTCGTGCGCGCGCGCTTGGCGCCGGGTTGCTGGTTCTGGCTGGTGGAGGTAGGGACGCCTGCCGCCTCCTGGCTACTGTCGGATCGAGTAGCCTTGTACAGAGTGTCCGATGCTTTCTGGCCGGCCTTCCGGATCCGAGCCCGCTCCTTTCGACCGGGAAGGGAGACGACGCCGTTTACGGCCGAGGGCCTCGCTGGGCAGTCTGTGTGGCTGGCTTGGAAGGGGCCGCAGCAGTTGGCACATTGGGGCCTGGCCATGCAGGGTCCCGTTTCGTGTGAATCGGAAGGTCTTCCGCAGTTGCTGCAGATCGGTCGTCGTCCGCAGAACCGGTTGGAGTGGTAGCCCTGGCAGCCGGGGTCGTGTCGGATGAGCGTCCTTCGTTTCTTGACGGGCAGAGATCTGCCGCTTTGGTTGAAGAGCCTGAAGGGCGTGACCTCTGATGTGAATGATATGAGCCAAGATATTTCGTTCGTGACTGGGTTGGGCCCAAGGCGGGACGGTCGAGCAAGGACAGGCTTCTGTCCTGTCTGTGCGAAGACCTCATCTTCAACGAGTGTGGCTGGGTCCAGGACGTCCCCGCCAATGCTGTGTAGTTTTGTTGGGCATCGCGGCACAACGTAAGTGTACCACTTGATAGGCGTCTCGACCTGGTGGGCGCCGAGGCATTCCGCCAGCTTTGCCTTACTTGCAAGTAGTCTTTCCTGTATTTGCTTGTTTCGCGGCTTCAGAGAGTAACCTGTGCTGATATGGTAGACGTGGGGAAGGTCCGCTAGCCCCAGGCCAACGGCCTTACAGACGATCTGTCGTACGGCGAACGGTGCGATCTTCCGAGCGGCCGCTAAGCTTTCTTCCGGGACGCGGGCAAAGATGCGGAGGTCCTCCTTCGGCTGCGCCTGCGGCTGATCCTCGGCGGGGAGTGTGGCCTTCGGGCGGGCAGAGCTCTGGCAGCTCTGGCCGCTCCGGGTCGCCGCAGTGGTGTTGCCCGCCATCGGTGCGACGACAGCCGCCCAACTCCGGGCCGCTATTGGGCTTGTCTCGTGATTGATCAGTCTCTTGAGGGTTTGAATGACATAGGCAGTGGCTTCTTTCGCGATCTGCTTTCTAGAACCGTCAAAGCTGGCGACAACGCTGTCGACGGACCGTGCAATGGTCAGAAAGACGTCTTTCCGTGCCTCGTACTGTCTAGCTTCTTCTGCAAGGGCTGTCAAGACGGACCCTGTGGCAGATCCGCTCGGAGCAGATGCGGTAGAGGCTGCGGGCCCCTCGGCCGAGGTAGGGGCGTCGGTGGTGGCATCAAGCTGGCTTCCCGTTAGGCTGGGCCGGGTCGGCTGTGCCTCGACGTCGCGGCGTCGCTTAGCTCTTGAGGTGGGGTTCGGCTCCGGAGGTGTCCCGGAGCCTGGTTCGGGGTCGGCTTGGTCGGCCGACATCAGTCCGGTGCCCGACGGCGGCTGTGAGGCCATCGCGGATGCGGGCTCCGGCAAGGGGAGGTGAAGAGTTTTCGGCTGTTAGTAATTTGGTGGTAGGCTCACTCATTCACTAACAGCAGATGCCAAGAAAAATTAGGCGAGAGGGAAGTTGTGAATCGTTTGTATTTCACCGAGAGTTTCCACCACTTTTCCATCACACACTGTATTTGAGTTGAGTATACCTCCATCCTTACGAATAGCTAATTTTCAGTGACAATGACGCTTAAAGCCAATTTAATTGCAGGTGACGCTCCCAAGTAAACGGAAACTCCGTCATGAACACAGAAGCCCGTCCTGGATATAAAGAATCATCCACGCAAATCGTGCCTTGTCCGTGACTATGCTCCAGAGCGGCACTGCACTCCTTAATAGTCCTCCAGTCACTCCTTAACAGTCCACAATGATGCGACACGCATTGACTTTACTTCTCCTCTCCACGGCCATCAATGGCCAGATCGCTTCTCCCGACAGTCCTTGCAACCCTGAGTCGCAGGATGACGGCGACGTTTTGGCCGAGAGAGCCGTCAACCCTAGCATCAAGCCCCTACCAAGCGTGAAGCCGGCACCAGGCCCGAAGCCGGCCCCGAGCGTCGTGCCTCCCCGAAACCAGACGTCCTCTCACATCCCCACGACGTTCTCCAAGTCTGTTCGCATCACCACATCCTCTCATTGGAGCAGCTATGTGCCATCCTCCTCCCGAAAGCCGACATGGAGTCAGCCTCCTTCCTCTACCCGGAAGCCCAGTCAACTTCCTTCCTCAACGTGGCATAGCAGTGCCATGAAGCCGTCGTCCACTCCGGCTCCGGTCCATGTGAGTAACGGAGAGACAGTTGCCGCGGCCGTCGGCGCGGTGATCATCGGAGGAATCTTGGGCGGCTTTGTCATGGCGCCCTCAGGTGCGATCCTCCCCATTGCGGCTGGACAAACTGCCGTATTATCAGCGGCCGCCGGTTCCGGAGCCGCTGGATCGATGCCCGAATTTGAACTGGATCCTATCGACGATAAGCCTGACCTGCCTGAGTCCGTTCCGGAGGTTAAACCTACCCAGCAGAAGCCGACTGAGAAGCCCACCGAGAACCCTGCGACACCCACGCAGGTCCCGACCCCCTCGCAGTCTTATGATCCGGAGACTGCCTCCGAGACCTACGATCCATGGACTTCCTCTGCTGTTCCATGGTCCTCTTCGGCTCCCCCATCGGAGTTCCCTTCCTCGACCAGCGCGCCCTTCTCCTGGACATCGTCGGAGCCTGCCTCCTCTCTTGTGACGACCTCCTCTGTGTGGAGCACTACCATTGCCACGTCTACTTCCTCGGCTGCCCCGACCAGCACGGCTCTCAACTGGATCGATCATGACAAGGTCGCCGCCTTGAACGAGGCCACGTCTCTAGGTTTGGAAGGACAACTTCAGCTCCGTTTCAATCCCGAGCTCTTCATTTCCGGAGGTTGTGATCCCTACCCGGCGGTCGATGCTTTTGGAAGCCTCGGGTAAGCAGAGCCCCTTTCGTAACACCATTACAAACTAGCATAAGCTAATTTCTACTTACAGAGCTGGTTTGAGACCTACTGGTGGAGGACGAAGCGGATGCGGTAATGGCGGCACAGGACAGGTCTACGTCCGACGTGGAAGCAGTCAAGGCCGCACCGCCGTCATGTACTCCTACTACTTCCCCAAGGTCCGCTGGGCCAAGGGAAACAACAATGGCCACACCCACTACTGGGCCAGCATCGTCGTCTGGGTCAACCGATGGGGCTGCGATGGCGACTCGGATGTATCAGCAGTGTTCCCCGTCGGCGTATCTTTCACCAAGGACCACACGGTATGGGATACGGCGATGACAGGCGACATCTCCTACTTGCAGTCGACGCACCCCAAGATGCAGATTCACGACAACGCCATGTCACCGTTCACCGGCGCTGATGGCGATAAGGTCTTTGAGCGCACACTTATCGCTTGGGATGCCCTTCCCGACGCGGCTGAGCGCTCGCTGTCCGTCGTTGAGTACGAGAAGACTCAGGTGCCGTTCATCGACGCCAACTTCCAGACCAACCTCGATGCTGCGTATAAGGAAAGCTTTTACGGCGCCTTGACTGATCAGCAGGGATGCGGCGGCACCAACTAGGTGTGGTGAGCTTCGTGTTCGCCAGGATAAGTACCTGACGGTAGCTGGATAGATGATGCACTCTGGTACAATATAATCACAAATTCTAGTCGTTTGGTGTTGAATATGGCGTGCATGTCTGAAGACTCGCTTGGGACCTCTACAACGTTGGCGACATCGAGCACAATAGTGACGGATTTAGTATTAGTTTCACTGAGTCTTGGCCAGAGACAACGCCCAAGACTTTATTGAAAATCAACAGGGTAAAGTGGCCAACCGGATCGAATACCGTACGTGAGCATGATTTATACACTACTCGGAATGGTTGGAAGAAAGGTCGGCATTCCGAGACCATCAATCTCGGGCACGTAACCAAGTCCTCATCCCACCGGCGAAATCTTGCCTATTACAACAGAGGGTCCCCATGCTTCAAATCCCGGAAATCCCACTCAGACCGTACCATTGGAGACAACCATCCATCCCCCACACCCTCAGCGACACGAAATCTCCTATGAAACCACGAAACAGAGCTATCCACTGCCATATTTGTCGCTAATCTAGCAGAGCCCGCGTTCCGGCCGCCCGTAACAGGCAAGGTGGAGTAGTGACAACGTCAAGCGCGGGGCCGGATTTGCTTCGAAAATGCACGAAATGCGGGGAAATATGGGAAAGATGGGGGTGAAGGATGGTTAGCGTTCACGCCGGTTAAGCCTGATCCGGTAACTTTCCGCCGGCTAGTTGCCCTATGGGTTTTCCGCGGGTTTTATTCCCCTTCACGAGGTGCTCGTGGATGTGCGAGGACGCCACTGTTGGGCAACGACTTCTCCAATGGGTGGCTATGTGTTGTGGATGACGGAGGGTATATAAAGGGAATCAGAACTCTTGAGCGATGAACGGATTACCGCAAGCTCGACATTATCTGGTGTAACTTTCGCAAAGCGCTCTGCCATTAGCAAGAACTATCACCATCCCAACCAGCCCGCAGCATAGACGAACCAAACTGTAGACACCTACCTCATTCCTCTTACTAGAAATATCACAATGCCTCACGCAGAGTCACCGACCCCTGATGCCCCTCCCACCCTCAACGGTGTTCAACTACACGTCAACGATGACCTCCTCTCCGCCAACGAAGTCGAGCCCCTCATCCAATCCCACCTCACAGAAGACTTCGACGTCCTCCGCCAACGCTACCGTCAACATGGCTACCTCCTCATCAAGGGCCTCATCCCCCGTGAAGATGTCCTCTCCGCACGCGAATCATATTTCAACTCCCTCGCGCCCTCGGGTGTGATCAAGCCCGGCACATCCCCGCGAGAAGGCATCTTCGACGACGCAAAGTCCGCCGCGGATTACCCCGGCATCGGCGCCGGTAGCGCCAAGAACGCGGCGCCAGGCGAGACGGACCGCTCTGAGATCTTCACATCGGCGGCCCTGAAAGCGCACACCGAAGACTGGTACGCCGGCTCCGAGGACGGCTCGGTCCGGGGCTTCTGCAATCACCCTGCTCTCCGCAACTTCGTCGCCGAGTTCACCGGCTGGGGCGACGAGAACACTCTGACGGTGAAGCGTACGCTCCTCCGCAACAACACACCGGGAAACAAGGCCATTGGTGTACACTACGACCAATCCTTCATGCGCTACGGCGAGCCGACGTCAGTAACGGCGTGGGTTCCAATCGGCGACGTCCGGCTCGAGGGCGGCGGGTTGATTTACATGCAAGACGGCGAGAAGCTGGGCGAGGAGATTGAGAATGAGTTCACGACGAAGGCGAAAGCCGCGGGAATGAGCGACGAGGAGACAAAGAATGCGTTCAACTCGAACATGATGAGCACGGGGTTCCTGTGTGATGGGCCAGCAGATTTTGGGCGGAGGTATGGAAAGAAGTGGCTGGTGAGCGCGTATGAGGCTGGTGATGTTGTGTTCCATTCAGCACATATGGTAGGTTTGCTCCGCTTGTATACCACATATTTGCAGGTTGCTGACCGTTACGCTAGATCCATGCTTCGACCAAGAACTACGACCCCGAAGGGCGCATCAGACTTGGAACGGACTTGCGCTTTGTTGATAAGCGCCGTCCATGGGATACTGTAAGCCATTGTTTCCTGCCACGCCTTGCTCGAATAATGCCTCTGACAAAAACATCAGCGCTGGGATAAGCACTATAGCTTCAATGATGGTGTCTAGCCCAATGGCGGCCACGGCGCGCAAAACCGAGGATATCATACGTTGCACACTCGGGATGCAAGGTTGTTTGAGGTGACATGATAGAATCGACAACGATTATGATGCATAGCCAGTGAAATTGAATCATCTTGATTGAAAGCTATCAAGCTGAGACCATTGTTCCTTCAAAGTCTTGACCAACGCCCCCGTCTTCCATTGCACAATAGTCCTTACTTGTGCAAGATATTTGATTGTGTGGTCTCGTTCGAGGGGATGCCTGATTAGATGACCGCCTAAGAATAAGTTAGATTCCGCAGCTAGATAGCGAGCACATCGTGGCAGCCGACTTACACAAGGACAGCATATGTGCGGGCAAGTAGTATGCGTTGACAGCCTCGTTCGAGCGAGCTAAGCCCATGAGCATACATAGATAGAACGTAATTTCACGCTGTGAGATGCTTAGCAGAGTGCAAGCGGACCCTTGCGGTCCGTGACTGACCTCGCTGTCCATCCTCTTCTTCGTTCCTTCAAATCCTGCCGTTGGATTTGAGCTGTTGTAATCCTGGAAGCAAAATATCGCTTTTGAAGCGTAGTAGTACCCGAGAGCAACAGTGCCTACATGAGCATTGCTGTCAGTGACTATTCTATCCCGCGAAACCAAGCACTTTGAAAGACAAAACAGCATTCGTTAGATCAAGGTTCATACCTGGATCTGCGGCCATCCACAGCGTCGGAAATGGTCTCGCTTTGGCTACATCCGCTCGCTCATAGAAAAGAGGCTGAAAAGAAAGTGGCTTCTCTTTGTACCACACGTCTACGTCATTCTGCAACTCTCCCCAGGCCTCCGAGCTGCTCGTCCTGAAACCCGACCCATCTTCTGGGAAGAACAGCTTCAGGACTTTGGCAAATAGGTAGACGATCCGGTTTGCATGCGCGGTATCGTTATTGCTCCTAAAAGTCGACGACCTCTCGAAATTCTCTAGACAGATCTCGATAGGCGTCCTGCGGACTAGGAACACGTAGAGGGCCTGGCGAAGATGAACCCAGCTCGCGGCCTCGGCCAGGCCGCCTTGCGTCACGAAACGGGCAATGGCGTCATGATTCAGCAGATTCCGCGTGCCTCGGAGGTGGTGGTAATGTGAGTCCGTCTCATTGTCGCACTCCTCGTACAGACGCATGATCACGACGGCCGTCAGCAGGATTGAGTCCCACGTTTCCGGGGGCTGGGAAAATGCTTCAATGAGCAGTTCGATGCAGCGGTTGTGGTAGTACGTGCTCTCCAAATCGGACTTTTCGATGGCATCGTCGTTCCCTTGTGTGTCGAAGCGACTAGCTAGGGCGAAAATTCCGTTTAGCAAGATCGGCTTGCGGAGGGCGAGGCGGGGAACATCGAGGGTGAAAGGGCGGGCATCGTGACATGCGTCAATCTGGGATTATTAGACACTGTGCTCTCATCGGAAAGATGAGTAGGTAAGCTGGTCAGAAGACAATACTCACCGAAGGCGCTATTCTCAAGATGTATGTGCGAAATAAGAAAGCCTGGCGTCCGGTGAAACCGCAGTGCTCCGGGTCCACGGGCTGAATGCGAAATTCTGCATCCGAAATGAGACTCTCAGCGCGCTCCGAAGCAATTTGATGTGAGGACCCAGCCTGCGTGGACGGCGAATCTCCCAAGAGATACGAAATCTGGAGCTGAGGCTGCACCTCTCCCGATTGCCATTGCCCGCTATCCGAGGCGATACCATCTCGGGTGGAGTCGAGATACCCGGGGCTCGAAGTGAAGCTATCCCGGTGTTGTCGGCTTTCCCGCGGTGGCCCGCTGTTCAACACGAAGCCGATGGGCGCGCTGCCGTCACCGTGAGATCCATGCCCGGTGAATCGTTGTGCGGGGGCCTCGGCTCGGAACGTGTGCGTAGCCGGCGGTGAGTAGTCGAAGTTGAGCTGTCCTTCATATGGTGTCAAGCCGTGCGGGGATGCGTGGGATGTGAAGCTGTTGCTTCTGTCGCCCGCAGCGGACTGGACGGCCGGTGACGAAGATGCCTCGGTTACTGCGTCGTCTAGACGACTTGCTTCGCTCTTGCGCCGGGCTGGGTAGAGAGTGTAAGTTTCTGACGTGTATGGAGGGATTGTGTGATCGGCAATAGGACAAAACTGAGATGGGGCGCAGAAGACATAATCTAAAGAAGGCCAACTCGGGGGCTAAGAGAAGGGGAGGGTGGGCTCGGCAAAGCATCATCTGAGAAGGGAAGGTCAAGTCAAACCTCGGTGATCCGCCTTCTGAACTCTGTCTCCGGAGAGTACCGACTTTCTGGAGCTGCCCGGCGCATGCTTAAAGCGTAACGTCGTGTCAAAGTGACACTCGAGATCAGCCTCGACGCAGGCGCCGCATCCCGTCGCGCCGGGCTGCACAACGCACTTACGGTGACGCCGCCGGCAGGCGTCACAGCAGCGTCGGGGCTTCATGTACGGTCCCGGCCGTCGGAGGAGGGGAGCCTTTTGTTTACTCTTGTCCTCTCTCGCCCGCCGAGGTCCTACGCAGAAGTCCGAGTGTCATCCGACTGTGAGCCCATCTGTTCGGCTTTCTCCTAGGTGTGTTGCGGTGTGTGACTGTGCCCTTGTTTGCGCTTGACCTTCTCTCTGCCTTACCTCGGAGAGTAATCAAGTTGACTCTGAATGGGCCGTTGGTGGTGGGTTTGCTTGCCGGAATGGGAGCGGGGTGAGCAGACGACCGTACGATTTTGCGGGGGTGGAATGAAGAGAGTTGAATCCCGCGGGATACATGGCCTTTTGAAGACATGGGGAGCGCTTGGTCGGGGCTCGGGATCGACGCTAGGCGGGGGATAAATTGCGGGGTGAGCCCCCTCGATGGACAAGTTTGTTGTCGGAGCCGTGACTTGTTCTGCGTCACGTTATACCTCTTGTCGCCCAAGGGTCCTGTAGTTGAGCAGTGTATCCATATCAATCAGAGTCCCGCCGGTTCCTGATGCAAGTTGAAGTACTCTGTAGCTTGGCCGACTGAAGTGGTCATCGTGAAGAAGTCACCGGTCGCCGGCGATGTTGACGGTCCGACGGAGAGAATACCTCGTCAGCTGGGAAGCATGTCGAGTCATGTTCAACAACCCGTGGAGGAAAGCCAACGAGCAACCTCCAATATTCAATCATAGCCACTTGAAAGAGACACCATGGAGGTACTTATAAGGCTGCCGAGAAGAAGCTCTCCGAGAGTCCGGCCAAAATCCCGCCCGATCTCCGGCCTTGCTATCCGGTCCTGGCCCAGGGTCCAACACGAGGCGTCATTCAAGCCAGATCTAGACCACAATCGCCGTCCATTACCTATACTAGAGATCCCATACCACCACCCAGAATCTGATATCTCGATGAGGTTCATTTCTCCGATCAGTGCTGGTGTGTAGTAGGAACTTCCAGCCGCCCAGCCTTAACGCAGGACACGGCCAGCCCGACTTCCCAGCCCATCACCTGTTTTGAGTGAGCCAGTTTCACCTCATCACCAGCTTACACGAGACTCTCCCACCAAACCCGCGAAAATACACGTCGATCGTCTTCGATTTTCACGGGCGTATATCATTGATCAACGATATTGAACAACATAACTTGCAGCAACTCAATACCATAAGCCCAACGAAAGCTCACACATTTTTGGCGATCATTACAACAGTCTCAACTATAATCTGTGAAGAAATTGATGGGTTCACACTGTAAAACGATGAAGGCACGACCCGCGAAGCATCGCTATTACTAACAACATCAAGGCACAGGCTCTTGCAATTTCTAGTTACTTACTCAACTCATCTATGGCCTGCTAAGATTATATCATGTTTATTCGAGTGGATCTTGTGAAACTAGGCAAGCTGTGTCTATTTGCTTCACAAAAGCCTCTCTATGACACTCGATGGCTAGATTCAATCTGGCAACATCCATCGCCATCAGCGTCTAGCAGGTGACTAAGTTGGCGCGATATCTGTGAGCATCGCGAGCATCACGATGGACCATTGAAATCTCACGCTGCGATGCGAGTAACTGAAGTATATCAGGGAAACCAGCGAGAGGCGTGGGCCAAGTCCCATATTCCATCGAGTCTGAGTTGATGGCTACCTAGTAACTGAACCGAGAGACATCTCATGCAAATATGACCCCGCAGAAACACTGCACTTATCAGCAGTTCATTTGACTATTTCTATCGATGGTGAACCAAAGACGGTTCATAAATATCACGTTTCAAGGCGAAGAACTCACTCCTGATGAAGCGCATCGCCGCACTGGCCACAAATCTACATCGCCCTATTGAAAGATGATCATCAGTTCCCTCAACATCCGTTCTCATCTTTTCATTAGTGCCCCTCAAAAGATGGCATCCCGGCTAACTTCCGGCAGTGAGAAGAGTTGAAGTTGATCCATTCCTCTAGTCCCCTTTTATCGTGGGATCTGGTGAGCATGTCATCAGCGTGTCACTGTCGATTAGCCCACCTGACTTCCTCCAGAATACGCCGCCTCCGGGCTCAGGTGAGCAGTGGCTGAACGGAATCCGCTGTGCAACTTGATCTGCAGGTGAATAGCTCAAGAGATGACCGGTAGGTTCTGCATTTCCCATCTCACGCCTCATTCTTCCTTGGTTCAGTCACAATAGTGATTGCTACCCGCTATCAAAAGGGTGTTTGAGCAATCCTGTGGTATGAAGACCCTGTTGGAGAACGCCTTCATGCCTGTTCTTAAAGGTAACCGAGAAAATCTATGCTATGATAGCTTTTCGTTCACCTTGCTTCTTAGCTGGAGTTGCTGCAAAGGTCACGACGACTTCTAGGCCGCTTCGGCTCATCCTTATGTGATCGGAAGGCCATGACATGACTAACGGAATGTCACTGATTGGTTGACTTCAGGTGGATCTCGGAGGTCTTAGGTAATCGCTTCTTTTGAGCCAAGCTAAACCTGATAAGGAGTGGCGTACTCGTGGTAAGGCACGTAGCTGATCTGAGTACCCGGCGGCTCAGATCTGGTTTTGCTGCGATCCTTCTTGATTTTGAGATCCTCCAGGGCATTGCATATGAAAGTGTACGATCGAGAGGGTGCCATCTCGTACCAAAGTTGATGATGCGGGCGTTGATACCTCCTGTCTGTTTCTTCAATGAAACACTGTTGCCATCTGCTTAGCAGCCCAAAAGGACGAGACGTCAGAACAATCTAAATCAAACCGGCCCCGGTCTCCGAGCAGATTCGGTCACCGGCAAGCACATTGCCCCATGACAAGACGGCTCTCGGATCCGAGGACCCGCGGCGACGCGCAATGGGCCCGGGTCGACCTGCTCGTTTGGCTCCGTATCCGTCTCCGATTGCGTCCTACTCGGATCAAGTTTGAGTCACTCAAAGGGATTCCGGCACCGGACACAGTTGTGTGACCTGTAGCCAAGGCCAAGACCAGAGTAATGAAATTACACTATCTCGTACAGACGGTGACCAGTGACCAAGGTGCAGCCAAGAAGCCAGGGCCAAGTCAAGTGACGCGTCTCCAAACTCGCACCGGGCGGTCTGGGGCCTGGGCGCCCTTCAGGGCATGACACCTGGCCTCCTCACAGCGAGAGAAGTAGAAATTGCAGTCAAGTTAAGACACGAAGATTTACGACAACACAGACGAAGCAACGCACATAGCCACGGATGGAAGTTGAATCTGACTTATCCGTTATCTGGTGATGTCGGCTATCTCTAGTCCCGCGGCCTGAGCTTCGGAATAGAGCGGGAGCACTCAGCCCCATGGGGTAAGCGGGAACGCCCATCACTGAGTGGTGGGCGATGTGACTATGGAAAGAACCGGGTACTCTGTATGCAGTGACGTTCTAATCGCGGGGGTTAAAGTGATGCGGGTGGACGGTTTGAGATTGGGGAAAGGGGGATATATGCATTGCCGGTAGTGGTGATGGCTTGTTTATCCTCGGCGCGAGAAGATCATAGGGAGAGGGTGTTGATGATTGGGCTTGGGGTTGCTAGCAGTGATACGCAAAGAGGTCATCATCGTAGGCCAAGCCCACCTAAGGTCACCATAGGCGGGTGACTGAGAAAGAAGGGGAGGAGAGTCATGATGAGCAGCTTATAGTGAGCATGAGCAGTTTGTCGAATTAGACAACGTCCGAAGTCATTGACTTGTTGCCGTCTTCCGAGAGTCTCCTTTCAAAATCGGCGCCCGAGTTTCGCGGTATGAAGATTGGGTTTACGGTTTACGAGCATTGAGTGCAGAGTCCCACCGGCACAGTCCTCCGTCCGCCCAGGAGCCCCTCCTCGGCCCCGGCAGACATGTCCAAACACTGAGCTTTCTTTCTCATAGCGCATTATCCATAGCAGAATCGCAGGTAGTGGATGGAGAGAAAATCGGTGATGCTGAGGCTGAGACTGGCTGTGTGACTCGCTTCCGCATTTGGCCGAAGCAAGTTCCCGCCCCGCTCTCCTAAAAATTTCTAGATCCCGAAGACGGCCAGTTGGGACAGCCAGTCGGGCCAGGTCTTTCAAGGTTCCTTTCCCCCCCCTGAGGCTTGGTGCCCTGCTGCACCCGTTCTCCCTCAAGGTCGCGAGGTGACAGTGGCTAGATGTCACTGGGCATATGTTGTTGGGTGTAGAAATACTTAACACTATTGTGAGCCCCCGGTACATCAGCTCATGGTAGGTACGAAGACCACACCTTGACTGTCCGTACCTCAAAGTACTAAGGTACCTACATCCCCAGTGCCTTCAAGATTGACTCGTGTGATTCAAACTCCATCTTCTTATTCCCATAACTCCATCCTCTTACGATTACAATCAAACAAGACACCACATTCAAATCACACCGAATCCAATCCGACAACAAGTAGACGATAACGAGACAGTTCCCAATCAGCCCACGAAAGGACTAGTCCCCCGTAGGAAAAAAAAAAAACCACAGCTCAAGGTCGTTCTCGCCCACGATGAACTGCCCTTCGCGCAACGACGACATCACACTGGAGCATCCGGACTGGAACCAGAACCCGCCCTTCCTCTCCGCCGATCTCACCACCTGCGAGGATCTGAACGGCATCGCTAACGCCCGCGAGCAACGCAGGGCCCGGGGCGGCGCCGGCGATGGATCCGACGGCCGGGGTGACGACATGAATTACCAGACGTTGCCACGTCTGCAGCCCGATCGGAGGCTGCGCGTTTCGGGAGGATGGAAACACGGTGAGTCCCTGATTTTCATGAAAAAATCTTGTTTGATGATGATGTTGGCGGTGTCGTGGTTATGATGATGCGGAGACGCACCGGCGACATCAAGGTCCCCTCTCCCATTTCTCACCTTACTCACCGATCTCGGTGTGCATGCAGCATCGGCCGGCATCATCGTCGACACTCAACCACCAAATCTGCAAAGACTGACAACTCCCAGGTTTCCATCCCCGAAACAAAAAGGTGCATGGTGGTGATGACCATACACCTCTCCTCTGGGCCTCTGCGCCCGCCCGCTCCGCCCTCTGGGGCTGGGTGAGCTGGATCCTGTCCGTCCTTGGCTGCTCAGCCATTATCTCTGCCCTCAAGAGCCCCGAGGCTGTCGCGTCTTTCCTCGTCGCGACTAAAAGAACTACTCATAGTAAGTATATTCCCCTTAATCACAGTCCCTTAAAAGACGGGTCTCGTCGACCCTTTGCCCACATGTATCAACATACAGATCTCATCTCATCTTACTCAACACTGTCTCACCTTACTTATACTCCTCTCATCCCGTCTTAACTTACCACCAAGGCCTCAACACAATGTAAGCTGACAATTTCCCAAGCTGTCACCAAGCGACATGCCCATACCTATGACCATGGTCGCATCACCGCTCGCTCAACCTGTCCGACCGGTGGCCTCGGCGACGAAACAGCCTACAACACGCCCCTCCACGTCGGCGCCCTCTTCATCATCCTCGCAACCTCCTTCCTCGCCTGCGCCTTCCCCCTCATCGCCAAGAGCATCCCCGGCATCCGTATCCCCCGCCCCTTCTTCTTCGCGGTCCGTCACTTCGGCACCGGCGTCCTCCTCGCCACCGCCTTCGTTCATCTCCTTCCGACGGCCTTCACCCTACTCGGCAATCCATGCCTGAGCTCCTTCTGGGTCGAGGACTACCCCGCCATGCCGGGCGCCATCGCCCTGGCCGGCATCTTCCTCGTCACCATCATCGAGATGGTCTTCTCCCCCGCCCGCCAGATGAGCTGCAGGCCCGACGACGCCGTCCTCGCCCCGGAGGGCAACAATGAGAGCGAGCAGCAGCAGCAGCAGCAGCAGCGCGGCGAGAAGCGCGTCCTCGTCGACGAAGAGAACCGCGCCGTGCAGGTCAACTCCAAGGGCGGCATAGTTCTCACCCCGGCACAACAGCACCAAAAGGACATCCTCCAGTGCATGATGCTCGAAGTCGGTATCCTTTTCCACTCCGTCTTCATCGGCATGACCCTCTCAGTCTCCGTCGGCCACGAATTCGTCATTCTTCTCATCGCCATCGCCTTCCACCAGACATTTGAAGGCCTCGCCCTCGGCTCCCGCATCGCAAACATTGACTGGCCTCAAGGCAGCCTTCAGCCCTGGATGATGGCCCTCGCCTACGGCTGCACCACGCCCATCGGCCAAGCCATTGGCCTCGCGACCCATCGCCTCTACAGCCCTGACTCGGAGTTCGGACTTATCCTCGTCGGCACCATGAATGCGATTTCGTCCGGGTTGCTCGTCTTTGCTGCGCTGATTGAGCTTCTGGCAGAGGACTTCCTGTCCGATGAGAGCTGGCGTGTCCTGAGGGGCTCTAAGCGCGTCTGGGCTTGTGTGCTCGTCTTCTTTGGCGCTTTCGGCATGAGTCTTGTCGGGGCGTGGGCTTAGGTGGGCCCCCAGAGGCTATACGGGGGCCGGAGTTGATAGAACGGGTTGCTAAGCATGTGATCGTGGACTCGCATTACCAACGAGTTCCTGGGTCTCTGAAGATCTGGACCGATGGTGGTACCACATTTGATGCTTAGTGGTCTTTCGCTTGCTTCTCTGCGGCCCTTGCACCCCTGAAAAGATGCGGTGAGGCATATTGTTCAGGATTTTGGATGGCGATGCTATGTGTAGAGGTTGCGTTAGATTGTCGCGTTATTCTTGAGTTTCGTCTACAGCGGCAGGGGTTCTGCATTTGTTTGCCAACATCTGTCGTCCGTTCGAATGGATATGAATATGTATTGTTTCGTTCTTTGGAGGATCCGGCTTGAAAAAGCTGTCGGTCAGAGTGCGTCGTTATTTGGTTTACATTGGCTTCGGGCATGAAGCCGTCCGCTCATTAAAAGCAGAATTAGTGCGAGATTTTAGTTACTTATATCGAGGAAAATTCAGAACAACAGTTGTGGATAAGAGTTGTATTCTTGGCGCCCATTGAAGCAGATGACCGTCCAGCACCGTCTATGTCGAGCCTCTATGATTGTCTTCCATCACTCTCTCTTCGATGCCCCACGCTTCTATCATCTACCCTCCACCCACGACACCCTCTTAATCCATCCTTCAACTCACAAACGTAAAGTTGCTCGGGGAAGTCTCATCACTCACAGTGGGACTCGGTGCAACACCACTATCATAACTTCCCCTTCTCCTAGCCCCGTGCCTCTTCCCTCTCGTCTCAAATCCGCCCGGCAACGGGACGCCCCCGACAACCTCAACCTCTCCATTCACACTGCGAGCAACAGCAGCCGTAGTAACAGCATGCCAAGCCCTCGTCTCCTCTGCAAGCCTAGCCTCCTGATCATGCCTCTCCCTCTCCTCTCTGAATCTCAGTCCCAGCGCCTCTTCAGTCTGACTGAGATACGGAAACCTCTGCCTCTGCGGCAACGGCGAGGAAGGCGGCGTAGGCATGGTTTTGCTCTCGGTGGTCGTGCTCCACCCTGCAGTGTCGCGGGCGATCATGGCTGTATGCGAAGCGCAGCATACCGAACCCGGGCCGCCTACTCCGGGCTCCCCACCGGTTCCGACACCGCGAGGAGAGGGGCATCCGGAGACGACGCAGGCGTGGACCGCGTCGCAGAAGCTCCCGTTCGACCGCGCGGCGCCGTGGCAGCCTGGGGTTCGGCACTCGTGTCCTGTGCAGAACTGGCTCGCGGACACGAGGAGCGGGTCGTCGGCGCGCGGTGCCGGGCATGAGGGGTGTAGGCAGGCGTGGAGAGCGCAGCGGCGGCTGGCGGGCTTTGAGGGATGGATGCAATCTGGGCTTGTGCACTTGTGCGCTACGCAAAAGCTTGATTGGTGTGGTGGTTTCGAGGGGTTCGCGAGGTCTGCTGCTGGCTGGGGACAGGTTCGGGTGTGGCAGGTGTCTAGAGGGAAGTTTTCATCAGCGAGTTTCTATGATAAGATGGGGCCCAAAGTCTTGAGAGATATGTGAGTGTGAGATTTGTATCTTACGACTGGCACAGTAGAGGCGTGATGCATCGGTTGCATTGTCTTTGGGCTCGCGACATGAGGGGTATGTACATTCGTGCTGTAAGCAGAAATGTACGCCGCCGTTGACTGCAGCTTCGCAGCCTGTCGCCTTACAAGCTGTCGGTAGATCTAAGGCGTTCGTCATGTCAGTATCACATCCTAGAATGTGATACACCGGCTCAGATGAGCGAAGTCAGACTCACGAAACCAGCAGACATCCTCATGTGTTCCACTAGGCGAGACTACCCTCGGCGAGGTGCATCCCGCAGTCTTGCAGAGACGGTGGTCTCTGCACCAGTTGCCGCCATCAATGACGTTATTGCAGTCCTCGTCGGAGCAGCTGTGACTCGGACAATAGAGGCCGTCGCCGACGCGCGGATGACCGCAGGCGGGGATAAGGCAGATGGGCGTATGGAAGCTGCACATTTGGGAGTTGGTGGCGCGCTTGTTGTGACATCCGTAGGTTGAGCAAGTATCTATTCATCCCCGAGAGATGGAGAAAATCAACACCAAATCTTATTGCAAAGTGTCCACAAAGCGGCGGAAAGGTGAGTCTTACGGCTTTGGCAATATGGCCAGTCTTGGTTTGCGTCGGCGAAGATGCGCTGGTTGGAGCAGCCCTGGCGGTGACAACGACCGTCTAAAGAGAGATGAACATGGTCAGTGACATACATAGCTACGGATAAGAGTCAAAGTAAGTTAACGTACGGTCTTCGCAATATTTGGATAGACCACACTGTTTGGGGTTTGTGCACATCTCCTCGCCAGTACGTGACCGGCAGGCATCTCGTAGACGACGTTAGACGGGGTTCTTCATCAGAGTGTGGAGAGTAAACCCACGATCTTTGCAGAAGATAGAGAGAATGCGCTTAGATTTGGCGGGTGCCTCGCATTTTAAGACCTTGTGGACACAGCCGGAGTAGACGCAACGAGGCCGGGGCGGTGGAGGCGCGGGAGGTTTGGCACGGCAGCTGAAGAACATGGTGAATTACTGAGTGGTAAGTGTGTAATTGTAACGAGAGTTAAAGGACGGGCTGTAGCTTGGTCACTTCTTGAGAAATTTGTTAGTCTTTCGAAGCGTATTGGCAAGATGATGGACATCTTCTGTGGACCTTCTTGAGACTTGATATACGAAAGGTTTAGACAGAGGATGAGAGAGGTGAACGCCAGGCTGCCATCATTAACCTTCCAATGGGCCGCTGACTGCTGAAGACTTGGGACAAGTAACTTTTCGCATACAACTTGATCCATCCATACGGAAATGAGGACTGCTGCCATGGTACAGTTAGGTCTAGATAGTCCACCAGACGCTGGCTCATGTGAGACTAGGCACAAGGCATCACTTCTTCAAGTCAAGGGGCCCATCTGCCAGGGGAGACGGACGAAAGTGACAGCATCGAACTGCAATGTGATAGATGTATCATTCACTCTCTGAAATGTCAAAAGGGTTTGAGATGTTTCTCTTCAGTGTGTGTCACCATCCTGTTTGTGAGATATCTGAAGAGTTCTCGAGATGGCCTTGACCGCGTAGCGGATATGTCTCAAGTCCGAGACCACTTGGCTGAACAGCTTTCAGTGATGGCTCGTCAATACGCCCCATTCTAAGGGCACGATATGAGACTTCAGACATTAAAGATTCTCATGGCTCAGCGAAGAAGGGCTGTTCACGGACAAGGAAGTGATTGTGGTATTTGCGCCTTATGCAAGCAGCCGGTCCAGGTGTCATGGGAGTCGCCATTGGATGGTTACTTAGGTCCATAATGGGAACCATTGAGTACAAGTCGCTGAAGAAAGTTGAATAACGAATTCAAGCCATCGGTTGTTGATGGTCTCATGAGTCTCATGAACCACTCAATGCTTGATGAGCTTCAGTTGAACCTATGGTGAGAGTGAAGGTGGCGGCCTCCAAAATCAGGGAAAGGGCGTTTGCCCCACCAGCCACGCTTCTGCAGGTCCACCTCGATACGTATCTATCGCTATACCAAATACAGCTAGACCCCTCCAGCCACCTCGACCTAAAGCGCGTTAAGGTGCACCTTGACGGCCCCTGCATTGCAACGTGCCCCTCCCTCCCACCAGCCACATCATCGCGAAATCAAGTTTCCCATCCTGGCTGGCCGGTGACAGGGACGGAGATTGTCGCCATCGCCATCGCCAACCAGTTGCCGCTCGCCGGCTTCCCTCGTCACCAGGGTTTCCCGAGGACCTGCCAGGCTGGAAGGCTCACCTCACTGCCACCACCAGCGTCATTCTCTATTTCTTGTTCCCGCCTGCCATTGTTACATACCGCTTACACCTCCCTCTGGCACACGCGAGACAGCTTCAGGTCCTCCTGCAACCACTACCAAAACACCTTGGTTACAACGTCTTTGATCAGGAACAATGCACTCGAACCGGCTTTGACGACTCAAACACCACCACACAAAAACCACTGCGGTATTGAAACATTACGCGACAAGCACTTGCTTCCACAATGACCGACGAGGAACAAGGCATCCAGCGCCCAGCGCAGACATACCAGACACCAGACTGGGAGACTCCTACGGCCAACAAGCGCCGCTCTTTCTTCGATCGCTTCGCTCCTGCGACGACTGGCCAACAGCGCGATGATGGCACGCATACTGCTCCCGCGGCAACGAACGAGGGCGGGTTTGCAAAAGAGGATACTCAGCGCTCAGATGATCACGCCCATCTGACCGCTCCTGCCACAGGCGCGGTGGTCGCTACAGGTGCAATGGCAGCACCCAAGGCTCATCCCTCCCTAGCAGCCCGCTTCGATTCTCTGCTCCCGCCGCAAAAGACCTACTTTGGCCTGTCACGAAAGCGATTCCTTCTCTTCGTCGTCCTGCCGCTCGCAGTCCTTTTCCTGCTCATCCTTCCTCTGGCGCTCGGCCTCGGTCTCTCCAAGCGCGGCGGAGGAAAGCAAGATCTGCCCCTTCCGAACAACCAAGATGTTCACACCGGTGATCTCACATACTACGCTCCCGGGCTGGGCGCCTGTGGAAAGACGAGCAGCGACAGCGACATGATTGTTTCGGTTTCGCACTACCTTTGGGACGACGTGCAGAGCGGCGGCAATCCGAACAATAACCCACTATGTGGCAAGAAGATACGGGTCCGGCGCGACGGCGAGGGTTCGGTGGATGTCACCGTTGTTGACCGATGCACCGGATGCGCGCCGACCGATCTCGATTTGAGTCCCGCGATGTTCAATAAATTGGCCAATAAGGACGAGGGCAGAGTTACGGGCACATGGAGCTGGTTGGACTGAGCAACCCCTAGGCGGACGGGTGACTCACGAGCTGGATGGGAGTACTGCATAGGGAACATCCCGCAGGCCGGGAACTTGACGAGACATGCGAATAGTACGACTACGAGCCGAAGACGGAAAGGTGTTGCGCGGTGTTTGGAATTGCTTCGATACCCCTGTTATTTTCTTCTTTATGCCTGTCATAGATACCATTGCAAATGAGGCACGCGAATACGAATACTTCTCACAGGCGTCATGACTCCCTGGCACGGCGCAACGAATCGGCGGATACCCTTCCGTCCATTGATATCCAACTACGACGCTCGAAAACTGCACAAAGATCTGGATAACGGTATGCCATCGCGAATAATCAGTATCATTGAGCACAGATGCCCGGCCATCATGAGTGCCGGCCATGCTAGTATGTCGGTATCTACAGTGTAACGCCGTCAAAATAATCCCAGGGTATCCCAAACGATTAATCCGGCATAATACGCCGGTAAGTCATTCCCAACCTATCGCCCACCCATTCAAAGAACCATTTATCGTGAGTTGAGACTTACTCGACTCGTCTTGCCCTGACTTCTGTCTCGCTCGTCCCAGGCAAGCAGGCCCTGCCCAACGGTAGAGCCCGTCGCCCCTGACCTAAAGCGACTTCGACGTTTATACTCCCAGTCGAGCAGGCCATGGTCGACGTCCAAAGGCGATAGTTGTGGTGCAGGACTTGATCCCATGCTGCTCTCCCCGTCCCCTACACTATACTCCGCGACTATCGACACTCTCTTCCCACTCTTCTCCTCCCCAAGCGCCGAGCTCTCGGCGTCGTACTCTTCAGTCTCCAGAATGTGCCGCCTGCTCGCGGTCGATCGCAACACGCGTGCCGGCTTCTGCAGCTCGAGGTCACTGGCACTGAGCCAGGTCCCGAACTCCTCAAAGGTATGTCTCCTCGAGTTCGGCACCCCCGCAGGCGCAGGCCCTCGATGTGTGCTGTGGACGGTGACGCCCGATGACAAGTTCGCGTCCTGCTTCGTCCGGTGCCCCGTTGCTTGATTAGACGGCGTCGGAAGCACGCCCGCCGTCTTGAGGTTCCGCAGCCAGGGGAACCACTCCCTCAGCAGAGGCCATACGAGCGGTAGGTTCGAGACGTAGACGGCGACACTGGCCTCGCGGATGTACCACAACATGTATGCAGGGCTGTACGGGTCGGTGAGGTTGAATACCTTCGTCAATAGTGCTGCGACGATAACACAGATACCGAGGCTGAAGACGAACAGGAGGACGAGCTTCTGCTTCCAGAGCACCTTCATACGGAACACGAGCGGGAGGGGGATCATCAGCATCAGCGTGTCGGAGGAGATGTTGAACCAGCCCTGGAGGATGGCGTAGTTCTCGTACGTCGTGCACTGCGGGTCGGGGGGCGGCATGGCCCAGTAGCCGCTGAAGGGACGGCAGGCGGAGAACATAGTGATTTGTGTTGCTGTCCAGCCGATGGCGACGTATATTGCCAGCCAGCGGACTAGGCGCTGCGCGGCGAGGTTGAGGGTAAGGCGGGTGTAGAGGATCAGCACGCAGGCCTTGAGGACGTAGATGAGGTTCAGCATGGCCTGCTCCGACACGAGGACGAGCTTTGAGCCGTGGATGCGGTCTTCGATCTCGGCTTCGGTGAAGGTGCCTTCTAGTTCGGGGGGATAGAGATTTGAGCCGCCGCCGTCGGTGATGATGTTGAGGAGAGCTACTAGGACGGTGAAGAGGATCTGGCACGAGATCGCTGTCAGTATTTCGTTTGTTGCCATTGATTATCATCTGATTTTAGAACATACCGCGGCCAGAATCTGGAGATAGTCATCGGCTTCATAGTTGGAGACGCCTCCTAACCTCTTTGCTCTTCCATACCTACCGCAGAAGGATGTTAGCCTGAGTCCTATCCGATTGCTGACTGGGACCTATTGAACGAACATTCTGAGAAAGATGAAGGCCATCCCTATTGAGTAGTGTATCCAACTCTGACGCTCGAGGCTGGCGCCGAAGCTATCGCTGCCGTTGACCATGGCGATGTTTGACTGCCTTGCAGCTTTCGACTGTTGCCCTGGCAGGCTTCGCCACAATAGAGAGATATTGTTTCGCACCGACGATCCCTCGGTAGAAATTGTTTGGCGATCCTCCTTCAATGTCTATGGCATTGTCCTCCACAACAGTTTCGGTGCCGTAAAAGTGAATCAAAAAGTTGTCATGCCAAGAATATGGATGATGGCGAAAAGATGGATGTACTTCACGACGGGAAGGGTAACATGGATAATGGGATATGTCACAACGATATGGGCTTTCCCAACGACTCTTCAGTTTCTAGACAAAGTCCGACGGGACACCGTGACGCGGACTTTGAAGGTATTCCAGCGCCCGCCCGCTCGAAACTAGCTCTAAGTGGCTTCAACAAAGCCGATGGGCTGATATCTGACAGTTCGAGGGCTACAATGGCGCGGTTTGAGAATTCACAAGCCCCCCCGCGTGGCTGTCCTTTCGAGAAATAAGCAGGGGCCGGACAATTCCATTCACTCGAGTATGAAGAGCGAAGTTGTCGCCAGCACTCGAGAGCTAGACTTTTAGTCTAAGTTCCCTGGCGCGCCCCGGCCGATTGGGTTCGCCGACTCGAAGGGGGCTTGTTGATGCTGGTGGTGCCGCAGTTGGTGCTGGTACTTGTCGAGTTTTGTCAGAAATGACGATAAAGAGCGCAAGATATACGAAGCCATTGCCCAGCCGCATCTAGCTTCCAGAGGGTGGACGCGGTGGTGGTGTGAGGATCGCCGGATGCGGCCATGTTCGCGTAGATGATAGGTTCCTCGCCAATCAGGAGGGAAAGACAGGCAAAGCGGGCTCAACAAGCGTGAACCATTTTTAGGTTTCATTCTGTGGACTGGATAAAGCTGGCTTCCAAGATACGCTAATTGGACTAGCCTTTCTTGCTACTACAGCTTGACGAGCGAGTGATTGCTCTCTTCTTTGTGGTGAACTCGACGGGAGCGTCCTCCCCGATGGAATGGTCGATCTAGACTTGGAGGCGCGATGTGGTCCGCATCGGAGGTCACGTCCGCCGCCGCGTACACTGGCATGACTGGCTGTCTTGATACTGGCATGACTGGAACGAGTCACTGAGTGGTATCGTTGAGCGAGGAATTCTTCAATCAGTAATCGTCAACTGTCGAGAAACCCAGATTGTGGTTACCCCCCCTGGCCGCATCCAGACTTTTGGAACGCATGCCTGATTGTCAAACCGGCACTCTACCGCGCTAACGGCACCCAAAAGATCAAGACTTGATCCAGATGTCGGGGTAGCACTGAGACGAGCTCGGTTCACTGCCGGCGAAGCCTTCGTCTCCCTGCCTTGGAATTATTCTCATGTAGGTCGTTGTTCGCTGCAGTCGGCGCCATGCCGGTGGAATTGACGATGGAATCTGATAAAATAATTGAATTAACGGCTTCAATCGTTAGGGAAACTCGAGTTCCCTCAAATGGTATATCTTGCTTGACTAGAGGATCTGATAGCAACGAATTGTGTCTAGTGCTGTGGCACTGGGACGAACGTCCCAGAAGGCCATCATGAACACAAATTATCATGTTTCTTTGGACGACGATACCATGACTACCGGTTCCTAAGTAGCCCCCGAGACATCGAATCCGTCTACCATGGGACGTACGGCGCGGAGTCGAGTCGCTTGTTTGGCTAATGCGACTATGACTTACTCCGGCGCTCTCCTCTCGGATCCCGGCCCAGGGACATGGTCCGATTTGTAGTACGTCAAGTGGGAGGTGGGCAAATGTAAGCACTCTGATTTTTACGTTTGACGCCTCAGATATCCAGACAATGGGACCCCACCTCTTGAGACCTTTACGTCTTGGTCCGGTATGTCGTCGGTAAAGAGCCCGACTCCCCGTGTCACCTCAGTCGGCCGCCGGGTATCACCTCGATCGGCCCTTTCCAGCCAATCACGTCTACACGGAAGATTCTAAAACCCGTTCATCTTTTGAAGATCCTTTTCCATCTACTTGGAAAGAATCAGAGTTCCTGCACACAGGTGAAGGTTCAGTTCGTTATCGCAACGAAGAGCTTGCAATCGTGAAGGAGGAAGGGGTACGAGCTTAGGTTATACCGCCAAGGAACGTCTGATATTATGTCGAATACCTGCCAGACGTGGACGGATGGCATCGAGTTCTTCTATGGCTTCTCCGACTCGAATGGTCCGGACTGACGCCGGGTACTAGGTGCTGCCGTGTCAGCAACGGCATTGGAGTTAATTCCGTTTGCATTTTGATGCCAAGACACTCAGGTCCTGTTGCACCATGGAAATTCATAAACCTCATATGAATTTGCTGTTCTGGGTGTTTTATCAACATCGGGCCTTTGGTTTTACATCTTCCAGATGTCTGAACATATTGGTCCACTGAACAGACTTGGCTAAGTTTAATACAGAATTTTGCCGCCAACTTCGCAACAAACCTATTCTCACGGCATGTTGATTCAGTTATACCATGGTAACGGTCTTTACGGTTGAATCTTGACCCGTTTCTCCACCAAGTTGATACAGGGTTCGGGCGTCCTCACGGAATATGTACGTCTCAAACATCCATCGTACCTAGCTAGGCACGAACGAGGGAACATGGATCGATCGCCATGATCGACGCAGACCGCACGGCGGGCTGTGCCGTCTGGACTAATGACGGGAGCCCGTGGCCCCGGATGGCCAAGGCGCGGAACGCGTCTCGAAGTGTCTTCCCAGTCATAGGTTTCATTTTCCGCCCTTTCAGTGAAGTAGCCCTCGTTTCTCTTCCCCTTGCAGACTGTACGTCGTGTTTCTGAGCTTTCTTCTCATCCCTTCACCCCGTTGTTGACTCTGTCCCCGCATTGACGGCAGCCGCGCAAGCATGGGGAACCACGTCAAACCCCCGAAACGGAGGCACACACCTCTTGACGGGCTCCCCGGCATCTTCCTGGATGCAACGAAGATTTTGGACACCAATAATCTCCTGTATCATTTCCTGCCTCACCTTTTCTCCCTTCCCGTCCCCTCCCTGTGGAGAATTTTCTGCCTGACTGTCTGAATATCTGCTCTTGTCAATTCGGTTCCGCCATCCGAGTTTGACGTTTGACGGCATGGAAAGCTGTCGATTGGACACTTTGACCCAGCTGTCCTTGTTTGGCGCTTAGACGACACACTCAGGTTTACCTTCGCACTGGTATGGTTGAGAGGCAGGAGGGGGAGGGCCCCCGATAGGATCTGTTCGCCAGCCAGCCGCGCGCCGTCGGTGACTAAGGTGAGTTTGACGTGGACCGACTGCGGCTGCGCGCTCGCATGTTTGGTTTTATTTGGGACGCTGCAGATGTCGTTTCTCTTGATCTGTTCATCTGACGTTGACGTGCAGCGCCTTAGCGAGGCGCTAGACGCCTGAAGGACAAGTGAGATATCTGACCGCTTGCAGCGCAGTTTCCGTATCCGAATTACAGGTCAGGCTGTTTCAGTGGCCATCAGATAGGTGGCTGAGTCAAGTCCATTCTGAATTCCTGTCCGCGTTTCTGCGAGATCTTCTAGTGTTCTTGATAACGGACTCTTGTTTTCCGTTTCATTAGCGAAGCAAGCATTCACACATGAGCTTCTTCCCCTGTCTCCTGGAAGTCAACCGATGGTCCGGATGGAATAAAGAGTTTCCCCTGACTGTTTGCAGTCAGGAGGCGGCCCAAGTTTGGGACGACACGCTTTCGAGAGGCTTGGCGACTGATGGTTCAACAACCAGCATACCTGTGACCGGTCTCATGCAATTCCCTCTGTATGTTTACTTAGTAGTCTATTTAAGCATGAGCTAGCATCAAATATCTACTGCGTACCAAACAGTCTCCTGGCCCATCCCATTCTCGTCTCGAGAGCAGCCTTGGCAACATCTGACCCTACAGCGAGGCCCAGTAGGTCGAACCCGTGGAATCCACCACTCCAGACATGCAGATCCGCCTGCACGCCGCTATCCCATAGCTTCGTAGCATACGCTACGTTTTCATCCCTGAACGGCTCTGCGGTCCCCACGTCGATGTACGCCGGCGGCAGTCCGGACAGGTCCTTTGCTCTGCCCGGCGCAACATAGGGACTCACGTCCGCGTCCTCCACGCCCGCCTTGTCTCCCAAGACGCAACCCCATGCAGCGTTGTTATCCAGCGCATCAAAGCAAGTATCGTTTCTGAACTGCTTCTTAGAGATTCCGGTGTCCCTGTCGTCGAGCATGGGATATACGAGCAGCTGTGCGCAGAGCTTCGGCCCTCCCGTGTCCCTCGCCCTCAGTGCCGCTCCAGCCGCGAGACCGCCGCCGGCGGAGACGCCCGCGATCATGAGATGCGCGGGGTCGATGCCCAGCTCCTGCGCATGCTCACTTGTCCAGAGAAGACCCGCGTAGCAGTCGTCCTGCGGCGCGGGCGCCGGATGCTCTGGTGCCAGGCGGTACTCCACGCTCACGACGACGGCATCAAAGTCCTTTGCCATGCGCGCGAACGGCTGAATCCCAAGGAAGGCGTCGCCGAGGACCATGCCACCGCCATGGTAGAACACGATACCTGGACGTTTGCTACTCGCCGTCTTCGGGTTCCGGGGCTGTAGGATGACAATGGGAATCTCCCCGTCCGGTCCGGCTATTTTGCGGTCCTCTACCAGTAACCCTTCGTCGTTTCGTACTGCTGCTTGCATTGGTGCCATTGCCGTGGCTCGTAGTTGTCGCCCATGGACTATGCCATCCCTTGATCGTGGGTAAGCTGTCATGCGGTCCAGGGCCGGGATCAGTTGGACGTCGTATGGCGGCCGGGGGAATAAGTTCTCGGACGACATTTTTGATGTGTCCTAAATTTGGTCACCGCTTTGAAGTTCGTGGTTTAATCTTGATGCTAACAAACGCTTTTGTCTTGAGCCTTCAGCTTCTTGATCTTGAGATCTGTTTGATGTGATCTTAACTCTATATGAAATGTCGGGTCGAAACTTTGCCGAGGTCCGCGACTCCGCGTTGAATCCTTCGTAGATTTTGGTTCGCTTCTTCAGATCAATGAGCATCGGCGTGCTATAGCCGGGCGCTAAGTCCGATTGTGTCTAGATCACCATACCTGTATGTGGTCTCACCAACCGCGCTATTCCTTAACACCAAGACGCTGTGGAAAGGAACATCGGCACAATGGGGCTTTGAGTTCCTCCGCAATATTGACGAGAATGGCAATCTGCTGCTACCCCGCAGCAGCTCTCGGAGGCTTGTCGGAAGCCTTGCGGGTGATCTGGTGCCACGGCCTACTGGTAGTACCACGCCAGCGTACTTAGTAAACCGAGCTAAAGCGCGAGGGAGTCAAAGATAGCCTCGGGTGGTTTTTCATTCGTGTTTGATACCAAGACATTTTCACTGATTTCCCCGCTCGCGTTGGAGAATGGCTCGCTTTCGGGGACACGGAGTGTACTTGTCTCACTCCGAGGCCCCGTCTCCCAACAAGTGAACGATCCCGAGGCCCCGGGAGAAGTCTAAACACCTTGATGTAGGCGATTTTATATCAAAGTCTTGAGAAGGAAGTGCCCCTCGATTTAGTTACAATTGCTGGATTAGTAATCATGTAACCGCTTTCCAACTGAAGCCAGTAGACAGCCTTGCTGTGAGATTGACGAGATGATTTTGAGTTTACTCTAGATTGTGACCTTTGAAGGAACTAAGTGAGTTCCTTTGTGAAGGCTCCAGCTTAAAGCCCTGGTCGCGAGGTAAGCTTGTCCAGCTTCCAGAAACCTTCTTACTCATCCTGAAGCCTAGATGCGGGGACAGCTTTTGTAGCCATCCTCGTGTCGACTGTGTGAGTAAGCCCCAGCAAGGAAGCACTAATGCTGCATTGTTCGGCAATCGTATTCCTTTGGGTGATGTGTTCTTGCAAGCCCCATCTGACGTGAGATTATGTGTAGATGGAGTATCCGATGCATTTCCAGCCCTATGGGTGATCATCAGAAGGGCTCGCAGCCTGGGGAAATGCTTAACAGCTGCAGGACAGTCCGACAGTCCGGCTTGGTAATATCTACGATTTTTAGGCCTGTGTACGATAGGTAGACTGGAGAGTCCTTGACTACCTAGTCTACCTTCAGCCTGGGCTAAGGTAGGCAGCTACTGGCGATGTCTGCAGCTCAGCTTCAGGACTAGTCCATGGATGCACACGCTCGCTCTTCTGGCAGTGACTTGAGCGACTCAAAGTCATCTCTTTCACACTATGCACAATATGATGCCATTTCCTCTATGCTGATTCTTGCCTTCGTCATTGTTCGCGATCGCGGCTCTTTAGGGTGAAGTTAGACCGAGTGTCCCGACATGACCAACATTCATGGTCAAGCGAGGAAATATGAGATGATGACAAGTGAGCGCAAAGCAAGAGGCCGGGCCGAGAATGGCCAAAGTTCTAGACCTTTAAGGACTTTTGGGAAATGGAGACGCCGAAAGTCAATTTCTTGCACCTTGATCTTAATGGCTCAGTTCCCCTGACCTGATGCCAGGTAAGATTATGCGAATGTCTGTGGGCAGGTTTTGGAGGGCGGTTGGAGGCGAATCCGTTCGTTGAGTAAATCATAGTAGGAGATTCTAACGTTTGCTGTCAGGCACCGCAATGCCTCAGCCTCCCGAAGACGGCACGGACGGGATAGATCAGAAGACAGACCTACGGTAGGTCCCGGTGGCGTTCTCATCATGATTGATTGAAAATTGGAGGTTGAGCAAAGTAGTTTTCTTCTCTAAAGAAGACTAACTAATCTTGGATTCCCAAGACGCCTTTTGTTTGGTGAAACGGACTAACCTCTGTTGAAAGGCAAGTTCGTGTTTTGGCCAATCGGCTCACCTCACCGTTCATAGTTTCATATCAAGGCTCGATGGGGTCTACTGCGCCAACATGCTTTGTCGAGGAGAGCGACACTCAATCGATTCAATTTATTGGAAAATGGAAGGTGCTGCAAAGAATCGTTCTAGTGACGTTCATTCAGGTCTAGGTTTGGCGCACTCTCGTCAAAGAACAGCTGACGTCCAGCAAGCCTACCGGGTGTCAGTGCAGACAGGCTGTTGCGATTTGGCAATGTCCGCACCCCGAGACCGTGCCAATTGTCAATGATTAGACTTCCATCAGTGTGAGTGTCAACTCGGATCTTATGCCCAGTTTGATCACTGTAAGGTACCTAATCTTAACTGTGATGAGATAGAACAGAGCTATTGATTGAGGGGCGAGAAATTTGCCACTATCTACTTGGGCATTGAATGCTGCAAACAGGATGAGGTTGATCGACCGTCATGTTTACACACAAAAGCTTCACTGTCATCGAATCAAATGCTTCTAGACACGGCAAATTTTATGCATTCCACCGATGACGAGCGCCGCATTGCCATAACGCCACTGCTGCAGAGAAGAGGCAATTGAAGATGAACTTCAAACTGTGCTGCCCAATTGAGAGCCAACATTCGTCAAATATCTGATGCGACATGATAGTGGACGATGCCATTTTGGAGGAGGTCGCAAGTGCTCACCGGTGATGGCTCCTTCAGCCGTGAGATTCCGTCGGCGACCGAAATCCCAGCCCCGTCAGCAATTCGGGAATCCCAATCCTATAAATCATGCTGAAGGATCGCGGCTGAATGAGATGGCACATATGTACCGCAGCAAGCACCTGTTGAGACAAGGGCACCATCAAGCTTAAATGGCTCCCGTCAGCACTAATGGAGCGTATGTTTGTATAAATAGTACCCAATATGGGCAGGGGGTAGCAGGCATATGCTGTTCTTAATGTAGAAACGCATGCGGGATGTCAAAGGCAGAGCCACCCAGCCAATAGGAGAGCATGCCGCTTACTGCGTGCCTTCGATGCCGACATGTCACCCTCCACTACCCATTTGAGCTTCTTCAGACAAACATCGATCGAGGAGAGACTCATGATCTCAAATATGTGGGCTTTTGAACTAGGGACAGTCCTTACCACGGAGATATTAGATGACTAGTTGACATCAGCCTTCCTGTAGGGCCACAGGGCCCAACTCCACCCCCAATGATGGCAGCGACGTCAGGGCCCGATCTCGATACTAGCACCACATCTATCTGGACATATCGGGTTTAATGCCATGCAATGTTAAGGACTGAAGGCTTGATGCGCATCACGGAATGCTTAGAAATGGCAATGTAGCCTCCATACTCACATGCCGTGTTTTGCCATCTGAACCTAGATAAGCATCAACAAATATTCTGAAGTGAGAGAGTAACGACGATTAATGGCTTCAAGCTGCGTTCTGTTGACTAGAGCTCCCTGGCGACTCCTTCTTCCGGGACCCTCCGCCAAACCTCTGCCGGGAATGAGGGTTGCATGGAGTGACTATGCAAGCTTGAGGACTACGAGACGGTTTACGTTGAGGGTGGTCGGTAGACTTTCCCTATGCGATCCCGGAACCCAAGAGACGAACCCCGTATCCGTATCCGTTGTGATTGGCAGCAGAACGGCTGACCGGCTACAGGCACACACAATCCGAGCCTTGCGATCCTACTACCAGCTTACTTTCTTCGGACGAATACTTCGAACCACGACTCAGTTGTGGTGTGTTGCGGCTGGTACGCGGGATGCAGAGCGTCGGTGAATCGGTGTTATGGTCCATGTACGCCTCACTAATACTTTGTGCCGCCTGCTTACCGGCTTCCTACCGGCCTTCCTCCCAGTCGCTTTTCTACGCTCTGGATGTTTCATTGGGTGCCATAATAACTCCATTCCGATTAAAGATGATAGAACAAGGAGACCGGGTATGTCGGACGGTCATCCCATCTTTCACAGGCTGTCACGGAGCTGCCTCAGAACGTCAAAACCCTTTGACCGTCTGGGGCGTGATAGGTCGCATCCCATGGGAAGTGGCTCAATTGGGGGGGTATGCTCGTCGTCTTTTCAATCAAGGCCCAAAGTTCAAGATCGGACTATAGGAAAATCATAGCGGGTGTAGTAGAAAAAAGGGATGGTGCATGTATCCGCGCGGGTGTGTGGCGGGCAGACCCTGTCGCTGAAACCCCTCCTCTAACTCTATCAACTTACACACAGATCCGAGTGACGCACGCCACGAAGAGGATCTTGACACGGCTATGTTCTGTTTCCGGGATGACCAGACAGTAAGCCTCCTTGGAAGGACCGTACACCACCTTTCAGGGTAATCAAGTCGTCAGTGTTCCCAGCCGACTTTTCCGACCGGGGTCTGGGTTGCTCGAAATCCTTGCTCTGTTTGACACTCCGCCCCTCCTCTTCAATAGGCGATGGTCAACCTCATATCTCGAGGTGGTGCAAGGTGACAAGCCTGTCTTTTTCTTTTCATGTGCTAGCGTTCTTTTGCTTCTTAATTCCTCTTCGAGATCGGCCATCGAAGGCATCTGACCTATTCTCCCACGATACCACATGCTGGCATGGCTTAAAACTAATTATCATCGCATCTGACAGAACCTTTGAGTGGCATACGAGGCCCTCATTCATCTCACGCACCAACATGTGGCTCCTTAAAGTCGCTACGATAGCGGCAGCTGCAACAGCAGCAGGTCTTCAACTGGGGCCTCTGCAACCAGTTCAATTGGAAGAGAGGCAACTTGCTGATGCAACTTCTTTCATCGCGGAGCTGCCAACAGGACAACAACAAGCTGACCCAACATCGACTACAACAATAACAACGACGGCGGCCGTTGCAACAACTCCACCACCTCCACCTCCTCCGCCGCCGCCTTCCCCACCAACATCAACATCGACAACGTCTACTACAACGCCGCCGCCGCCTCCACCTCCACCACCAACGACGACGTCGACATCGATATCGATTCCACCGTCAACCACCGTGAGAACATCTACTTCCGTGGCACCGCCTCCTCCGCCGCCTCCTCCTCCAACGACATCAACAACGTCGCAAGCTCCATCTACTACGGCAGTTCCACCGGTATTTTCTCCGCCCCCAGCACCGACAATGACAACGACAAGCCAGCCAAGGACAGCAACATCGATGCCGGTTGCTTTGCCGGCTAGCACGACTGGTGCTGCAGTACAGCAGCCTCCTCCACAAGGAGCAGCCCCCCAGCCTCCAACTGAGCGACTGGTCGATCCTGCCCAAGGTGCCTTTATCGGCGGCGACCCGACGACTAACATTGATGTACCGGTCACATTCCTCTTCCTGCTACTCTTCGCGGCTGGTGCGTACACGCACATCAGGATCTACCGAGCCAATGCCAAGCGTGGTCACAAATTCCTACTTTCGGATCTCATGTTCGACTTTTGTATGGTCAGAACCGTTACCTGTATCATGAGAATCGTGTGGGCATTTGAGAAGGGCCGAGTAGTAATTCTGGTCGCACTCATCGTCCAATTCGGAGGGTACGTTTCAAGCCATTTCCCGCAACTAGGATCTTTTACTAACTGAACATTTAGAGCTGTTGTGGTAATGGTGGTCAATATTTTCTTTGCTCAAAGAATTGTTCGGTCGATCCATCCTCACTTTGGATGGCATCCCGCCTTCCGGGTTTTCATCCTCTTCTTTCTCTTCTCGGTACCGGCTGTGGTTGTCTCAAACAGTACGTCGATTGGTGTCTCATTCTTCAAGATTGAGGACCAAGACCGCGTTGACACAGCGCTCAACGTTCTCAAGGCGGGTGTCTCTTGGATTATGCTTCTCGCGGTCTTACCAGTCATCATCGTCATCATCGCCGCAGTGATCCCTGGTCCTAGACCTGAGAGATTCGGGCAAGGTGACACTCATCAGAAGATTGCGGTCCTATTCATTGGCGCCACTTTGTTGATTGGTGGTCATGCGGTACGTCTCGCGGCAACTCTGATGGCTGAGCCACCCAACACACCCAACAAACTCTTTAGCAGAGAGGTCTTTTACACTACCGGTTTCATGTTGGAAATTTTCGTCGTGGTATTCTACGCCGTTGCCCGTATCGATCTTTTGTTCCACGTCCCCAACGGATCAAAGGGACCAGGAGACTACTCCAGGAAACCGAAGCCTGGCGAAGAAGACTATGAGGCCGCCCTCCTCACCAGAGAAGAGATCGAAGACGAGCTTGCCGGACTGGGCCACCCGTATGAAGTCGTCGACTCATCCGGCCTGGGTAGAGACGGCTCTGGCCGCACCATTGTTGCCTTCAGCACAAGACGTATGAATGGCGAGAAGCCTGTCGTATTACCGCCTAGACCAGAAGCATACAGCCGTGTCAGATCAATTCGTGGGTCTGTCAGGTCCATGCGTGGCTCCATGAGGTCCGCTGGCGGTGGCATCTCTCGGATGATGTCAGTGCGCAGGTCTGCTGCGCCGTACCTGAACGAGGTCGAAGTCGGTCAGCCTGAGTTCAGAGACAATCCTTTCCAAACACCACCGGTCAGCCACTACGGTGTAGCACAGCCGCTCTTCATTCAATCGCGATTCAGCAGGTACACTGACCCTGAAGACGCGAGAACACCCTTGCGGCCAGAAAGCCAGGCGACGTCTGGAGAGATCCCACTGAGTCTTGATCGTGAAGGTCTCGGCCCTTACGAGGGACGTCCCCTTGCTCGACGGTCATCAGTACAAAAGTTCACAGCGCAGGAGCGGGAGGGGAACCCCCTGAAATAGAGGGCTTATGAGTATGAGTCTAGACAGTACATGTGTTCGTATACCGGGAAGGATATTATCGGGATCAGCTTGGTTGCTGGAATAACAGCAGTATGATGAAATTCCAGTACATATTTGCCAATTATTGTATATAGTAACCCACGTTAGTGTATAAATCTTCATCCCTTAGTCACACGCCAGATCATTATGGACTTCTACCGCACCGACAGAAGGATTGAGGGTTATTCATCCTATCCATCCTATGGCATGTTTCAGACGTCTCTACCGTTGATCTTGCCACCTTTTTACCTTTTCCCTAAGGTGCACTCAGATACAGGTACTGAGAGTCAGTGGCTGGTGCCACACGCACGAGTACTGCACAAAAAAGAAGAGCGAGTACTTGAAAGTACACTGGTTAAAGCGAATTTTTTCCCCTCTGAAGTTCAAGGTATATTAATTCCGAGAGAGATTCTCCAATTTTATGTGTGACGGCCGCTTAGCATGTTCGTGACGGACCCTGCCGCAATACATCCCCGCGCCCATGCCCAAACTCCTGCTTGATCGTACACATATTTTATCCTTGCTTTAATGCTTCCTGAGGCCGAGCAATCCCATTAATCCACCCAAAAGTCCTCCTCCTCCTCCTCCACCTCCTCCCGCTGCCGGAGCTTCTGCTGGAGCCTCCGGGGCAGCAGCAGGGGGAGGGGGCGGGGGATTGTCAATAGCAGTCGCTAACCCAACGGCAGTCCCGTCCGGCATCACAGCTTGGCAAACAGTTGTGGCTCCGGGAGGGGCGGCTGGTGGACCTGGTGGGGGCGCGGCAGGGAGAGGAGGGACAGAAGTGCCGCCAAAGACGCCGATGCCTTGGTCCAGAACGGTACTGAGAGCCGTCGCGCTCTTTTGAGCGTCACCGGTGAGTTCGGGAGGAACCTTGCTAACGAGAGCCTGAGCGAGGGCGACACTGGCGGACTTTTGGTCCTGGAGAGCAACAGCCACCAGCGGTGTTGCGCCCAAGGAATCAACCAGAGACTTCTTAGCTACGACGTCATTGATGGTGACCTTGACGTTGTTCGTGAGAGCATCCGTTGCGGCCTTGAGGTTGAGCGCATCCTTTTTGTTGAGGACTTCGGAACCCTGGACCTGGGTCGTGGCATCTTCGATGGAACTCTTGACGTTGCCGACGGCGTTCAAGAGCTGGATACCGCCTCCGAGGGTGACCGTGTTGGTGGCTTTCACAGAATTGTCGAGACCCTGAAGCGCAGAGTTGATGGTGTTGAGGGCAGCTTGAATCGTAGCCAGATCTCGTTTATACTTGGCATGTTGTATAGAGACAGGAGCGGCGAGGACTGTGACCGCAGCAAAGGTAAAAGACAACAGAGAACGTAGTAACATCGTGAGCCTGCCGGAAGCCCGTCTCCTTGGACGAAAAAGATTGAAGTTCTGCTTCCTTTAAGAAGATTAAAGAGAGTGTGGTGGGGAGGGAGGGAAGAGACAAACGAGGAGGAACTTCAGATCGTTCCAGCTCAGTGGGTTTGGATTATGAGGTGACGGATAGTAGGTGGGCAAGGAATCTGCGAATGTGGTTTGGACACGACTACGACGTCCATATAACGCGAATGAGAGGGAGGAGTTGATGGTAGGGCCAGGCCCATCCCAAGGCGACTTGGCTGCCGCAGGTCCCGATGTCACCAATGAGCCTAGCCTGAAATTTGGGACTGCCGGCTCTCTCATGAGGCAAAGTTGAGACGGTCTTGACTTTAGGTGTGGGAGGAGCGCCATCCGCGATATGAGCGGAGCGTTGCTTCCTGCAGGCTGTCTCCTACCAACAGGGCCAAGGTTGTAGGAGGTTGTGCAAAACGAAGCCATGGGTGCGGCGATGTGATGACCGGCGAGCTGCGCGATTTGGTAATGCGAGCCACATACATTTCATATCGGTTCCCTAAAGAAGCAACTTAGTTCGAGTTCTAGTTTCAGGTACCGAAAGTCCAGACGATTCAGACCACTCGAGTACGACATGCTGTGCATGTCATCTTCCTACACGTACTCCCACCGGCTCGGTTTTCAAGGCGGAATCAGGTCCATGCCGCCAACTCAACACTGTAACAATCACTGCATGGCTGCAGCCCTTGGCGACCTGAAATTCGATCAAAGATTCCTATATTAATGCAGTCTTATTCTCTTATTTGTGTAAAATATCGTGCGAAACACCAAGATATAGAACAACTAAAGACCACAACTGTGACGTGAGGGAATGTCGTCGAGTCAGGCATGATCAGCTCGGACTCCCCCATGTCATGTCATCGAATGAGTTTCCCGATTCAACATTGATACAACCTTGACTCTACCCAGACCGTCTCAACTCTTTCTCGTTTTCGTTTCACAACTCGCACAGGCTTTGTTTCCTTAAACAGGGCATTTATATGGTCTAATTTCGATCCGTCAAATGATCAACCCATGGTAGGGGATGGGGGGAAGAAGGGCTTATTTGACAGCGGTGACTTGGACTAAAGTCCAAGTCTCCAACCTGTCATCGTCCAAGCCAGAAAACGTCTTTGGGATTTCGTCATCCCCGAAGTTTAGGATACGAGCAGTTCCGACCACCTCGAACTTCTCGCCTCGTGGTCGGAGGACCAGCTCTGCCATTAGCCCTGCCCCGACCACCGGCACGTCACCGGGTTGGACTTGGCCGTCGCATATTGCGAGCATGCCTTGGCCAACCAGGCAAAGGCTCAGGCCATGATAAGCCGACAAGACGCTAGAGGTTGTGTCAATGTCTGTCATATTCTCGTTCGTCATTGACCAGCCAATGGACTGTGCATTGGGTTCCTCGCATCCTGCGCTCGCGCCTTGTCCACGCTGAGAAACGGATTTGACGAGTTTCTTTATCGACCGTTGTCCTTCGGAAGTGAAACCCATCATGAGCCCCCTTTAAATGTTTGCCCACCAACGTCTTGTGACATCCATCTTGGTCTTGAAATCATCGTCGTCTGTCGTCTTGGTTGCTCTTCTATGTCGCCAAACCAACATGCACATATGAGCAAGTAGAGCTTCAGCACCACGTCCCCAAGAGGGGAAGAATTCCAAAATCTCAGCAAAAATGAGCTATCTTTCCACTGCAGGTAGGACTGATTCTTGATATCCTCGCCGTAATTTACCGTCGTTGAAAAGTACCTTGCGCTTGGCATTACCCGGGATCCGCTTGTCATCATTACTGGCGACAGCCGCCAAGCCCTGATTAATAATTGTCCGGTACTGCGTCCAATTTGTGAAAGGCTGAATGCCGAAACTTCGTCAGGAACAATCTGTGGAAGATTCGAAAGCAAGTCTCGCTAATCTTTGAACCCTCCAGGGCTGCCTTGGCTGAGATCTGAAATCCACGGCGGCAATCCATCCACCTTATCTGTGCCAGACCCCAAATTCAAAACCCAAAATGAACCCGAATCAAGGTAGAGTACCAATGCGAGGTCCTCATATGCTCTGGCGAAGGGTTTCGTGTAATCCGGATTCGGCAGGCTGATACCGAGCCTTCCGAGAAGGTTATGAAGTGAAAAGCTCTGGTCGCGTTTTTTCAATGCGTTTCTCCTTTTGATCGTTACTATCAATCGGGTTGCGAGATATGCCGATATCAGCTCTTGGGTACCTTATCCGATTCTTTGTGTTTGTCTCTGAGTAAGGCTGGACCGTAAGGCCCCTTCACTTCAAAGCTTTCTACGATATCCAATAAATCGATCTCGCTTGTTCGATGACCAAGTTTGCGACTCGCGAGAGTGATCCAGTGCTTGAGACAAGTGTTCAAAGATTCCCAAGAAAGGGAAGACTTTCCTAGCGTGACAACCACATGCCTAGATAAGCACAGTCCTTGCAGCGTCCATGTCCTTGTAAACCAAGGGACCTTGGTCAGAAGCTCGATGGCCTTCAAAACGTTTCTGCTTGTTACTGCATGCGTATAAGCCTAAGCTTAAGGACTCGACACAGCATATGCGGCATTCACGGTCGCTTCCGCAAGGTTACGCGCAAGAGTAATAACACACGTCGCGATATCAAGCGCATGGTATTTGGCGAAGCTCATAGCAAGAGTTCCACCCATCTGCATCGTTAAAATAATCACAGCAGTAGCTTATGAGGGGACTCGTCCGTACCAATTGAGCGATTGTGCGCTCAGCGAATCTGTGCACATCTCCTATCAACGCCACCTGAATGTTTTCCTCCGGGAAGCTGGACTAATTGATGCGAATTGCATCGATCCAGAGCAAACTTTCTCGACTAGGATACCGCAAATGACGCAAAGTCTCTAACCAGTTTTTCGTGTCGTTAACACGGCACCCACTGCCCTGTATCGGGTGCGCACCACCTCTTCCATGCCAGACGCACGGCAGCGTTTTGTATGGTGTTGTATCCTGCGATGAGACTCCCAGTAGGTTCTCTCACAAATGATTCTGACGTCGCAGTTGAGGCGTTGTCTGTCACCCGTTTCTTCGTATTCCCTGACATTTGCTATTGGATCAACATGTAGTCTAGTGGTGTCGTTTGGTTTGGGCGTGGCCTAGGTCGTTTATCGCACTCCTGGTTCGGCTTCCTCATTCGTCCTTGACAATTTCATGGTCAAGTGGTAAAAGTTTGACCGCTCCTGAAGATCGGTTTATCTTCAACCTCCGTACCGTCTCTTGTTTCGTCAAAAGGACCCTGTAGAACAAACCTGTATGCACTTGTGCAGTCTGTGCTATCTTGGCTGGATTTAAGATTCGAAGTAAACCTCACTCTCACCCGCATCAACTGTTTTGGTAGTGGATCTTGGCCGGTGATTCCTAGCTCAATAATTTCTTTCTCTAACTGCGCTTCTCTTGTCGCTCGCAGTATGGTTGAAAAATTGGCGGTGAAGGAGGCTCCCAGACCAAAAGGGGACCAGAGTGCTGCCATGACTGCAACAGTCGTGGCACCGGTGGCGAGACTGTATGGAATCCAGAGTTTCTCGGACGCATAGACATAGAGATTTTTGTACAACATAGATATCACAGGCACACCGCCAGGGCTATAGGAGTTGGATGTATTATACCTGTTATCAGATTAGAAGCTTCTTTGACAGGCTAAGGAAAAGGAGATATCAAGAGACCCCTTACCGGATAAAGGGCATACGTGCCATCGAGATCGTGACGTTTTGGAAAAGTTCTGGCAGAGATTCAACCAGTGACCTATGGCTTTGTTTGGGCTCATCTTCAATAGGCCCGAAAAGTGCTAACGAAGCGTCATAAACTTTGCCTTCTGTTGACTCTGTGAGTCGTTTAAGATCTTCTGGTATATTTCGAAACTCGTATAGCTCCTGCGTCTCAGCTAGCGTCGTATTAAACATGAGAGGCCTATCACGAACCTCGCGGCCCTCGCCAGTAGACCAGGTTTCTGGTGTCCATGTCGACTCTTGGGCCTTGAATCCTTTGAGTAGATCTCGGAAGCAATCGAAAATAGCCAGGTAAGATGGGAGTCGTGAATCATGTCCCTGTGTCCAGTTGGGATTGTACGAATTTAACCCATAGAAGTCTCCGGAGTAGATAGCAAGATCACCAGTCTCATCTCTATCCATCAGCAGAACTGCCCGATTTTCTGTGAGTGCATTATCGGTTATGGTGGTTACATTCACGACCTTGATATGTTGGCTCTCATCAACATTCAACCCGTTGTAGTTGAGCTGAACAGTATACATCGCGGAGGCGGGGCGGCACTCAATCAATGTAGCTCCTTCAAAGAACCTATTCATGAAGTGTTGTTCTTCCACGGATGCCATACATAATTTGGCGACATGATTGTGTGATCGCAACTGGGGCAATCTGAAAACCAGCTTTCTGATTCTGGTGACGAATTGGGAATCGTTCGGTTGAAGTACTCTGGAGAAAAGTTCCAATTCTGAAGTCGTAAAAAGCTCCCTTTACATAATCGTCTTCTAAGGCCCATGAGATTGGCCGTTTGCTCGAGACATTCAAGGAGAGTTGCCCATGACTTCGAAACCAGGCAATGTAGGAAAACATCTAGTCAACTAATGATGTATGATCTCGGCAGTTTTATTCTGTGGGAACATCTATTCCGAGTACATGGACTGGTTGAAAACGCTGAGCATGTCTAATTTGACTGCTTGAGCAGCCGAGGCATTCAACCTATGACAGTCTAATCGAGAGCTCTTCAAGAATACCTCCCACGACGCATTAACGGCTGGAGGTGCTATGGGTAGAATCTTCTCTGCTGCCGCTGTTTGTAGGACAACGCGCTGTACTGGCGACCTTGATCCGTCGTATTCAAGTGCTATCTCTCCACGAGGCATCGGTAGTGATGCAGTTTTGGCAAAGGCCAGGCTGACAAAAGCCGGCAAAGGTACCTGCATTGACTGAATAGGCGCGAAGGTTGCAGCTTTGCAACCGATATTGATAAGGACGAGGGAGCAAAGATAGTTGCTATGGGTATTGACCTGTGTTGAATTGTGAGATTGAAAACCAAAGAGGCTGGGAAAGAGCTGTAAGCCTGCCTGGGGACTCCTACCATACCAGAAAAGCTATCAGTATCAGCTTGGGATATTTATAGTGATAGGTCATTGAGAAAGCTGCAATTATGTTCTCTAGAGGCCCGAGCAGGTTGTCGAGCTCCGCAATTCGAAAATCAAGGTTGATTATGGTTCGGAATAGAATTTGAGTGTAAGAACTTGCCACGGAAATTACAAGACAAGATCTGACAATAAAGGCAAGAGCAGTGCCGATCGCCACGCTAATCTGTTGCCTTGAGAACTTATGTCCTGCGATGATATAAGTATCTTCTGAAAATTCTTTCTCATCCAAATGGTCGTTGGAAAGATGATGGCTGAGAGCAAGAAGAGATCCAAAGAACAAAGACCCAACCATCAAGGACGGGGCACGCCAGTGGGGAGTCTGATGATGACTGGCTGGAGACTCATCGTTGGCGAGAGCGGTACTACTGTTTCTGCTTATGATATATGGGAGCTTCATTCGGAAAGCTCAGTGTGTGAGGAGCACCTTTCAGCACAACTGGTTTCTAAGAGGATCCGTGAGAATATGGTCGAGAGTTGCTCGGGAAAACGCATCAGGGTCGCAAGTCGGGACAAATCTTGGGCGTCACAGATCTGCGAGGCCCAAGTTACCTTCTTATTACCTCAGGTCGTGGCGGTTTCCTCGCGCCCCGAAGAAGTTGAGAAATTCTAGAACTCATCAAAGAGACCTTATGATGGGTAGAAGGATAAATCAAAAGTGACAGCCGTGAAGCCACAGCTGTACTGCCTGCTTCGATGCCAAGCAGGCTATACGCAGGTGAGACTGATGTTGATGTTGACGAATCACCTCTCGGCAGAAACGTCTCATCCTGCACCCTATTTTGCTATGCTACCTCATCTCTCACATTCAACTATATCAGTAGGGCACTGACTGTTACGTTGCATATTTGGTGCGGATGATCTAGACTTTGGACGCATTGCCTGAGACGCCCTCGTTGACACGGTTGGTTAGGTTTGCGCCATGTTACCCCCACACGCACATTTCATCGTAGTTGCATTTGACTACAGACAATTGCATCTGGGCTGTCAACGTCTTCGAGCCGACCGCTGATTATCGAAGGTTGATCTCACGAGCTGGTTAATGTCGAGAAAACATTTGGTTGTCTACATGTAGAAAGGGCCACGGACGCCCGACGGACAGGTTTCGATATAAAGCCTCAACTTAGTACACTAAACGGGACAGCCGTCAGCAGTCTCGCGTTCCTCCAACAATTAATAAAAAAAACAAAATAAAGAATGAATAAAGTAAGATTTACCCGAAGCCTACTTACCCTGTGCTGTATCGATATTGCACTGATGAAGAGCTCGGATGATGGACGAATAATGTAGAGAAGTTTGAATGTCTAATCCCTCGATTTGATCGCTGCCGGCCGATTTTCTTCTCTGAGAGATGGCACCGACCGACAATTGGTGACAAGATTTAAGTGCCGAAGGCGAAGGATCTTGCTCAAGACTTGATTAGCAGAACTTAGAAGTATTTGATTGCCCCTTTGCACCCGCTCAGGGGTTTAATATGAACTCAAAGTCCTTTGCTAGCCATGTCAAAAGACGAGTCGACAAGCTGGGTCTATCACGCGCAGTAATATCGTGCAATCACGATGAACATATCGTTAACTCACATCCGACCTACTGAGATCGAGACCAAGGCTTGCACGTTTTCCCTGTTGACAGTCCACTTAGACGTCTTCGTAACTAGGGCTCAACATCTGCGGATAGCCCAGATCGACGCAGTGGGAATATGTAGTTTGGATTCAGGCTATTCGCGGCACCTGCAACGATTGAAATTGGAATGCCATGCACAATGGTTCTGTACCACTTCCGCAATCCACCGTGTTGCAACTTACACGTTGTGTAAGGCAATAAGCCGATAAGATGATGGACGAAGTCAGGCTGTCAGCACACGGGCTATTTCCTAGACTAGTCCTGGTTTTCCTTACGGCTGCAACTTCCAAAGTATGGCTTTTCAACACTTTCGTCATACTTATATATGAGGACAGAATCTGGCCGTCATAAGACGGACAGCATTTTGCGCAGCTCGACGGAATTTGCTTCGGAGGCCTTATGAATTACGACAATATTCCTAAATCTCAGACTCAGAGCGCTAGATGATGATGCACGCTTTACTCCATATTACTCCAGCAGCTACCGGCTTCGCGAAGATCCGGTATGTGGGCGCGCGACTCCCAGTCGAAAGTCTGTTGATCAGTATCAACAGGCTTTTAAGCTTAGATGGTGAGATGAAGTGACCGGCCGGCCATGCTGGAAACTGCATCACCCGAGCGCTAACCGCCTCCTACAAGCCCGAGGAGGGGCCCAGTATTATTACGAATTATCCGGCGGGATTGACTCGCGGCAGGCATTTAAGGTTGCCTCACCTGTAGATTAAACAGAGTCCACTCACTGCCGCGCCCCTTTCAAGCACTGCACAGTCGGGAAAGGCCAAGCTTTCGAGCTCGATGGGTCTTTTGCCCACCGGCGTCTCAAGTTCATGAGAAGCTGTCTATCTCCCCGTGGAAGGCCACTCCGGACGATATCAAGCAATAATAGCGGAATCGAGTATATGAAGCCAGTGCAACGCGTAAAGAGAACCGACAGGAACCTAATTCAGGGGCGAGAGCCTTATGGTTATTAATCCTCCGTTCCCCTTCGCTCACTGGTGCAACGCGGCCGCCAGCAGGAGGGGGATCGCCCAAAGTTCAAACTGTAGATCCCGGAACTGGCTAATGCACACTTGTGCTGTGCAGCGGAAACCCCACGAATTGCATGGCGGGTGGCGCTGTTTGAGAACGCGCAAACGAACCCGATCGACAAACGGCAGAAAGGATGAATTATCCTTCGCAACCTTTTGACAATTGGTGTTCAGTCGCAAGGTGCCAACGAAGAGTAAGAAGACATCGGAAGGTTGGACAAAAGCAGGGCAAAGTTCTAGGGGGTGCGTTCGTTCGAATTAAATTGAACGGAGGAGCCAATGGTCTGTGTATTTTCGGTTGAATATGGGCTGGTTTGAGCTTTCGCCCCAGCTTCGAGGGCAGCTCTCTCCTCCAGGCTTTCACGCATTCGCGCGTCAATTTGTCAAATAAACTTGGCGTTTGCCGGTTTGTGTTCTTGGCTTAAAGACTCCGACTTTCGTCTTTTCGACCGGACAAGACGGCTTAGCTTCCCCAGGCTGGCCTCTGCGCCCTCAAGTCCAACCAGCTCACCCTGGAAACGTGACTCGCTGATGATTGAAATGCGGAGGGGTTCCTTCCAGTCTTCAACAATTCAGAAGGACCTGAAGGGGCAGACTGTCAGGATTGATTGGCGGACCTCGAGGGTGAAAGGGGCCGTTTGACGTGCGATCCCCCGTCACCAAGAAAAGCTCAATCCGGGACGGCCGATCTGATCTTTCAGGCGCTGGCGGCCACAGCTTGGGCGGGGACAGAAGACACTCTGAAACGATGCGCTTCTCACGTTGGGCGAAGGAACCATGTCAATGTCCAGTGTTGGATATTCAGCACCCCTGCTCACCTCTGGGAGACTGAAGAGAGGAAAACTGAGCCTCCTTCCAGCCTCAATCGGGGAGGAGGACAATGGGAGACTAAGAGGAATCGAGGAAGTGGTCCCGGCCGGGCCGCCCACATCGGCTTCGAAGCCGCTGGAGACTTTTGAGAGGAAGCTGGCGAATCGGGGGCCGGAAAGACGGCAGACAGCGGGACGTCTTGGCGGGAGAGACGGGGACCGGGTCCCCCTAGAACCCGGAACCCTTGGTCGAGGAATGCGAGAAATGGTAGGGTAGGGTAGCTGTGTGGCACGCAAGTGGCTTGACGATGTAAGGGGAGCAAGGGGAAGGGCGGAGGGTTTGTCGCACCAAGTCGTTTTCGGACCTCTTGGCAGGTGACTCTGAAACTGAGAAACATCGGCGCCAGCGTTCCATTGCTCGCCTCTTCTTGCCTCGTGTTGCCTCCTCGGTTACACTTGTCCGCATTGTTCGTCTCTTGGCGACAGGCAAGGTTTGGAAAGGCTGCGGGCTACTCCTCCAGTCTCCTCCACCAAGTAACCTCAACCCACACGGAGAGGAGCAGAGGAAAGGCAAACAATCCCAACTTTTCTCTTCCAGATGGCCCCAAAGCCAGGGATGGCACAGCGGATGAGTAGTGTGGGTGTTCACAGCAACAGCGCTTCCTGACGCAATGACATGGACAAGACAGCGGCTGCACGGGCTCTAGACAGGCCCAGAAGACCTGGCAACGTTGCAAGGGTGGATGGAAAAGACGAGACCAAAAAGTAAAGACGTCCCTGTTTCTTCCTTTTCGAAGCCCTCTTGGAGTTCTTCTGCACGTTTACCCTCCAAGTCGTTTGGCAACCAACATCTCTGGGAACGTCACTCTTCCCCCTCCTTTCGATACAAGGCCAAGATGACTTGAAGCTTCTTTTTTGAGTTCGCAAGTCTTTCTTCGTTGCCTTCTTCACCTTCTTTCCCTTCTCTTCGCGGGCAGTGCCCTTTTCTTTTTGATTCGACCATCCTCCCAGCTGCGCTGCTTCATCAAACCTGCGTCTCGACGACCTAGTTTCATATCTTTGTCACTTTTCCCTCGACCGTAGACTCGGATTTATAGCACTTTAACAACAATCAACTTCCCAACCTAACTGTTTACTCATTACCAAACTCGAGATGGTTTCTCCTATGGGCACTTTGAGGAGGTAGGCTATTACTCCTTAATCTAAAAGCAGTAACAAGACTAAGTAAACGCACAGGCGCGCTATCCGCCGCCCGAGATACATCAGAGACGATTTGAAGATCGCCGTCCGCGACGATCCGGGCGAAATCTCATCTGACGACGAAGATTCCCCTTCGCCCAAGAGCACCACGTTCCCACCCAGCGCAAGACCAACAGCACCCCCTCCGCCACCAGCAGTCGGAGTGGCTCCGCCCGCCGTCCTCAACCCTGCCAACCCCACGGATACGGAGAGCGGCACATCGAGTGATTCCCCGTCGCCCACGTCTACCGAATTCCCGAGACCGACTGAGCCTCCGCGCGGCCCGCAACGCGGAGAGACTGGAGCCACTCCTTTTTCTTCCTCTATCAGTACTACTACCGAATCTTCAAGCTCGACCAGGACTCCCACGGCTCTCCCAAATAGCCGCAGCACCACTAGCTTCGACTCGCAGCCGACAGGGGGCACGACCAGGGGAGGCAACGACACCGGTCTTGGGGACGATAGGTCTGGTGAAGTAGGATGGACACCAACCGCGATTGCGTTCGGGACGATTGGTATGTCTAGATCTCACTTCACATTTCGTTCAGGTTCGATTCACTTATGTGCAAAGTTGAACTAACATCTACTTCAAGCCATCGCTGCACTCTTCCTCGTCATTGGCGTCGGTATCTGGTGGTGTCTCCGCTACCGAAAACGCCGCCAAGCCCGTCATATCTACGAACGAAGCATGTCACCCGACAACCATCAATACTGGGACCCCTCGTCAACCTTCTCGGCACCCTCTATGCCCGCTGCCCGCCCGTCCCGCCGCTCACCCTCAAGCATCTTTGCCGAACTCATGGGCCACGCCTACGCCGCAGAGAACGGCAATACAGGAACCGGAACTTACAGTAACGACCGCAACTCGCTGACACCCCAGGGCTACCTCGACGAGAAGAGGTACGACCCCGCCCGCCAGCTACCCATCCTCGAGCCCGCGCCCGTCGCCCAGCCCAACGTCCGTAACTCCATCGCCAGCTGGATCCGTCGCCACCACCCACTCAAGTTGAATCCCATGTCCGGCCGTAGCAGCATGTACTCCACCCGCAGCGGCTTCGGCGCGAGCACGAACAACATCAACGCACCGCCGGTCCCGAACGTGCCGGACGCCTACCGAAGCACCGACCGAGTGGAACAGACCGGGCTAGCTCCTCCGCCTCAGCAGCATTACGCACCATCTAGCCAATATGACACCGGAAGCCCCTCAACCGACTACAACACCAACTCCCTTCTGTCTCTATACCAAACTCAACCGCCCCAACAGTCTGGTCAGCAGCAGCCCCCGGCAGCCCCGTGGCTTCAGGACCCGCCCCCGGTCGTGTTAGGCGAGCGCGGCGTCTCCATGGCCCCGACTGAAGCTACCGAAAGTACCTGGCGAAGCTGGGGCGCCGGCGTCAACCAGCCCCAGCACCAGCATCAAGCCCCTCCCGAGACCCCTCGCAAGGGCTGGATCGAGAAGTGTATCAAATTCGGAGGTCTGAAATAAAGGGCTTGTACAAAGAAGCAAGAAGAACATGGATTGCTGCGACTAGTTACTTACACCCCACGCCTGCGATACCGCAAAAGCCGATACCATAGTGTTGAATACCTGTTTCGAGTGTGCATATTGAGCAAACTTACCAAAACGTACATACAAATTGAGATTCTACGAGACCCGATGGGACTCGTCGACATGAACCCGACTTCCATCTTTTACTCCATTCTAGAATAAGCGCCTGGTCAAGGGTAACACCAGTCGACGCGACTTAGATGTCATGAGACCTGTGTTATGCAGCCATCACGGGTGCGCCACTGCTGCTTGTTGATGAGGCACCCAATCATCACAGTGCAAGGTACGCGTCAGACGATTACCATGACCATGGTAATCCAGTTGGCTGAAATCGCGCGCTCGCGCGCTAACCCCGCAGATTGCCAGGCTCTCACCGAAAATGATGCCATTGAAGTTCTATTTGAGATTGAGTCCCGCCGCAACTCTCGTGGGTGTTTAGTAACAATCAACTCAGCAATTGTTCGCTTCCCATGACGCCATCTTATCACTGTCTTCCTTAATAGGTACTAGACGTCAACCACTCCCAGCGACTCGACGAGCCGCTCGAACCAACGCTGATTGCATATGTAGTCACCAACGTCAGGGAGGGCTCGAAAGATGTGCAAGCAACGGTGGCGAATGCATTACTCTTGCGGCTGTGGCTACTATGAGACGGAATGGCAGAAAATTGAGTGCAGCAGGACACGCCTCCATCTCAACACTACATACACAGGCGATGCTGGAATCTGCATGGCATGCGATGAAGATCCTCCTTAACCCGCCTTCCTAGCACACGTACTACTCACCTATCTCAATCGATACTATCGCTCAGTGATCGTTTTGCGTGCCAATGTGAGGTGAAATGAGGTTACAAAACCTATTCGCAAGAGACAAGTACCTCAACGCTCTGGGCAACCTTCGTATTCATATTACTTTGTGCCAGCGATACAATTTCCCATCGTATACGGCCTCTGTCCATGCAAAGCAGCTCTCAACTCCGTCTCAAAGTCTTCACACCATGCTTCCTCCCCGTGAATCGGCTTCCATCCGAGTTTCTCTCTCGCCACAGTCCCCTTCGTCTTGCGATGTCCAGCATACCCAGTCTCAGCAACATCCATATTGCCAGCGCACGTCTCTGCCGCCTCCTCAAGGCTGACATTTCTCACAATTTTCTTCTGCGGCCCTCCTTCCTTGGGAAGATTTCCTGTCGCAAACGCGATATCGAGACACTTTCGAGGGATATCAATCGTTAATGTCCTCCCCACTGTGGGAAACATAATCCCCTTCTTGCCCCTCGGCACATTGACACCGGCGCGCTCGACAATGTCTAACACGCAAAGAACGTAGAGGTCCGCGAGATCAGACACATGAACGTAATCAATGCAGCCCGTCTCATCGCCCAGCGTCAACCCATAGCCGTTTCGAAGGACGTAGCCCATCATGATGGGAATCATTAAGCCCGCTTTATTGAAGAGTCCTGATCCAGGCCCAAAGATGCATGGCGACTGGATGCTGACTGCGTTCACGCCGAGCTTGTCCCCACTTCTGAGCACATCCAATTCTGCAGTTCGTTGAGGGTATGGATCCTTCGCGTTCTCAGATTCTTCGAATTCGTACACTTTCTCGGCAAAGGTGTCTTCATATTCAGTATCTGGCCTGTTGACTCCAGTCAAGGGTTTGTCCGCGATGTTGGACGCCCCCGAGGTGTGGATCACCCAGACAGGTCGGCCTCCGTTCCGATCCTTGTGTTTATCAAGACCTTGGACGAAAGCCTCTGCCGAGGGAGGATGAAAGCCTGAGCCTGCGTTGATCACGATATCGTGCTCGGAGGCAAGAGCTGTTAAGGCTGAAGTATCGTCGTAGGAGGCGATGGAGACAGGCTTAACACGCGGGCCATATGCTTTCGTGAGATTTGCTGCACGTTCTTGACTGCCGCGGATTGGGACAGTGATCGGAGAGGAAGATGAGATCGTGGAGGTGAGAGAGGGGTGCTTGAGGAGGTGGTGGAGGACAGACCCGCCGACATAGCCGGTTGCGCCGCTAAGGAGAATCATTGGTGGTGAGTTCGACGCAGTCATGATGAGTAGATATATGAGCAGCAGGTCTGGACTATACTAGCGAGAACGGAGGATATGGCCGTTCTGTTCTGAGGCTAGAGCGAACATTTGATCTACATATGGATTATCCCTCCATCTTCAGACATGGCCAGGGAAGAAGTCAAGAGGAGGGGCAGTTTTGAATCCCCCACTCATGTTCCCCCAAAATCGCAGACCGCCAGAGATGCTCCCAGAGATTCAAATTGACAGAACCAACAGATCCTCCATTCTTGGCCCGCTGAAGAATCCATGGACCCTGGAGAGCATTGATCAATCACCGTCGAGGGAACCCCCGGACCGGACTCCGGCTCCGCTTGCGTGACCTAACTCTGCAAGCTTCTGTGTCATTGCAACAAGTCAATCCCCACTCTCGAGGGCGAGAACTTACTGTTTTAAGGATGGTGTGATGCAAGAACGTTGTTGGTGAACCAACAGGTTTGCCTGCACCAACAACAGTTTGCACTTTTGCATGGTCAACGTCAAGCATGGAACCGTTTCGGACATCGGCCTGGATATCGTAAGATCCCGAGTCTAAAGTTTGGTCAAACCGAATCCCTGATCTGATTCGCGGTCGCTGGGTCAGAGTCTAGCATGGACTAGAATTCTGACTGTTTGACCACATATCGGACTTCTCGTCGGCAACTTTGTTTAGGACCTGTCTAGTTTTCTAGAATTCAGAAAAATGGGTTGAATTTTATGTGTACATTAAATATCGCTTGATTAGAACCAGGCTCGCCTTCTCAAAGACCGATCTTGGCGGCGAGGTAGTGAACTGCCACCTTTGTTGTGAGGGCCAGGATGCCTGTAGCCGGGATCTTGTCGTCGTCGGAACGTCTCTGCCAGCCGAGCTCAAAAGGTAATCTTTCGTTTTCTATTAGAGTCGAATGTTAGCTTCCTCGGTGTCTTTAAGTAACAAGTCAGTCTGGGCTTACCAAAAAAGTATTCAACCCAAGCCCTGTTGGCATTTCCATCGTCATAGTCCCCAAAGAGACCAAGGTACATAGCCGTCTGTCCCAACGAGTTGGTATATCCATCGAGCGGCAGCTTATACTCCGGGTTGATCTTCTCTGCACTTTTCTGTCTCGCAACAAGTGCCTTGGCAGCATCGCTGATGGAAATCTTCTCCGAAGGCCAGTACGACTTGGTCTCATCAAAGATTGTCTGGTTGAAAGACCAATTATCGCCAAAGTAGATGTCCGCTCGGCTCAATGATGCGTCATGCTCAATCAAGTCGTGCTTATTCAAGTCATTGAGGTGGAAGGTGTCTTTGTTACCCGTCGATGATGCCTCGAGGGCTTTGTTTCCTTGTAGGCGGAAGAATAGTTTCGCATCCTCCCGAAGGTTGAGGCCAGTGTGCATGCCTTCGATCAGGGTGTCCACGGAGATATTTTGGCCGTTTCGGGGGAGATAGCCGTGGTTTGCGAGACTGTTAAGGAGGGGACACGGGGCGCGGCCTAGGGATATCGAGGTTAGTTGTTGATACCATCTAGGGATGACAAGCTAAGTTGTTTACTAACGATCATTGGATCCTGGCATTTGCCACGCATGTTGAGCATCTTGACACAGAACCGAAGTCGAGAACAGAGCGAAAGAGAGAAGAGTGACGCGCATCTTGGCTGGGAAACTCGACAACGCGAGCAAAGGAGAGACTGATAGTCGGGTGCGAAAGAATGGACTAGACAAAGTGATCTACAGGATTCAACAATAAACAGGCGTCCATACGCTAGATATGCTTCACCCATGATCGGCGGAAAGACCGATCTTGACCGGGGGACATGACCAAATCAGGAAAGAGACACGGGCCACCCCGGGCTCCCCGATGGCCGGCTCCACGGCCGAGGACCGAAATGCGATGCGGGTGGATCGGAACCCCGTATTCTGGAAATTGCTTCAACTTAAATTTAGTGCAACATCAGGCAAACAGCCACACACGGAGTTCGAATTACTCATCTTTTTGACTCGAGGTGGTCCACTACCTTCTGCTTTGAGTATATATATGCACCTTTTTATATATGCGGACGTGAATGAATTCGGACTCTTGAGGTTGCCGCTCTACCTTTCCGGGTTATTGACCCGTCTTCGTTGCCGTTTATCCACCGAAAGTCCGTTCATGAATGTTTTCGGCTGCCCATTCAAGTCGCATAACCACAGCTTCACGTTGATGCGTGATATGAAATAAGTATCAACTCTAGTTGAGATAGTTGTTCTCGCAATGGGTTACCGAATGCTGTCCCAAGCTGTGGAGCAAGCACCTCATTCAGAACATCTTCTCCCTGGCAGTTAAGGTGCCTGGTTCTGCCGAATTTCTCATCGATGTCGATTCGCTGCGCAATGCTAGCCAATGGCGAAGTGCGCAAAACGCAAGATACCCTGCTTACGCACCGACCACAATCGAATCGGAGTGCTGAGTGGTGGAGTGATATGCAAGCTGACCGAGTGGGATTACTTGTAAAACGGTCTGCCTATCAATGTGCCTGGCTGCGCCCCGGAGCCTGCTGCTGACAAAAGGAGGCAATCGCGGATAAGGACGCCTTTCCCCGCTCTTAAGGGATCATCTTCTCGTCGCTTGGTCTCAAAATCTGCACTGCTCTCCGTGCCAACAACCAGGCATTCTTCAGATTGTCATGTCAGACCCTCTCTCGATCGCTGGCAGCATTGCTGGCATCGTTCAGTTATCCGCAGCTGTTTTCCAGCATGTCTCCAAGTTCGTGAAAGACGCAAAGGGCGCTGAGAAGACCGTTAAAGACCTTGCAGATCAGACTAGAAACTTGTCCGGCGTTTTGCACAATCTCGCCCTCCTCGCGTCGTCACTTGAGCAGGAGACCGCTACCTCAGCGTTCAAGGCACATCATCTCCACGCCTGCCGACAGACTCTACTTGCCGTAGAGAAACGTCTGGAAAAGCCGTTGTCTGGATTCAACGAAGAGAGTAGACGACAAGCAGTATACCGCAGCCTGAAATGGCCTTTCTCCGGCGAAGACACCAAGGGGTTGCTGGCGCAGATTGAAGGCCATCGAAACACCATTTCTCTGGCCCTATCCACAGACACCCTCGAGAGCATGTTAAAGTGTTTGGAAAAGCAGGACGATATTATTGGAACCCTTATCTCACTGAATCAGAAGGTCAAGCGCCTGACTACCATTCAGACTAGGATAGAATGTGACGAGAAGCGTCGGAAGATCATCGACTATTTCTTGAAGGTGAATCCTCAGGTCAACTTACAAACCTCGAGTCGAATGCGTCAGCCCCTCACCGGACTATGGCTCACAGAAAGCAATTCTATCTTCTTGAAGTGGGCTGACCTCCCGCGCTCCGGTCTCTGGTTGAGCGGAATACCCGGAGCTGGTAAAACCATTCTATCTGGCATGGTCATCGAGAAAGTATTACAAAAGAGCAGCCAATCAGTCGCTGTTGCATTCTTCTACTGTGATTACAAGAATAATGATAGCCAGAAGCTTCTCAATATCTTGAGCACAATAGCCGTCCAATTAGGACAGCAGAACCAGCAGGCTTTCAGAATTCTTGAGGAATACCACGGAGGATTGAGATCCGCAAATGGTCTAGATGCACAGCCTGAGCCAAAAGAACTGCTTGATCTGATAATGAAAGTCATCTCGGTGTACGAGAAGGTGTTCATTGTCGTCGATGGACTTGACGAATGTGGAGGCAACGTAGCGGAAGTAGCTAAGGCTATTAAACTTCTTTTAGATGACTCGTCATCCGCCAGCATTGCAGTATTCAGTCGGGACGAGCAGGAAATTCGAGACGAATTCGCGGACGAGTTCGCTCGTATTGAGATCGCAGCTCATACGGAAGACCTCGACATCTACATTCGTGCCGAGATGGCCCACAGAAGACAACTTCGCAATCTTGGTATCCAGAATCCACAGTTTGCCGAAGAGATCCGGCACCAGCTCGTGGACGGAGCACAAGGAATGTGAGAACAGTTCCATCCTCTAACCCATCGACTTGTTTTGCGGTAGTTGATGAATATAGGTTTCGATGGGTATCATGTCAGCTAGACTACCTCTGCGAGCTGAGTACCAATCGTGCCCGGCGGGCAGCCTTGAAATCTCTACCCCCAACACTTCCAGAGACATACCATAGGCTATTGATCAGAATCGCTCAATCAGGAACAGACTCCATGAGTCTTGTGCGAAGAGTGCTGCATTGGACCATTGCAGGAAGTCGAATGACTCTGGCCGAGATGCGAGAGGCAGTGTCATTCGTTTCTTGTCCCAGCAATCAATTTGGACCTGATGACCTCATTGACGAGAATGAAATCTTCAGGAGATGCAGCAGTCTGGTTAGAAAGTCCGAAGTAACTAGGGGCTATTCTGTGCCCTCTATAGAGTTGGCCCACTTCACAGTTGAAGAATATCTCACGAGCATCGACGATACTTCCGACGTCAAATTCTTCAAGTACAAGCGGCACGAGGCAGATGAAGAGCTTTCGACGGCTTGTCTAAGACTGTTCGTCTCTAGAGCTGATAACACCAAGCTAGACCCAATGACCGACCTCACGCTGAACATGAACCGTGTACTGGAGCGTTTCATCGGAAATTACTTTTACTTGTATTCGACCGCTAGGTTGTGCGAATTCTGCACTCCCTATCCAATCTCCAAGAGCCACGGAGAATTTTGGTTACATTCACAGAACATCGCCGAGTTTGATAAGCTTAAACTCTTGTTTCAATCCTCACGAGGGATCTCGCTTCTGGAACTGGCCATTGGATCAAGAATCAGATGCACGATTGCAGACAGCAGCCTTCTTAAAGGTCGTTGGAACAAGGATGAGGATAACGAGAAGGCGACTCTCATAAAAGCCGAAGCCAAAACACTTCTCGCAGCTCTTCTCTCACCGGGCTTCACACCATTACAACTTGCAGCTGCCATGGGAAACCCTGGGTTATGCAGCTTCCTCTGTGAAAGGATGACGCCAATAAGCCCTTGGGAACTTCAAAAATGTTTGTATTTCGCCTTCAGTTCCATGCAACTCTTTTATAGGAGACTAGGGACCTCTGATGATGTAGGCCAATACCCGGGTAGCTATCTGGGTCAATTTCGAACGCCACACCGAACCAATGCGATCACGACCTTGCTTCGCGCACTTTTGGAAAAGAACACTATTGAGACATTATATTTCGCCAAAAGCACGTCACCTCCTGGGACAGGTTTCGCGGGAAACACACTCCTTCATGTCGCCGCTCTTTACGGAGAGTTGGGGCCTGTAAATATTCTCCTCGAGGCCGGATTTCTCCCTGACGATCGGAATTCACATTCGGAAACCCCCTTTGACTTGGCGGTTAAACAGAAATGGTGGGAACTAGCAAACCGCTTGCTCCGATCGAAATCACCACATATAAAAGCGTACAGAGCTATTGAAGATGGGTCCGATAGGAACGAGAATAGTCCTGACTTCATTACAAAGGACTTGGAGGCCATGCCACCGCCATCCGCGACTGTGGTCAGGTTTGCGGTTCAATACGACGATTTAGAACTTCTCAAAGCCGTCATTGACCAAGGCGTTTCCGTGAACGTTGAGCTACCTGATTGTCTCAGTTGCCCTCGGAGTCCACTGGTCTTGTCTATAGTACTTGGTAGAAGACAATTCGTCCTATGGCTACTCTCGCAGGGTGCGAGCTTGGAGAATTGTGCTTACAGGAAACTACCACTGGGACTACAAAGCGTGGTTTCGTTGATAGTGTTCTATAAACTAGACATTGACATACTCGAGCTGGCGCTGGAAGAGTCCCTTCGTCAGAAAGTCTGGTGTACGGAAGAAGAACTAAATCCGTTTCATGTCGCAGCTCTCAGGTCAAACTCCGATGCTATGAGATGCTTATTCAAAAGTTACGAAGAAAACTCTCGTTTTTGGGGGTAAGTGATGCTATTCGAAGCATGTTTCTCTTAAGTCACTTTTACTAGCCCGAAATGTTTGAGGCGGAATTCACAGGAATTGCTTACTGATAAGCTTACAGCTCGACAAGACAGCCTCGTAAAATTGGCTTGACATCAGCAGCATCAATGCTCGGAGTCTTTCCCACTCTAATCAACGATTTAAGCACAGTGAATTCAGATGATAACGAACACTGGCCAAGAGAAAAGAGTTTTCGAGGCACTCCCCTTCACTACGCCGTCGTAGCAGGCTGCGAAACATCTGTCCTCCTCCTTCTTTCACATGGTGCTGATTCAAACACGATCGACCAGTATCAAAGGTCTCCGTTAATCATAGCGGTGCAAAACAATTTCAAAAACATAGCTGAACTACTAGTCAACGCTGGTGTGGACTTAGCATGCTCCGATGACGAAAACCAGACGGCCCTTATGTGCGCAGCGACAGAGGGTAATATGGAAATGATCAAAGTTTTGGATAAAAGCAACGTTGTGCTGTCCATGCCAGATTCGCATGGACACACAGCCCTTCACTACGCTGTGAGTGACCAGGACACTGCCGTTAGCACGTTCATTTACTTCACTGAGAGGGGACTAGAATCGGTCTTTGCCAATTCCAACGCAATGGAAAGTGCGGCCTCATATGTCTTTCGACAAAGCAGACAAAACAATCCTTTGGTCACATTTGTTCTGAATTCCGGCTTTCTCACGCGCATCACAAAATTCGACATTGGAAATCCCCTTTCATGTGCTGTGGCTGCAAGCGACGACGGTCTTCTTCGCAGGCTTTGGCGAATTCTTCAGAATTGTCCTGAGTCTCAGAGACTTCTCAATGGAGAGACTGAACTTGAGTACAGTCCTCTATGTCTTGCGGCAATGGGTGGCAAAGATCTCTTCATCCAGCAGTTGCTGGAGTACAAAGCCGATCCAAACAAAGAAGGGTGTCGACATGGAAGCCCATTGATGGGTGCTTGCACATTTGGCAGACTGGAGGCTGCGAAAAGACTCATTCGCAGCGGCGCTGCGATATCCTATACAAGCGAGAAGGGCATATATCGGAACGCTTTTACAGTTGCCATGCCCTTTCCTCGTCTTCAATCATGGTTACTGGTTGGCAGATTTCAGGATCAACCCAAATTGTGTTCTGACTCTCATTGGAAAGATTGTGATTCAAGAGTAGGGCATTGGAGTGGGTTCTTGAAAGCTGAGTGGAGGCTAGTAGGGAAGAACAAGCAGCTCAGAGACGAGTCTATGCTTGACTATCTCATTAAATGTCACCAGCTCAAGAGGTGGGCCGGGGGACGTGTCCTGGTTCCATGATTTGCACTAGGCACTCATTGTTTAATTCTCACAGCGATGTTTGTTTGTAATTATTGGTGTTTTCCACTTTCCTATCCTGGGCCGTGACCATATCCTTTCTGGGCCATCGAATTCTGGATACGGATTGACCTCTGCAGTTGACATCAACAAGCTGTTGGTCAACGCCGTCTAATTGGCCACTAGCCAGAAAGTAATACCAATGATATTGCTTGCGGGGGACTTGAAAGTAATCTGGCACACTATACCTATACTGCTAGCATCCAATGAGCCTTCACAGTATATGCTCGAACTGATCTGGGAAGACTTCAAGTCGTCATCCAGGAAGTTATCTCTGTGCAGCCACACGGTTTTTCAATAAACAGAAAGTCCGTGGCAAGGGTACCCCTTTATCGCTGTCGATGTAAGAAGGCTAAAGTAAAGTGTGAGCGCTCGCGTCCTGATGCAGAAACACTCGCGATGCAGAACACCTCATCAACCATGCGCGTGTACTTGCTCACAATCAAGTACAATGACCATCTGATGTATCGACGTCAAAGTCCCAAGGATCCTGGCAGCATTTTGACGGTGACGTGACGAGGGAAGCCCAGTAGACGTGGTCTGCGACATATTGGCACACTCCCACCGGCCTCCGGTCATGATGCGTAGGCGTCATAAGCTACGTATGAAGTCTCAATCGGTGTATGTTTTCATGCCGAGACAAAGAATTCGCCTTCATGACCTTAAACCCTTATCGATACTCTCAATCCATCACCGGGACCGGTGGACCATTTTCAGATATAAACTCAGACCATCATAGCTATCCATTTTCAATTCACAACTTCATACCGTTACTGCAAGTTTCAACGACATTCCACTTGCGCCATTTTCTCTTAGTAATCACAATTATCCTTATCTTACACCTTCTACTATTATTACAAGATGAAGACTCAAATTACCATCCTGGCCTTAGCTGCAATGGCAGTATGTAGTCCTGTCCGCCTGGACCACCGTACAGTCCAACTTCAAAGCCGCGAGACTGGAACAATAGCAAAAGAATACACCCAAGGAGGCTGCCGTGAGGTCATCTTCATATTCGCCCGGGGTTCCACGGAAGTCGGAAACATGGTAAATCCCCGCCCCGCTTCGGAATCCCATGTCCGGACCAGTCTGAACCGTATTCGCAACGTGAATGTGGGAAAAGACACATATGTACATCAGATGACTGACGTCAAAAAATTTCAGGGCTCGACCGTTGGACCCCCGACTTCAGATGGTCTAAAGAAAAAGTACGGCGACAACAAGGTGGCAACAGAAGGGGTTGATTACGCCGCTGGTCTGACGACTAATTTCCTCCCCGGAGGAGCTGACCCCGTCGGTGTCGATGAAATGAAGCGGCTTCTGACCGATGCTACTAATAAGTGTGGCAAGTCCAAAATCGTGGCTGGAGGGTACAGGTATGCATAATATTCGGTGATGGCATAGTGAAACATCGACAAGTTGGGACTGACAGAATGGACGTTATAGCCAAGGAGCTGCCACCGCTCATCGCGCGATCGAGAACCTCCCCGATCCAATCAAGAGCAGAATTCTAGGAGTCATCACCTATGGCGATACCCAAAACCAGCAGGATAAAGGGCAGATTCCCAATTTCCCCGAAGACAAATTCAAACTCATTTGCAATGAAGGCGACAAGGTGTGCGCTGGCACCCTCGAGATCACGCCTGCTTATCTTGACTACGAGCGTCATGTTTCCGAGGCAGTTGAGTATTTGACTGGAAAGATTGGCAACCTCTGATGCTAGCTTTTGCCTAGAGGTCATTCTTCTGCTGTAACTAGTTTTCTATCAAAATGTCAGGTATGATCGGTTCAGAGGTTCTTCTAGATCACAACGAAGCGAGCGAGGACGGCGCGAGGGGGTACTGGGGATACTAATGCGGAATTTGGTTCTGTGATTTAAGTAGGCAATCTTGACTACTACAATTTCTTCCTGTTGATCCAAATCCAACTGAAGGCCATGCAGTCATGCTCACAAAGTTTTCTTGGCCAGATTCAAGATCATTCAAAATACCAGTCTACTCGTAATTTCTCTGGATTCTTCGTTGAGGCTCTTGAAGACCCAGAACATCTATAGGTTCTCCTGATGCTTATGGGTGATGAAAGCTGCTTCTGAGATGACACAACCCAACCTTTAACGGAAGGATCTGTTGTTGCTGCCCGATTTAGCAGTACATGCATGGTATACTCTAAATACCACTTTTTGAGCATATCCGAGTACGACTACGACGACGTGTATTGGCAGCTTGTTTTCGGTTCCTCATCCGAGGTCAAGCCATCCTATCTTCTTTGATGAGGTCAGCTGCCCTTTCGGCAACCGCATAGACAGTGCTCTGGATGTTACCCAAGGGCTCAATCGGGAAGACACTGGCATCGACAATGCGAAGATTCTTCGCCCCATAGACTCTAAGTCGCTCGTCAACAACGCCACCATTCTCTCGTGGCATCATGGCACAACTGCCCGAAACATGGAACACCGAAATCTGTCTCTGACGCACAATCTCTTTGGCTGTCTCCAACTCGTCACCCCTCAACTCGGGCAGGCGTTTGCCTCCAGGCTTGAGTAACGAGCTGAAAGGTTCGGTGCCTACGATTCGCTCGACGAACTGCACGTTGCGGGCCAAAAGCTCCAAGTCAAGGGGGTTAGAGTTGTACTTCGGATCCCACGTCGGCAACACTCCATAATCGGGGCTGGTGATGTGAACCGTTCCCCGAGAAAACGGATGGTTCAGCACTGTCATAACAGTGATGTAGTTCTCCGGTCTGGAGGGCAAGATGTACTCAGCCATGCTGGCCGGATGATCATTAATCGTGATTTGAGACGGGAAAAGCAGGTATTCGCTGCTTGGCTCATCCGATGTCTCGATGAGAGATCGCACGAGCTTCCCAGCTGGTGAGCTCGCATGATTTTCGTGTGTAGCTAGCAGAGCTTTCTTTGCGTCTTCTGGCAACAGCCCGGTGTTGTCGGCGAGAGGCGAGTAAGCAGCACTGATGGTGCTTTGGCCCAGCGGACCCTCACGCGTAGCCGTATACTGGCCAACAACGGCGTTGAGGATATTTCCGTCTCGGAGAACGTCCGCTGATGGGACTCCATCGTTAACCTCGAAGCTCTGGCAGACGATCGGGTGGTCCTGCAGGTTCTCTCCAACGTTGGGGTTATCAACCACAACGGGAATGCCATGACTCTCGAGCAAATTACTACCACCAATACCAGATAGCTCCAACAGCTGAGGCGTCTGGAGAGTGCCTGCAGCAAGGACGACTTCCACTTTGGCCTCAATCGTCCTCTCTTCGCCATTCTTGCTGACAATACGAACACCAGTCGCAGTTACGCCGCCATGGGTGGTATAAAATATAATCTTCTTCACCTGTGTCTCGGTCAAGACCACCAGGTTGGGTCGTGCAGCCACCTCCTGCGTATAGTAAGCGCTCGCTGCGAAGCTTCTTGTCTTACTCTCCGGGTCGATGCTGCACGGGTTCTGGAAAGCACCGTAAGCCTTCCCGCTCCGAGGATCGCCATTCACGCCGAGGCCAAGCTTGTCGAACGTGCTCATCCATGCAGCATTCATAGGGCTATAGCCTTCACCGAAAGAGACTTGAATCGGCCCTTTTCCATTCAAAGTCTCGTCATGGTAGTCCAGCCCGACCATGTTCTTTGCGGATTGAGGAGGCGGGTGATCTGTGCCGAACTTGCGGAAATAAGGCGTGAGCTCCTCGAAACTCCAGCCGGCGTTTCCAAGCGCGCCCCAGGCATCCAGAACTCCCCTCGATGGATACAGCATCAACATGAAGTTCAAAGCAGAGCTACCTCCAAGCATCTTTCCCCGTGCTTGGTTGATTCTTCGATTATTTAAACCAGGCTATCGACCGTCAGCTTGCGGTTGCATTTAGTCGGCCAAATGGGCTTCTTTACCTGAGGAACTGAGGTAAAATTCCAGTCGTATTCATCCTTCCCATAGACACCTGCCACCAAGCCAGGCGTCAATACCAAAGGATCGGCACTCTTATCGGCGCCAGCTTCCACGACGAGAACACGAGTGCTGGCATCTTCACTGAGGCGAGAAGCTACAACTAAACCAGCTGTTCCGCCACCAACAATGATGTAGTCGAAGGGGGAATCGAGGTCATGAGAAGACGACATGGCGTTTTTCTGAATTTGTTGCGAGCGTTCTTAAAATGATGTAGGAAAGAAAGTCATCAATTCACAACGAGGGGACTGCTTGTCTCAACTTCCGCGACGTCGAGTCTTCGCCTCATATCCGATACCAGGATGCATGCTCATCAACATCCTACAGTCAGCAATTACAGACATATTCAGCCACCTGCATGAATCTAGCCTGTACAAGCAGAATAGGCCGCAACACCCTGGTTAGAATCCACTGTTGGATTCTTTGGTTGCATTCGTTGGTTGATTTTGGGTGAGAGGATCAACACAATCAGGCCAGGTTTCCATCTTGTTTTCTTCATTTCCCGTCGAGTAGCTCATAGGCCTTCAGCGACTTTGCTTGAAGAAAGCGAGGTAAATCGGTGTCATTTCCACCTATAGATAAGGCGAAATTCACTATACAACTGGTCAGCGAATTGGTGCTGCTCCTATCCACAGACAAATGTGTGGAGCAGTGGATATGGGGATGCATGTACTTAGCCTGGTCTCCAGATCTCCAGTCCTTCATGAGTCCATAGGTGCCCGTATGTTGACCAACAACGTCGAACATACTTTAAGATTGTGTCCACATGTATCCGTACAGATACGCTTCCGAAATCAGGCACCAAACTCTCAATTAAATCGATCAAGGCATTCAATACTGGCCCTTAAATATGGTGCACATTATCTAGTGAATTTCATGGTATTAACAACGAGCTTGCCGATGAAGCCCAAAACGGACGCTGTCCCGCAAAACCCCAGTCAAGTCCATCCAACGGTTGGAGCTAGGGACGGCACCGCGGATCTCGTCCCGCGGCGAAAACTCCCCGCGCCGCACACTCACTTGACAGTATACGGATCGGCGCAGAACTTTTGTGTTGATGGCGCAAGCTTGTGGATCGCGGCAGGGGATTTCCTGCAGCCTGTAGGCCTTCCAAGCTGCAACGCAGGGCCGCGCCGCCGTAAGCAACATGTATCGCACCATGCCAACAATCCCAAAAAGTGCTCAGAGAGCGGTTACCGAAAATTCCCGCCTTATTCTGGCCGCACCCCGGAGGTCACTGAAGCGATAGTGAAGAAGGAAAATAGCTGTCGCTAGATTGGGCAATTTTTTTTTTTTTTTTGCTATCCTCTCGTTGGTAAGCCAGGCCAGAGAGCCTGTACATGTGTCCAGGCTGCAAGACCATTCCTTTGCGATTGATGATGAAGTGTTGAAGTGCATGTATTTCTGTTACATCAGCTGCAGTAGTCGGCCTTCTTGAAGTTCGAATAGTCACAAAAAGAAAGCGCCAAAATGCTGGCATCACTTCTCAAAGTTAAGGCCTAGACTCTCTTGGACGGCTGTGACAAAGTTCAATCCGTTCCGCCTTGTGGTGCCCAGCGGCTGCATTGCTTTGGTCGGCTTGGCATAGTCGCTGAAGAGTCTGGCCTGCCTGAGCCTAGCGTAAACGTAAGATCAGCGGATGTTGAGCAGGTGTGCCGCATACGAGCATGTCAATTTCTGATTCCTGTTACGCGGAGCTATCTTTCCCGTGCTAGGTCGCCTCACACACCAAGACTAGTGATCGGCTGGCAATATGAAAATACGCAGGGGCTCTAGCTAGCTCCAATTCTCCGTGTCTGGCATAACAGTGAAATGTCTTCAGGATCAAATACGGGATGATGCGTTGGTTGCTTTGCTTCGTTTAGACTTTTTTCTCCAAATTCGAATGATCGCGTTCAAACATCTCTGTAGCAGTCTTTTTGAAGCGAGATGTGGGACACTCCCTCTGGGTAGTCCTAGCTACTGCCCATCAGCATGGCGCTCCACGCTGTCAGCTTCCCAACGTTACCGATAGTCAAGGCTCACCTCCTTGTTAACTGCGTATTGGTGTTCTTCGCGGCCATTGTGGTTGCGCTTCGTTTCTTTGCACGTTTCTCTTCGGGGGCCAAATTGTGGTGGGATGACCTCCTCATCCTCCTCGCAGTGCCTCAAGGCATCGGGATGCTGGTAATCCAAGGCTTGTGTGAGTACTCGGGCCTACAAGCTATTCTAACTCGAGTCTAACAAACCTGTGTCAAGGGTCGCCTATGGGCATCGGCTACCCGATCACAGAAACCCTTCCGAATATTGTCATCATCCTCAAACTTCTAGTCGCCTACGAGTTCATATTCGCAACCTGCATCAGCACCATCAAGCTCAGCGTCATGTTCTTCTACCTTCGGGTCTTTGTCAACCCAGGACTCCGAACCGCGACGAAGTTTGCAATGGGTTTTGTCATGGTCTGGACAACGGCTAATATCCTGCAAGTCTTCTTGATTTGCCACCCTTTCGAAGCCACATACAATCCGGCCGTCCCGGGCAAATGTGGAAATCAAATAGCGTCGTTCATCGCCATCGGTGCTTTCAATGTCATCACGGATGTCATGATCTTGACATTGCCTATCTCGACTGTATGGGCACTCAAGATGAGCACACCGGCCAAACTTGGCATCACCGCCGTCTTCTCCATAGGCTTAATGTATGCCTGCACATCCGCACCTACTTCACTTGGCTATAGACTGACAAAATGATGAAACAGAGTCAGCGTAGTTGCAATCATCCGCATCGTCAGCCTTACCAACCTTGATCTCCAAAACTTGACCGAGACAATGATTTGGGCCGACTTTTGGTCGACCGTGGAGCCGAATATGGGTATCATTTGTGTTAGCATGCCGATGCTAGGATCACTGTACTCGCGATGTACAGCTCGGCGAGGCGCTTCAAAGCTCGACGGGCCTTCGGACGCAAGTGGCTACAACGATTCGAACAAGTTCAGACGATCGCAGCCAAGCGCATCTGACACAATCCCTCTGGACACCATATACTCCCCGGATAACGACGTACACTACAGGTCGGAGGTCGCGTCGTTCGGACGTGAAGGGAAAAATGAGGGCAGTAGGGATGACTTCGTGTCACGCCTAACCCCTGAACAGGAGCTTTTGGGTAGAGATAAAGTAATCCAGGTGGAAACGCAGTGGACCGTATCTCGCCAAGCAGCTTGAAGAATCCACTCACCAAGATATCCAGGATCTCGTTTGTAATGAAATTAATCATTTGATTGGACTGCAGCTCACTTGGTTTCGACAGAGTAGTTACAGCCTCACAATAGAGTAGCCATTAGCGTCAAAGCTCACAATTCACATTTAGACATTCTGTTCCGATTCCCAGATTTAGTGGGGTGAAGAAGATTGTAAGTCTGTAACGAATCGAACATAGAGCATTATATTAAATGCTCCTCTTTCAGAAAACCTTCATAAGTCAAACAGAATTAAACTACATGTAGGTTGGATGGCGTCACTCGGCACCGCCTCTTATAACATTCCGAGGCCTCGGTAACTGTTACCCAATTAGGAAAACCGGACCCGACGCCGATTAGCACGGGCCGTGTCTGCGTAGCAGTTCGACTCGTCTTTGCCATGACGTCTCGCGACGGCCCCGAGATTTTACAAATTTTCGGCTTCCCTCTTTCTACTTTCGTCTGCTTTCGGAAATCCATCCCATATTAGAGGACAACTTTACCGAGTATGCCCAGTAACACCTCAAGTGCTAGAACCCACAAGTCGTGCGATGCATGCACGTCGCGCAAAGTTCGATGTCCCGGTAGGCGTGCTTGATGTTCCGTCGATATGCGCAGATATCTCGAGGATGTTGGCTGATTCTCCAATCAGGTCCGGGGCCATCTGGAACTTGTAGCAACTGCACGGTAAGGAACAGGAGCTGTCGTCATAATTTTCGCCCTTTCTTTCGATAGCACCGCTGACAGACTTTGCACAGAGAAGGAAGAGTGAGTGCGTTTTTGGCGTGAGAAAGCTAGCCCGCAGGCCAAACAGTACGTACTCTCTTGTTATCATGTCCAGAGCAACATCAATATCATTTCTTCGGGGCTCTTGAGAACTGATTGATAACTTTATGGATAATTATCTAGTCCAAAGACAATTTTTCCCTTCGAGCCGGTCTTCCGGCACGCCCAATGACATACAACAAGGGTGCACCGTATCGGTTTTGGACTTCGCAACACTGCCAACACCGGCATCCAAGTCACCGGACCCGACAATCTCGGAGAAATCATCCACACCCGATCCAAGTTCCCGACGGCCCGCTCCGCACCGGATCCCGGAACTCTACGTTGATCGAGTACTCGATCGAGCGCGTAAAGCTCCGAGATCAATCAGACCCTCCGAAGCTTCCAATTATGTCAAAGTAAGTCCATATGTATTGCCCCAGTTTCTTGAAGTTTGGCTCACTGTGAATAGGGTTATGGTATTTTTGGTAAGTGTGATATAATCCAAGGATAATGACCATTCCCAACCCTACCATTCCACATCTTCAATCGATGATGCCCTGACCAGTAAGTCATAGGCGGCACCAAGAACTTGACCTTCTTTTCTGAAGGCAGATTAAAATCGCTCGCACAATGTCTTGGCCATGAAAAGGTTCACGATCTCGTTGGGCGGATTGCAAGCGCCGTTGAAGAGCGCGGAAGATTCGTCAAACTTCGTACTTGTAGTCTGAATCGTCAACCTGAGCGCCCGGCCTGTCTTGACGACAAACCTCTTCTCGCGAAGTATGTAAAGCGTAAGTAATCTTTTCGTCTCTCTCCTGTTCTTGATGTTTTGCAAAGTTCTCACCATCAGCAGTGTATTTTGAGCGTGTACATCCTCGATTCCCGTTCCTCGATCGCGAAGCATTTGAGAGGACAGCTTTCAGCCAGGATCAACCTCTCTCCGCACCCAAGAGCAAGTCATGGATATGTCTTTATCATTCTGTCCTTGCTCTCGGTTGTCAATACGATGATGGAGGGTCTTTTGAGCCCGGGAAAGGCGATGCATGGGCATTTTTCTCCATCGCTCTAGCCAACTTTACCGATTTGATTATGCTACCAGACACACTTACAACTTTCCAAGCCGTAGTGGCAATGGTGATATACTCACTCGGCATCGCTGGGATCGTACTCGAGCATGTTCTCATGTCAGAAGCTGCCCGGAGGGCACAGAATCTTGCCGACGCCAAGTTTGTCGGAGCCGCAGCAGACGCATTCCGGCGAACCTTTTGGGTGTTCTACTCTTTGGAGAAAATCAATAGCTTCCATCATGGCAGATCATCTGTGAGTTTAACATCATGATGGTGCGGTCTGTCCCTCACGACTGACGTTCACAAACAGGCCATCATGGACTGCGATATATCCTGTTCAGTTCCATCAACGCCTGAGTCCTTCTTCTCTGGCGGATTCGATTGGTTTCTGTGTTTCATTAGCCATGCGCGTCTGCTATCACGAGCCAATACATCGCTGTTCTCGGTTGGCGTATCAGATAATCCAGGGGAATACCACCTAGACATCATCGACCAGCTTTTGGACGAGCTCGAAGATTGGAGGAACTCACTGCCCGATAACGGGTTCAGGCCCGGTGGTTGGGTCAAACCTCACTCGATCGTTGAAGAACAAGAGCGAACAGTTGCTCTAGTCACTCACTTTCTCTACTACAGTTTTCTCCTAACGATATCGCGAATGGCTTTGAAGTACTTGCCAGTGTCAGATGACTCTGCAGGCTGTTCTCGTCGAGATGAGACTCTCAACACTGTGGAGCATAGTGCTCGTTCCTTGCTAGAATTGATCTCGATAATAGACATGTCCCCCTACACCCCCATGTGGTACGTCAAGTCCCTGATCCCGGTGTGCCCTGACTAACATTATTCGTCACAGGATGATGGCAACAATTCCCATCATGGCCTTTTTTGTCCTTTTCGACCTCGTAATTCACAACCCTCGGCAAATACATACAGCAACCAATTTGGCATTGCTTGACGTTGTGAAAGGCCACTGCAGCCGAATGGAAATGATCTCCAACGGGGCGATACCGGGTTCGATGGTTGGCGAGTTCTCACAGATCGCTCGAAGTTACGTGAACGAGGTCAACGGTCGGAGTCCAACCGGCTTGACACCCCATGCGACATCTGAAGCGTTCCAGGCGCTCTCTACGCAGCCTCAATGGTCGCTCCCACAGCAGCCCGATTATGACGTCGCGTCGACGGACATTCACACCGACTTCTCGACTGTGAGTAGACCTACCACAGGTTGCCGAGGGCGAGCTGGACCTCGCATGGGTAGCACTAACGGCAATTTTACAGATGAACTTGGCCCCGAGCTCGGCTATGACTGGGCGTATGGACATTGAGGGGTCCGCGGTCGCCCCGAGTCCGCTCATCGGAACTGACGTGATGAATCTCTTTGAATGCTGGCTTCCCGACCTGGATCCCGTGTTCTTCCATGGTATGAGCACGCAAAACAACATGAACCAATCGACTGGTCAGCATGAGTTTACCATTTCCCCAGATCCGTTATATGGAAACATCCCATGAAGTCTTTTTCTTCTATACCTAGCACGCATGCTATGACTTAGCACGTCTTGGAAAATATCGATACTCAATTGATATCCAGTTAAGAAGCTCAACCCGACATGCATAAGATTGTGATATCAGTTGGTTCCTGGGTTTCCCCCCTCCAAGTATTTGAAGAACGTCAGACGATTGCCATCATTATCCTTGATTGTGAACTGACGGTAACCCCAAGGCGTGTCGCGGATAGCTTCGACAACTTTGACATTGCCCCTAGCGATCAAGAGGTCGTGGAAGTGGTCCAGACCTGCCGTGCCCAAGGCGATCATTACTCCGCCAAGATGGAACTCGCTATCATCGCGCAGAAAGAAGTAGATGTTGGCAGTAGCCTTCTTTCCTGCGTAGAGGGAGCAAAAGTAGAGCTGAGAGTCGTCATCGTTCACGGACTTTGTTCCGCCCAAGGTGAACCCCAGCTCGCTCGTATAGAATTCGACTGTGGCAGCAATATTTCGCGAGCTAAGCGACGGAATAATCTTCCACGCCGACCCGATTCCCTCGCCTTCGGCCATTCACGCGACTTCGGCGTTGGGTACGTGACTTTTTGCCCACTCCCCGACGGGATAATTACATGCGTTAATGGTTTTGCTTGGTGGTATTCGAGACCGGGGTCTGCCTGATCGCACGGATCAACGCGGCTTCTCCCCCCTTCTTTCATGTACTCCGCCTTAAGGCAGCATACATTATTTTATCAGATGGGTTGGGTGAACGGACACCGAAGGCCGATCGTTGAGTGATGTCTACAGGTATGCCGCGTAGAGAGAAGTGGTGTAATATGAGAGCGGTGAGAGGAAGTCTAAACCGGACCACCGGCACTACGTGAAAGGGGTTTCAGACGAATCGGTTGTAGTGGGTGGGATGGGCAACGTCATGATCAAATTCTAGTCCAAGCCCTTCTTCGCTTGAGGGGACGCTTCTTTTCTTCTTGTCCTCTTGGCCCTTCTCCTTCAGACCTCTCCTCGAGTATTTCCCCTCTTTTTCATCCGAGGTCTTCGTACATCGGCACCATCAGCAAGCCAAGATGGCAACTTTAATTCTTTGGCTAAACGTGGCCTAGCTCGGGTTGCTTCCGCGTTTTCGCAGACCAGATGCAGGTGTAAAAGGGTCAGGTGAACAGAACTCAAAATGCAGAGGTCGTCGGCAATGCTGACTGGCCCGTCATCGGAAGTGCCCCGCGTGAGGGGCAGCTCAAAGTAAACTCGTTTGTTCCTGGATGAGCAAACTCACATGCCGTCTGAGTTTAGTACCGTCGGTGATAGCAGGCTAAAAGCTCGGCGCCAGCACACGCGGGGGCTTCCAAGAATTCAAAAATAGAGGATTCCTGCCAAGAGTCGCAGGTCAAGAAGGCTCGTCGCCTTGGCGATGAACAGGGCTTGTATTCGTTCAAGCTTCTATAGCCTTATGCAGTAGACAGATGTTAGCTGTGGATCAGCTCATCTGTTTCACTGTATAAGGTAGGAACACTGACATTAGGGTTCTGTCCAGGGGCGATTGACAGACTAATTCAGTGCTGATAATCAGTTAATTTCAGAATTTAACCCGTTTATTCTTCATAGGGTATTGGCTAAGAACTAGAAGGTTCATAGATTCATTACTGCGTTTATCATTCGCGCCTGAGAACTATACTCGTTGCCGGAAAACCGTAGCTTTAAAAGCAGCCAAGAAAACACCTTCGCTTCAAAATATTCATCTCGTCTCTTTAGATAATCTCGTATCTGCGTAGGACGGCAAGAACCAATGGCGGAATGCCACGTAGGTCGTTCTCATCTGGGCCAAGTCTGGAAAAGTCATCGCCTCCCCTTAGGGCTTCCTGGGCGGCGATGTTCGCTTCGGGTGTATCAGCGGCGCCGATATCCGCAAAGGCAGATTCCGCACTGGCATAATTGGTGACCGGAATAGATGCAGCTTCAGCTTCGGTGACAGGTCCCGCAAGAGCTTTGTTTCTGCCGCCAACGCCCAGGGCTCTAGCCACGCCAGCAAGAAGATCCGTGAGCACGGGAACGGCCTTGGATGGGATCTTGATCTTCCCAGCGCGGCCATCGTACTCGTCGATGGCGGCGGTGAAGTTACCCTGAATCTGGTCGCTGATCTGTGTAGCAATAGGTTGGAATGTCGGGTCGAGAGCTTTGGTAAACTGTGTAACAGTTAGTCGTGTAGTCTATCGCGTCACATACGAAATGAACTTACGGCACCACCCAAGTCACCGGCCTTGTCCTTTTGGATGACGACAGAGTCACGAATGAGACTCCTCACATCTAAGATCCGGAAGCCAGCCTTGTCGAATTCTGGGCGCTTGCCTTGAACCTCAGTCAACAAGTTATTGATCTCCGGCTGAAGGCCGAGGAACTGGGTGCCGATCTGAGTCCTGTATTAAGTGACAGGGTTAGCACAGACATTACGATCTCTCATCGGAGCACGAACTTCAGGAAACGGCGACTTACGATTCGTTTGCCGGCAGGGCGTTGGTGGCCTCTGCGGCCTTTGTGCTGACATCGATGGTACTTCCAAGGGTGACAATTGCCTCGTTTACTTTCAGCAGCCCCACCAAGCCTTTGAGTGTGCCTCCCTCGAAGGGCACAACTGTTTCATTGGCTTCGGCAACCCTCTTTCGAAGATCAGTGATACGGTTCTGAAGGGCAGCGGCTCCTCCTCTGACGGGCTCTTTATCACCCTTGCCTCCCTTTCCTTTGTCTTTGTCCCTGCCGCCACGGCCCTTTGCCTCTGTTATCGGCATGGCCATCTGAGCACTAGCCACGGCGAGGCAAAGAAGGAATGATAGAAGAATAGCGAGCTTCATCTTGATAGGCGGTTTGAGATAGGTCGGAAAGTAAACGAATGGGGTAAACTTGCTAAGATGGTAATGGCCGAAATCCGTGATAGGTAATCATCTGCTTTAGGATCTTCAGTTCGGGTATGCCGGAAAATATCGTGGGACGGTCCATCACGTAAATACTCAGAACGAGACTTTCACGAGCCGTGACGCCGAGGCAAATTCAGCTACAATGTCAACGGCTCTTGATAGTCGAACAGGGCTAAGGGTAGATGAGGTAACGGCCAGACTGACCGCAAATTGACGAAAGAGCCGAAATCAACAGAATCGGCGACTTTGCGACGGGCCATCGCGCCGGCGGGTATCCCAAATCTCTGGGCGGCGACAAGGATCGAGCATGATGCCACGCGGGGTTCAGTCTGTAACCACAAAGTTTCTCATCGAATCCATGCCCTTGACCCCATACAAGCATACAAGTTGGGGGCCCCGTGGGGAACTATGAGCTCCCCGCGAACTGGTGCTGAGGCCCCTCTCATGAAACACGGTTGGGTGAGAGGCTCTAGACACCATCTTACATGTTTGACCAATCAGACACTTGATGTTTCTGAGTAGACTCGCAACTTATACTTTTAAAGTCGTCACCTACAGGGGAAGACTTTGTCAACCTACCTGCTGACCCTGCGGTACAGATATCATATGGACGCCTTGAGAACAAGAGCCGCGAATAAATGCCTACCTAGCACCCCCCTCGGGGCCGACGGGGTTTTTACCTGCTCTGTCACCCTCCATTCTGGATCGAAGAGGGTGGCCACTGGTGGGATGTGATGAAATAGGGATGTCGCTTTCGCTATGCAACGTTCGTGGAGTCCTGGGTGCACCCTCTATCTCCCCCTTTCAACTCGACGTCACTACAGAGAGAGAGACTGCCACCAGACGATGGGTAGCTTCTGTCATGCATCGGCTGAAAGAGGGGGATCGATTAGTCTTTTGTTGTCTAGACCACTGCCAAGGTTCCCCGCCGGCGATTGCGTGTAATTGGAGTTACTAGACTTGATCAAATAGGGGATCAGTCGGAGAAAGCCTCTGTCGTCGGGCTTTTTTGACTGCCCATCACATCCACCTCCTCGGGTTCGGTGAAGTCATTGAGCCGTCGCCAGGAGGCTATTGGACCCTTGGCCCAAGCTGGCCATCTGATGCAAAGACTGCAAGTACAGATGATGACCATGGTCTATGAAATCACGTTCACCTATCGCATCTCACAGACCTTCTTCTATTCCAAAACTTTGAGACACCGCTACCGGAGTTCATCTACTGGCCGTAAGTGGTGGGCTACTAGGGCCCTCCGCCTCCGAGGGCTCGGAATTGGAAACCACACAGTTCAACGTTATGATCTTGGTTAAAGCTCAATATCTAAGTCACCTCCGAGCGGACACCCTCGACGGGTTTAATGGTAGATACGATACCGACACCGACAAGCAGCCTCGCGTGCGTTCTAACTGTGTAAATATGATATCAAACTATGCTGTCGATAGAAATTATCGTTTCTTGCACCCTCAACGCTGACAGGCTGATCTGTGATTTTCACGACGTCCTAATGAGGCATCTGCGGGAGAGTTCAATGACTCTTTTGCTCATTTAAGTTCAGTCCTGCAATTCAAGGCGGGCCTAATCCGAATACACGATTCGTGCCCCACACCATGATTTGATCAGAGGTCGAGACACAGCGGGACAAGATTAGAAGAGAACGAAGGGAGGAAAAGTAAGTACCCGCTGTAGAAGTCTAGAACAGGCCGGAAGCGGCTATGTGAGAAGGAAAACAACCCGTCTTAGGACTCAGTGGAGCCAACACGGCGAAGCAGAATTTCAGTCCTGAAAGGGATTCCCTAGATAAGTGATGGTCAGCACCGAGACGGCGTCCGAGAAACGCGAAGGAGGTCGGGTCCGGTCAGAACCTTCTAGCTACTCGAGCAATAAACTCTGGTAGGCGCCCTGGCTAAGCCTTATGGCCGAGAGGAACCCAGCGATTACGGAATACTCAACGGACTAATGTAAGGGCAAGCAAATTATCCCCGCATTCTCGCAAACGTACGAAGCTAAAACGTTTCCTCCGTCGATCAATCTGACGTGCGGCTCTGCGAAGGCTCCGGTAGAGGGCGAGAGTGCTCTGTGCTCCCACCCAACTCCGAACCCGCTCGGGCTCGGGGACCGGTTTCGGACAATATCATCCCGACGAGCTGAGTTATGTCAGAAATGAAGTAGGCTGACACACTCTAGCAAAGTTCGCCCTGAGATCACCACGGCAGAGGATGAGATCACTTGAGAGGATTTAGAGGTTGTGGGCTTCGGACTTCTGAATGTTCTGATGATGTTTTGGGTGCATTCCCTCGAATTGTCATCCAGTTCTTCGGACGGAGTGATGCAATCAATCTTCCAAGGAAAGGAAAATATCAAATAGCATTCACCTATTTTCGGTAGGTGGTTCCAAGGTGCAGAGCCCATGCATGTTCCAAAACATCGTTCAATGGTACGTTGCTTCTGGCGAGTTGTGGCGACATCGGCAACAGATTTCATAAAGCAATATTAAGTAGATCAATCAAACTACACCGATGAGGTACGATAATCGGCCGCAATACTGGCATCTCTGGTCAGTTATGTGTCAAGGTGAAATCTTCTGTGGTATTTCTTTGGTTTCTTTGATTTTCAAAGTCTCTCAGTTTGGAGGGAACAGCAGGTACGTATGGTTTAGAGGGCTCGGAGGGTCGATTCGCCGACTTACACGATTAATTCAACACTTGGAATAGATACTTAGCATGAACGTTCACTTTTCCTTCACTTGAGGAAGTGAGCTGCTTCAGCCATAGTGAGATTACCTAAGTCAATAGAACTCGTCGAATACTGGTGGACTTGATACGAATATTTTGGTTGATCTTTTTTGACGACTGCGTTCAGATATTCCTTCTCCTTCTCGGCAGGCGGTGTCTATCACTTGCCCAGAGAGAACTAACGAGAGGATTGACTTTACTGATGTTTGAATATTACTTGAAGGTTGCTTTAAGCTGCAAAAGTTCTTCAACACTTAGTATACTGCTGGCGTGGCTTTAAGGCACGCAGCACGTCGAACAGCCGTGTGAAAGGACCTTGCCGAACAAACTTTCCTGTTTAGAATCATTACCAATCCTATAGGATTCTGGAACCCCAAGGTTCCTATCCAGTGAGACAATAAGCATAATCGCGGCGTCCACACACTTGCCACTCAACAAATCGCTCATCAACGACTTCAAGAGTTCCCCGCCTTTCAACCTAATCAACTGACCCAACTACTCGGTCATATAAGACAGTCAGAGTTCCAATACCACGCATCTGCCTATCACCGTAAGTAGCCAAGCCATTTGTCACCTTCCAGAAGCAGGCAGCCAGAGAAACTAGGTGCTCGGCGAACCATTTTGGCCAAATTGACAGTTGCTGCGCAGCTGGGCGGCTGGGGTCGCCAAGACCGCCAAGGTCAGCTCAGTCCCTATCGTATGGAACCAAGCTCTGCTTATCATGTACTCTCATATTGGCCAAGCTTTTACGGTAGTATCGGCCAACCTTTGGTACTTCCCTCCGCTCGGGTTCGATGGGCAAGATGTTAGGCCGCGTGCCTGGATCCCGCCAGCCTCCCCCAAAATCACGACTGCCATGGCATTCTCCACACCAACGTCTGCCATACGGGGGACAAGAAAGGCCGTCTTATTAGTTTGTCTTGGATGATGACGAACGCGATTGGAGATGTCAAGTACTTATAGATGGAGTGATTGCTCTGCCTTGGGAAATCTCATGGCACCCCCAGTCCCGTCGTCAAGTCTGTGTCAAGCAGTAGCAATCTTCACGTGAATTACTTCAGACGGATATCATCGACATGGTCCGCATCAACTCTGCAGCCCTTTTGGGCTCTGCCGTTGTTGGTTTGACCAGCGCAGCTGGCGCTGGCACCAAGGCCGAGTATGCGTCCGGTGCAGTTCACCACCGCATTATGGGCATCAAGATGGTGAGAACACAAAATTAAATGCCCATCTGAACTCAACCCGACATTACTAACAGTTCTACTAGGCTCAATGGGAAGATGAAGCTGCCGCTGGTCTCATGGACAGCGCCAAGTACCCAGAACTCGGCTACACCCCCTGTGTCGACGGCTTCGCTGCCGCAGTTCCCGGAGACTTCAACAACACATTTAGATGCAGAAATGTAAGTCAACTGGGCCTCCTCTCAAAACTCAACTGACCTCCTTTAGATCGATCTGTACCACTTCCTGTCCCACGAGCAGCTCGGCAGCTGGGGTGGAAGAGGTTCTTCTTCCTGGGGTTGGACATCAGCTGACGGAAGAGAATTCGTCGCCATTGGCCAATACGACGGCACTGCCTTTGCTGAAATCAGCAAAGAGGGCAAGCTGGTGTACTTGGGCCGACTGCCTCAATACGATTCCATCGGTTCGAACTGGAGAGAAATCCGAATTGTCGGCGACCTTGCCGTCATTGGCTCCGAAGCCATCAAGCACGGCGTCCAGTTCTTCGACATGAAGAAGATCCTAGACCTCGACCCCGCGAACCCAAAGAACTTCACCCAGGCCGAGCTCACCGGTCATTGGGATGAGCTTCCTGTCGGCCGCACCCATAACATCGTCGTCAACCAAGAGCTCAACTACGCCATTGCTTGCGGTTCTGTCGGTGGTAACGCGACGATTCGTGTAAGAGACAACCTTCCCTGCCGCGGCGGGTTGATCTTCCTCGACATCAGCGATCCCACCAACGTCACCAGTCCCGGCTGCGCCGCCGGCGATGGCTATGTCCACGACGCCGAGTGCCTTGTCTACCGCGGTCCCGATACCCGTTACTACGGTAGAGATATCTGCTACGGTTACAACGAGGACACATTGACCATTTACGACGTCACCGACAAGACCGGCAACGTCACGAACATTATCTCCATCAGCGACTACCCCGGCGCCCAGTACGTCCACCAGGGTGTCGTCAACAACGAGACGTGGCAAGAATACATCTTCCTCGATGACGAGTTCGACGAGCGTGACGCCAAGGTCGGCCCGATGACCCAGGGTCTTCCCACCACTCACATCTTTGACATCCGCGATCTCGAGAAGCCCGTGTACACCGGTCACTACGCTGGCAAGACCCGTTCCATCGACCACAACCAGTACATTGTCGGCGGTTACCTCTACCAGTCCAACTACGGCAATGGCCTGAATGTCATCGACGTCAGCAGCGTCACCAAAGACCCCACAGGTGCCAGCATCTGCGAAGCTGGCTTCTTCGACATCTACCCCGAAGACGACGAGGAAGTCGGTGGTGGCAAGGTCCAGTTCGCCGGTTCCTGGTCATCCTACGCCAACTTCAAGTCCGGCTTCATCTTTGTCCACACCATCGAGCGCGGTAGCTTCGTCGTCAAGATGACCTCGAAGGAGTGCCCCAAGGCGCCCGTCTGCAATGCCGATAACTGCCTCCGCGCTCTGCGGGCATCGTCCATCCCGGATCGCCTGGAGGAGTCTGTGGAGTTCTGCGGCAACTTCACTCAGCGACTGAATACCGATGAGGAGCTGCTGCCAGAGTACGCCACCAGCGCTTGTGTCGAGAACAAGGACAATAGCCCTGTTGAAAGGGTTAGCAGCGCTTGTGCTTGTATTCCTACCCCTGTCGTGCCCGAATTGCCTAGAACAACGACACGTCCTCCTGTGCCGACGGTGCTGCCCCCTAAGGCTTGAAGTAATGTGATTTCGGGAACCTTGAGAAATAAATAATAGATTCGATCTACATACATGAGTGACGATGCAACTACAGACACTCAATGTCTGACCAAGCGCGAACTGTGTGATGACACTAGAAACCCTCATGAAGCATCTTACAAGTTGAGGTTTCACAATGTCGAAACAATGAATACTCCCAAGGTCGGAATTTCTCCAATGGCACGTTTCCCAAACCTTGCAGAAAAGTCTCGATTCTTCTCTGCCATTGACCAGTCCCCAAAGTGTCAATGTGTGGGATGCGTTCCTTCCGGCCATGGCTCATTATACTCGGGACAAATTAGATCCAACTCGTAGAAGTAGTGCTCCAAGTCATACTCGTTATACGGATTCTCGTTCTCGTTTCCAGACTCAATCGGACCGCGCCATTCGACGCCAAGTTCCTCTGCGCCTCGTCTTTCTGCTTCGGTCAATTCGTTGCCACCAAGCTCTTCCAACTCATCCAACATTCGATCAATCCAGTATGATACCCAAAACTGAGGGAAGAGCGGACGGTTATCCGGTCCATCCCCTAGATACTCAGCTGCTTTCTGCACGAACTCTACAACTAACTCCTCTAGCAATTCAACTAGTAGATGTTGATCTTCTATAATCTCCGTATGGTCTATGTCAATCCAATCCGACTTCAAATGAGTCAGAGAATGTGCGTCGCAGCAGCTGTGAACGAGACCCAGGGCCTCGAAGGTCATAAACCTGATTGCTTCAGCATAACTTAAGAGTGTCATCTCCAGGCCGCATGAGCTGTAGAATGCTACCATTTCATCCACGTAATTGTAGGGGAAATCCTCGTCTGGAATGCTCGAAAATTTAACAAAGCCTTTCATCATCCATGTAAATGGAACGCACCCCCTCGCTGAGCAGGGACAGCAACAGCCATCCGTAAGATTGCGGCTTGTCACAGTGGTCACCACTTTTTCGAAGGCGTCCGACTTTGCAGCTCTCCATCCTGTCCTCCAAGATCCCGACCACATACAGGATTGGGCGCCTAGAAGGTAGAAGACGAAGTGCGCGGCAAAAATTCCGTCATCGGCGGTCCTGTTGATAGGGCCCACAGGCGATCGCAAGAACAGATCTCCTCCATGGTCTACCAGCCAGCAAATAAAGTGTGCTTCCAGATAGAACGGAGCTTGGTAGTTTCGCCGTCGAGGGTCGAAAATAGATGGATCGGGCATAAATCCATGACGACGAAATAACTCAGCCACATGTATGGTCTGGATTTCATCGAATATCCAAACCCAGCTTGTGGCTTGGTCAGCCTTGACGCAGACTCGCAATATCCGGGGGGCTTGTGCCGGGCTTTCTTGGACATTTTGACCTCTTCCGGTCGAATTGTTGCTCTTCGACCTTGTTTCCTCTGTATTTTGTTTTGTGCAAATGCCTTTGTTTGGCAAGGTTCGCCCTGGAGTTCCTGGGTTTCGGGCTTGCTCCATGCGGAGGACGTAACAACGCCGAGCGCGCTCCGATGCCTTCCCAAGGAGAATAGTCAAGCTTGGCACATTACCGGCCACATCCCTCATTCCACACGTCCGTATGTCGCAGCCAGCGTCGATAAGGTGCTTCACGCAAATATAACAGGAACAACGTTTACATTTTTCGTAGTTCAGGCCGTTGACGCAGTGATCAGAGCTCATAATCATAGCCATCTCGAGTGCAGTAGCCCCCGCCTTGTCGCGCTGATTGAGGATGTTGGCATCCGCATATTTCACTAGAGCTTCGAGAATCTCCGGTTTGGCTGCTGCGAGGTGAAGCGGGCTTCTTCCATAGATATCCAGCTCAGCTATTGAGTCAGGGAACCGACTCAAAACGCGGCCTACTTCATCGAAATCGCTACGAATAACTGCCATGCCTAAAGGCCCGCATTCAGAGGCTTGTTTCTTACTTAGTCAAGATCATGTGGGAAACTTACGAAAGAAATGGTACCTGTTGCAGCCTCCGGAAACTTATCATACGACGGTATGCTTTCATCTATCTCATTCCCGTCGTTGAAGATGTCGGAGGAAACCCCGTTCAATAAGGCCGGCTGGCTATCCAAGTTGGCCCGTGATAAGACCTCGACGGCTTCCCCACACCAATTGCTAATTTTAAATGTCAAATGATGTATGGGTGAGACTCCTGCTATGATTCAGAAATTTGTTCATGTAACCTTATGATGAAGCATCGGTATATACCTTTGGTGTCGTAGGCATAGGCTGAAGCACCATAAGAGAGTAGCATCGGGAAGATTTCCGAGAGGGCTCTGATTTCGGGAAGCCATGCCCTCCAGCGGTAAAACACAATTCTGATCTGTCTCACACAGATATCTGTTCAGCCACCTATCGATCCCAAGTATGAGTGGATTCCGTATGACTCACTGAAGAAGCAGCATGATGCACCCGTGTCATATTTTGATCGTCCACAGCAGTCGGGCACGTTTGCTTTTCTTCAAGTAGTCTTGCCAACTTCTTCAAGCAGGCAGTAGCGAAGGCTTCACGACTCGGTCTATGCTGTTTTGAGGGATGGATGGACTCCCTAATCAAGTCGATTATGCGGAAAGCGGGATCCGATTTTCTGTCTACAGTTGGACAGTAGGTAAAGCTGGGACTGATGCTGTAGCCGCCAGCTCCTGACGTCAACGCGAATGAAACATCGATGACTGATTTGAGAAGGCGGGAGATGCCGGTGTACTTCAGACTTGCCTTGAGCCGTTGCTTTCTCGGCATTTTCGACAGTGGACAACTCGACCAGTGGCCTCGGGACTCCCATTCGCCGGACAAGGTAGTATAGCCTCGTTGCATCTGTACTTGCCTGGCTGATCTTTCAGGGCGCGGGCAGATGCATAGTCTATCAACTTGTAAAACGGTCCGTGAGTTCCGTGATGACTCTGCGGGAGTTCCTTTCCAATGAACTTTCGATGGGTCCGAGGCAATGCCTTGGTTCCAGTCCCTCCCTAACAATTTCATGTCATCGCACAAACTTTTGAGCATTGCTGGCTTGGAGGCCGTTCTGAGAGCTAAAACCCTCAGAGACTTGTTTTCTTCTTCTAGAAGCTGTAGTCTCCCAAAGTCTCGACGAATCATTTGAAGTTCCTCTACAATAGTGTTGTGCGATAGTCGAAGTTCATGTCTGCTCTCAAGAAACTCAGTTGTCATAGCTCCGGAGTGATCCGCGAAGAGCTGAACGGTCCGATCCACACTGCTTTGTAGACCTGGCAGCTTTTCATTGATGTTAGCCACTGGCGTAGCGAGTGCTGCCACTTCTGATCGGACTAGGAGCATATCGGAAACTTGTTCGCAGATATTTGACTCGATGGCCATCAGTCTAGTCGTGTTCCTATTCGAGTTCTCCCTGCTAGGATGTCAGAAACCTCAGGGCTAGTGGAAAAATTAAACTTACAGTCCCAAGGTACCCTGCAGCGTTTGCAGAGCTCCATGAGCTTGTTGTAATTGTTGAGCCAGGTCTCGAAGCTCAGGTCGATGGAACGCAAAAGTCAACTTCTTCTTCTTGTTCTCCAGCCGCCTGGTCCAGGTGCTGCCAGCACGATCAGAAAGCTCAACGCACAGAGCCTCGACAGCGCCGAGGTCCTCTTCGCAGCTTCGTATGTTCTGCTCTACTGCAATAATGATGTCCGGACTTTGGTCTTGAAGACCAGCCAACGCCGTCTTCATTGCACGGAGAGCAACTGCCAGGTTGTCATTCTGTTTCTTGACGTTGCGTAGTTCCTCGTCACGGCCCTCAAAGGCGTCCATGTACTTGACAATGCCGCCAGTGATCTGCAAGCCCAGAGATAGCAGGCCGGCAACTGAGGCTGCTAGGCCTAGGCTCTCGGCCTCCATGTTTCGTCAGAGCTGTGAGCGATGATGCGGGAAGCGATTGGCGAATTTTCGGAAGATTGGTGAGATGTTGCCGAAAGGTCTTGATAAACCGTGCTGTTTGTTGCGAAGGAAACGGAGATGGAGAAATCAGGCTCCCTGCTGACGTTGTCGGGTGCTTTGTGGAGGGGTCAAGGTCAGGCTGGCATGCGCTTCCCTTGGGAGGGCTCAAAATAATAAGGCTCGCCTTTGGAGAGGAACGGTCTCATTCGCTGCGACTGAGGCATTGTGATTGGACGTCTTAATTGTGCAGCTCTACGTCTTCTGAGAGCAATGCATGTTGGATCATCCGCAGTTTCTTCACAAATTATTAGATATTTCTTTTGGTATTAAATTGCTGTATGCTGGGCAACTCTAGCACCAGAGAAACGTTTCATACATGAGGGGGCCTTCAAGCTGATTTCCGCAGTTTCTTAAATGATTTTCAAAATGTTTCCAAGAGGGACACAAAAGAAAAACCTACCTTGGGTGATTAATGAGAACGACACGGATATGCATCCCCAATATCTGCTCAAGCTGTATGCCAAATGGAACGATCGCCTTGCACTGATATTGTCGAGCATTTATAGGCAGGTAATGCAGAAACGAGGAAGTTGCTTGGATTGATAGATACTACCAGAGAAGGACGTTGACAAGGCATCATGTGAGGAGTCGTGAGGCTCTTCAGGAGGTCAAGCTGAAAAGCAAATTCGAATAACGGCGTGCTCGCACGGGCCTTGATGCAGCCATGAACCATCACCCTAGAGGCCGTTCGTCCGCACTCAATGTACATTCGATGCTTCCCTTTGTCCGTGGAAGAGGAGTCCTAAGTAGAGCCCCTTACAGAGGTTGATGTAAAAATGCTATGACAACTCTAGCAATTGATGGCGATGCTTGCTTCTTCTGAGCAAGCTGACTATCCAAAGATGATGTCGCTTAACATTTGCAACAAAGTCCGAAAAGGGAAATTTCAGCCGCCCACGCTTGAAGAACACTGCAACAGACACGTGCCAGGCAGGACCGTTTCCAGGTGTGTCAAAGACTCAAAAGAGGCAGAGAAAATGGAAGAATGAGCAAAAAGAAACAACAAACCCCAACATGTGAAACTCCTTTGAAGCGAGCGAATAGAAGTAGCTAGCGCGCGTCAGCCTGCCCAAGACCAAAAGGTAAAGAGAGACACACCGCCCGAGACAATTAACCACAGGTCCGGTTCAGTCCCTGACCCTGGAATGACGAAGCTCCTGCTTGAGTCGAGCGGAAGAAGAGGTGAGCTGAGAACGGTCAACCGCGGCGACATCCGAAGCCGGAAGGACCAGGGACGGGTTCAGTCGTTGCGTAAGTTGCGCATGCGCTCCAGTCAAAAAACTGCGGGCCGGGGGAAGGCGTCAAGGGCCGTGGAAGGCGCGTCGGGATTCCTCCCCTGTAGGAGTTGCTGGTCGCACACACCAAAAGACGCGGGAAAACGGCGATACAGTAAATCCGCTCCCCCGCGATTGCACGATGCGGGTGGGTCCTCTCATGACTCGGTCCACTTACGATGCTCCTCTTCTCCTTCTCCAGGTACGGAGTCGCACCGCACCGGGGGGCCACACCCCCCTCTCTCTGCTCAGTGCGGGCTCTCACCTGGGCCGGCTTATGAGAGACTTCTGGGATGTGACTGGATTGAATTCAGGGCTGGTCGCCAAGCACCCAGCACATGAATGCCCCAGATGGCAGAAAGCAGAAACGACGGGCAAGGCGCACCTGGCAGAGTCACAAGTCAGCCCATTCCTTGGTTAGACCACCTGTACTTCGTAGGCTGTATCCGTAGTCCTGCAACCACCCCGTGTGACTGTACAAAGTACGAAGTACCCGTCTGCAGCAGCCAGCAGCTCTTTCGGCACTTCGCTGTCTCGGAATCTTTGGAGACCTTTGGTCCTTACCTCACTGGGATCCTTTTTTTTTTCTGCCGGCCAACAGAGAAAGCTACGTCTTTTCTCCTTCTCTTCCTTCCCCTCTCAACCACATCTCTCCTCTTCCTCTTCTTTTTCATTCACACCTCTTTTTCTCCCATCCCCGGAAAAGAAAGACAATCAAGATGCTGTCCTCCGCCAGAATCGCAACCCGGCAAGCTGCCGCCCGCCGCATGGGCGCCCTGCCCGTGACGGCCGCGAGAGCCGGCTCTACCTGGGCCAACGTCCCTCAAGGTCCTCCTGTATGTCTCAAACGCTCCAGATGCCAATTGAATGCGCCACGATTGCTAACGAATGCTTCAGGATGTAAGTCCGAAATGCGCCGATTGATAGGATCCCGACAATCATCACGAATAAATCTTTTGCTAACTGGCCACTTTTTCCCAATGAACAGGCCATTCTCGGTACGACGCACCTACCTCGGTGGAGCTCTCTCAAGCTTCGCCGGTTGACTCAACTCTATGACTGACAATAGACAAACAGGCATCACGGAAGCCTTCAAGGCCGACAAGTTTGAGCAGAAGATCAACCTCGGTACGCATAAACCCCCCGCCAAGCCACTCTTACCACCACCACTCTAGCTAGAGCTGTCACAAGCTTGCTAGCTACAACGCTAGCTGGCCGTCAGTTGCCAGCTGCAAACACACAATGTCTACTACCATCACCACAATGAACATGCCCATTGACGCAGACAAACAACAGGTGTCGGTGCCTACCGCGACGACCAGGGCAAGCCCTACGTCCTTCCCTCCGTCCGCGCCGCTGAGGAGAAGGTCATCGCCGCCAAACTGAACAAGGAGTACGCCGGCATCACCGGTGTCCCCGAGTTCACAAAGTCCGCCGCCGTCCTCGCCTACGGCGCCGACTCCTCGGCCCTCGACCGCCTCGCCATCACCCAGTCCATCTCCGGCACCGGTGCCCTGCGCATCGGAGGCGCCTTCCTCGCCCGCTTCTTCCCCGGCGCCAAGAACATCTACATCCCCACCCCCTCTTGGGCCAACCACGGCGCTGTCTTCAACGACTCAGGCTTGACCGTCAACAAGTACCGCTACTACGACCCCAAGACTATCGGCCTCGACTTTGAGGGCATGGTCGCCGACATCAAGGCCGCCCCCAAGGGCTCCATTTTCCTCTTCCACGCCTGCGCCCACAACCCCACTGGTGTCGACCCTACCCCCGAGCAGTGGCGCGAGATCTCCGACGTCGTCAAGGCCCAGGGCCACTACTCCTTCTTCGACATGGCCTACCAAGGCTTCGCCTCGGGCAACACCGACACCGACGCCTTCGCCGTCCGCCACTTCGTCAAGGAGGGCCACAACATCTGCCTCGCCCAGTCCTTCGCCAAGAACATGGGTCTCTACGGCGAGCGCGTCGGTGCCTTCTCCATCGTCGCCAAGGACGCCGAGGAGCGCAAGCGCCTTGACTCCCAGGTCAAGATTCTTGTCCGCCCTCTGTACTCCAACCCCCCGGTCCACGGTGCCCGTATCGCGTCCACCATCCTTAACGACGCCTCCTTGAACCAGCAGTGGCTCGGTGAGGTCAAGGGCATGGCCGACCGCATCATCACCATGCGCGCTCTCCTCAAGGAGAACCTCGAGAAGCTCGGCTCCGCCCACGACTGGTCCCACATCACCAGCCAGATCGGCATGTTCGCCTACACCGGCCTGACCAAGGACCAGATGGATGCCCTTGCCAACGACCACTCCGTTTACGCCACCAAGGACGGCCGTATCTCCGTTGCTGGTATCACCAGCGGCAATGTCGGCCGCCTCGCCGAGTCCATCTACAAGGTCAAGGGTTGAATCTCGCTCGTGTGAATGTTTGTGATTTTTCCTCAACGCGAGTCTCGGGCAATTTGTACGCTCCGAGCTAGCTTGCATTCCCCAAAAGATATCACGAGTTTTTGTTGAAAGGATAGTTGGTTTTCTAAAAAGGGGGGTTTTGTACAACCAAAGGGGAGAGGTCTTCTCTTTTGCGCAGCCAAGGTTAGAATGGCCGGTGGACATAGAACGTTTGGCACCCCTTGGTAGACCACACACGCATTCCAGCTGTGTACAATATAGCGACACGTCTTTCAATGTAACCATGTCCAATCCAATCGCTCGCTTGCTTGCCGTGAACCAACACACTACTCTGCCTCTTCACTCTTGGCTATGGGTTCTTCCTCACGCCCTATCCAACCTTGCCAAATCCCGACTCGCATCCTCCAACTCCCTCTCCATTTGCCTCTTCTTCCTCGCCATCTCCTTCATCGTCCGCGCCTTGCCCTCCTCCCCCTCAATTCCAACCCCGTACCCCTCCAACTCGGCCCTGAGCGTAATAATCGTCCCCTCAAGCCTCATCCTCGCATCCCTCAAATGCGCAGAATAATTCGTCAGCGCAGCCACCATCTCAGGCGAATACACCTCCCTCCGAACCCCCTCCCTCGCACTCACGGCATCCGCCTCGGCCCTCTGCGCCGCCAATCCCGTCTCCGCAGCCCGAAACTCGAGACTCCGCGCCACGACGCCGTGTTTGGCCTCCAGGCTTCTAACCAGGAGCGTCAAGGCTGCAGCGTGCTCGTTCAGACATCTTGTGAGTGTATCCGCCGCGCGGAGACGTTCTCGAGTCAAGGCGAGTTTTGATTCGCGGACGTCGGATTCGAGTTTATGGTATGTTGTTTGCAGGCCCGGCACGGCGCGGTGGAGAAAGGATGGGTTTGTCGTCGGGTTTGCGATGCGGGCTAGGGAGACGGCTGAGGTGTGGAGGGTTGCTGAGACGAGGTCGCCTAGGTGGGGGAGGAGGGATTGGAAGTCGGTGAAGGGTGGGTTGGAGAGGAGGATTGTGGCGGATTCGGGGGAGAGGGGGGAAGTTGAGCTTAGGAGGGGTGGGAGGAGGAGGAGGAGGTCGAGGAGGGGCTCGGGGAGGTGCTGTTGTTGCGTGTTGCTGGTGCTGGTGGTTTGTGGTTGTTGTGAGGTAGTGGTGGTGCGGGAGATTGTTCTCGGTGGAGCGGATTTCGGTTCTGGGGGTGCGGTTGTTGATATTGCGCTTATGAGGAGGTGTTCTTTTGCTGCTGTAAACCTGTGGTCTGCGAGTTCCTGAGTCTGGGTATTAGCTGGGGCCGGTCTGAGGCTTAGTTATCGCCAAATCTAGGAGGTAGTCTGGGTTTGGAAGCCGAGAGAGACAAACATTTTGTATCGCATCATGCTCTTTGGTCGCCGGTTTCTTGGTCGAGCCATCTGGGTTAAGGATTGCCGTTGTTAGAGTGTGATGCAGCGCCGCGAATTCGGGGTTATTTTGCAGGACCGAGGCCTCGACTGGCGGTAACATGGCGAAGGTTGGCCTTCTGCGTCATCAGCAGATTTGACGTTCTCGGCAGAGTGTTTCGGAAGCTTTGAGTCTGTGGTTGCGGGCGAGTTGGAAACGGTAGTCTGTATGGCGTCTGTCTGCTCAGTGGCATGTCACGGCGCAAGTTGACCATCGAACTGCCCGACTTTCCCCCCTGTCTCGGTGAGTCGGTGTGGAGGGGTCAACTGGTTGGGCATTTGGGAGACCACGGACCCCTGTCACGAAAGCAGCGCGCAGTCACCTGATCCACCTCAATTGACTTCACCGATGGAGTCTCCACCCTTGCTTGAGTCATCCAATTAAACCCACCGATTGCCGGAAGGCGGAACATCCACCGCCCGATATCGAAGCTCCGATCTCTGACCATTGGCCAAAAAATCATCCCCAAGCTCTCACGACATCGACCTCAACGGGCGCCGACGACGACAACGAACCATACACGAACGCCGAGGCGCGCAATCCCCCGTTCATTTGTCCGACCACATTTATACCCCCCGAATCGAAAACCTCACACCTAATTGGATACGAACAACGCCCAAAATGAGCTTCACAACCCTGAGGCCGAGGACCTCCCTCCTCACCTCCCTCCAAAACCTCACCCTCGCGCCTTCCACCACCTCCCGCGCCTTCTCGACATCAATTCCCCTCGCCACAAAAACAATCTCCCTCCAAAAGATCCCAACCTCCGCCGTACCTCCCTACCCCCACGGGCCCCGCCTCCTCTACAAACAATCCAACCACGGCCTCTACGGCGACTCCCGCATCCGTCACGGCCACAACGTCTCCCCGAAACACGGCCAAGTCACCCCGCGCACCTGGCGCCCCAACGTCCACCGCAAGCGCCTCTGGTCCGAATCCTTGGGCGCCTGGGTCCGCACCCGCCTCACCACCCGCGTCCTGCGCACCATCCGCAAGGAGGGCGGCATCGACGCCTACGTGACCAAGACCAAGGCCGCGCGCGTCAAGGAGCTCGGCCCTGGAGGGTGGAAGCTAAGGTGGCTGATCATGCAGACTGCTACCTTCCGAGACCGGTATGTCGAGGAGAGGGAGAAGCTTGGTGTTGAGGGGGAGATGAGGGAGGATCAGACGGATTTGGTTACTGTCATGGTTGATGCTGCTACGCCGGGCCCGTTGAGCGCTGTCAGTAGGGGTATTCTGGAGAAGAGGGCCACGCAGATGATTATGGAGGAGTTTGCGCTGGGCTCGGAGGCTGACTTTGGGGCGGCGGATGGTGAGGCGTATGAGGATGTTCATGTGCCTGGTATTGGAGAGCCGGTCACTGAGCAGAGGATATGATTTTGAGTGTGGTGGTGGTCGTCACATGTTGAGATAGAGTGTATGTTTGGGGAGAAAAAAAGTCATTGTATCATATGTACAAAAATTCTCATGTCATCAAACTACTTTTCAGAGAGGGTCTCGAAGTCTACAAGATGAGAACCTCTTTCTTGTTTGTGTCTACAAAAACCGCTTTCCATTTTTTTAAAACCACAGACCGTGAAAATGGAAGTTTCGCCTCATGCGCCCTGCAATGTGTGATATGCCGTTCATAAATCCCAGTTCGTCCCCCAAGCCATTGCCCCCGTTTAAAAACGCAGGTCCCAGCCAATCTTGGGGCCCAGCTTGGGCAGCTCGTCGGCGACGCTCTGCACGTCCTTGTCACCACGACCACTCAAGCAGATGACGATATCCTCGCCCGGCTTCATCGTCTTGGCGAGCTCAATGGCGCCGTAGATGCCGTGGGCAGACTCCAGCGCGGGGATAATACCCTCGAGCTGACTCATGAGACGGAAACCAATGAAGGCTTCGGCATCGGTGGCGGCGACGTACTTGGCACGCTCGCTGTCCTTCCAGGAGCTGAGCTCGGGGCCGACACCGGGGTAATCCAGACCGGCGGAGATGGAGTGCGTCTCGGCGACCTGGCCGTGCTTGTCCTGGAGAATGTAGGTCTTCACGCCGTGCAGAACACCCTTGCTGCCGCCAGAGAGGGTAGCACTGTGACGAGCGGTATCGATACCGTCACCGCCAGCCTCAACACCGAGGAGCTTGACGCTGGGGTCGTTGGCAAAGGGGTAGAACATGCCGACGGCGTTGCTGCCACCACCAACACAGGCGACGACAGCGTCGGGAAGCTTGCCCCTCTTCTCGAGCATCTGCGCCTTGGTCTCGTTGCCGATGACGGACTGGAACGTACGGACGATGGTGGGGAAGGGATGCGGGCCGATGGCGGAACCGATGATGTAGTGCGTGGTGTCGAGCTCGACAACCCAGGCGCGCATCGCCTCGTTGACGGCGTCGCGGAGGGTCTTGCTGCCAGCCTCGACGGCAACAACCTTAGCGCCAAGGAGCTTCATGCGGAAAACGTTAAGGGCCTGGCGACGGACGTCCTCAGCACCCATGTAGACTGTGCACTCCATGCCGAACTTGGCGCAGACGGTGGCCGTGGCAACACCGTGCTGGCCGGCACCCGTCTCGGCGATGATCTTGGTCTTGCCGAGGCGCTTGGCGAGGAGGAGTTGGCCGAGGGCGTTGTTGATCTTGTGGGAGCCGGTATGGTTAAGATCCTCACGCTTCAGCCAGATGTTGGCACCGCCGGCGTGCTCGGTAAGGCGCTCGGCGAGATGGAGGTGACCAGGGCGGCCCATGTACTCGTAGTAGGAACGGTACTCCTCCCAGAAGGAAGGGTCATCCTTGATCTTGTTGAAGCCCTCCTCGAGCTCAGATAGACAGTCCATGAGAGACTCAGGGACGTACTGGCCGCCAAAGTCGCCGAAGCGATCGGGGATCTTGCCGTGCATAGCGGCAAGCTCAGCAACAAGCTCACTGTCCTGGTCGGCGGTGATGCGTTCGTCGACGGTGGGCTCCTCGGTGGGCTGTTTGGCAGCGGCCATAGCCTCGACCATGCCGACCTCGCGGGTGGTGTCATCGGAGTCGCGGCCGCAAAGGTAGGAGCAGTACTTTGCGACGTCATTGAAGAGCTCGCCGGGGGCGGCCTTTTGGAGGGTGGTGATGATTTGAGATCCGACGACAACACCGTCAGCAAGCTGAGCAACGCTGAGGAAGTGGTCGCGGGTGCTGACGCCGAAGCCAACAGCGGCGGGCTTGTTACCGCTGTACTTCTTGACGCGGGCGACGAGGTCGGGGAGGTTTGCGTTCATGGAGCCGAGGGCGCCAGTCACGCCCTGGCGGGAGACGACGTAGATGAAGGAGTCGGCCAGCTTGCAGAGAATCTTCATGCGAGCGTCTGATGTTGCGGGGGCGATCAGGGGGACGTATGAGAGTCTGTATGTTTATTGTCAGTAGGCAGTGGCTTAGTTGGGAGGCGGTGTGGTAAACATACCCTCCCTTGGTGCAGAGCTTGCGGAAAGAAATGGCCTCCTCAGGGGGCAAGTCGACGACGATGAAGCCGTTGACGCCCGATGTCTTGCAGTCGGTCAAGAGTCTCTCCTCGCCGTAGCTGAGAAGAGGGTTGTAGTATCCCATCAACATCACGGGCGCCTTCAGGCCCTGGTCGCGGGCATCCTTGACCATCTTGAGTGTTGACTCGATCGTGACTCCATGTTGCAGCGCCACCTGTTTCCCCTGTCAGTCCTCGCTGTATGACCAATTGATTCCCATTCTGGCCACTACTCACGGTGTTGGATGTCTGAATAGTCGGGCCGTCGGCAATTGGGTCGGTGAAGGGGGCACCAAGTTCGATCACATCTGTTGAAGTGTCAGTCAGGTGTCCTTTTACCAACGCACAATGTTGCGGGAAGACTTACCAGCGCCACCCTTCTCCATAGCCAACAAGACATTGGGGGTGTCCTGGGGCGTGGGGAAACCAGCGGTAACATAGGTGACGAGCGCAGACTATTACACATTATCGTCAGTCCAGTCCAATTGCTTCTTTCCTCGTCGTTGCTGCGAAATCTTGGCGGTACCAGCGGACGATCGTTATTGGGAGCGGTCTGCGGTACGGCGGGGGAGAGCCCCGCGATCGCGACGAGGGGCAACACAGCAACATGGGGGGCGAAAGACTCACCCTTCCTTGGGCCTTGCAGCGCGCAAAGGTTTGCCTGATGCCTTCCATTTTGTAGTTGTATAGAGAGTAGAAACAAGAAAAAAAAAGTCAATTGGGAAGGGGTATATGGGTAAAAGAACAACTTTATGACTCGCTGGGGGTTTTTGTATCACAAGAAAAACTTGAGATGTGAGAAAGGTTGAAGGTGGTAGTAGTTTTAAGTAGGCGAAAGAATTCCAATGAGAAAAAAGGTACTTAATGATCTCAGACGTGGGGGAGGAAGTAATGACTCTTTGGGCGGGCGGTTTTCTTTTCGGAGCACGGATAGCGGTCTTGCCCAAGGGGCGGGACGGTGTGAAAAGGGTACCTCCCAACGGACGGGAGCTCCGACGTGCCATGCGTGCCCACCCGATACAGCTGCCCGTAGCAAGCTGCGCCTGCTGTAAGGTATCCCGCGGGAAAGGTAATGGATGTGCAGTGTACCAAGTGGGCAGAACACTGGGCACTTAGGATCTATGTCCCCCCCCCCCCCCCCCCCCCCCCAGCACTTCCAAATGACCAAACCAACCGCTATATCGACTGCCCGCCCATCGTCCGCCAAGAGGGATGGCCTGCAATGGTCGCCTCGCCCGATCGATCCCCGGAATGCTCCCTTCGAGCCTCAAGGGGAAACCTACCTACGAGCCGAAGATGCTGGGCACTTCAGTAAAGGCAAATCTTGGAGTCCAAAGAACCCTTGAGCCGAGGCCCTGAACCACTAAGAATCTCTCGAATCAGGGACGAACAGGCCGCCCATCCGGCATCGGTTCCCATCAAAAGGGTGGCGGGTGTGGGGCCGGGAGTCCCTGACGATGACGCCCCAGAAAGTCGGTCGGAGGGCGGGGCGGAGATGCCCAAAAGAGGTCATTCCAGACTTCCGGGGCTCCACTCTTTTCATCCGCCATGGCAAACCGCACCCCCACCATTCATCACCATTGCCCGCCACGGCAGGCAAACAAAACATGGGATTCTCATCTCTCCGTCCATGGCACACGCGACACCATGATATCCGTACAGCGGCCTCTCATAATTCCATTCATGCGGCTATGTCTAAGACTTTCGGTGACATCCTGCCTAAGTATGGGTCCCGTTCTAACTTCTCGGTCCAATTGTCCCGAAAGTCTGTCTTGTTCATCAGATATCGCTTTCCCACGACGTCTGTTCATCTCCGCAGGTGAAGGCAATAAGTTGAAAGGTGTGAACGGAGCTATCTCGAGTACCCACGGAGCACCACACCGAGGGATGATGTTGACGGCGGCTAAAGATTCATCAGAGAAAGTTCAGGTGTCTCGTAGGATTGACCAAGATCAGACGACATCACCGTTGACGTCGCCGCCGCTGCAGCTGTCATCCTCATTACGGCTTACTACCGGCGACGAATCTGACAATTGGATCCGTAGTAGATGTGGCAGTACCGCCCGGAGCTTCAAGTGCGTCACTTTCCCGGCATCAGTCATTCACCTTTCTAGAGCGGCTACATCACTAGCAAATCAGGAAACGAGTGTTTGGTTACAGCTAGCAGTATATTCAATCTTGAACTACCTAGAGGTATATACCGGAGTAGACATCCTGGCAGTCGTTGACGCCACTACAGAACCAAAAGTTCATTCCAGGGAATGAAGAAGTTTGATGACTGGTGTCAATCAGAGCGCAAAAAATGAGATCCTTTGTAGAATCGAAAACAAACGGTGCGGCGATTGAGCCGTTGGTATCTTTTTGAAGTATTCCCTCTCCATCCCTTTCCCATTCCATCAAAAATTCGAAATACCTGATAGTCATGGTCCAACGCCCGAATATCATGCTCTTCGTCTTATCTCTCTTTCAGACCTGTCGTAAATGAGGGGTATCTCTCGGCGTTCGGTCCAGCCCAGGCCGGAGTTATAAAGGTCTCCAACCTCTTTGTCTGTTTTTGTCCTTTTTTTTTCTTTCTGTTGTCGATACTTCGTAGATACCGTTTTAAAACTTGGTTGATGATGCTGTGTCGAGGTGCCCGTACGAGCTTTGTCGTTGATGACCCTCTGTGGGCTGCGCCCTGCCGCTCTGCACGCTTGTCTTCTTTAGGGCCTTCTCATCTCGCATGCCCGAGTACTGCTCATCATCCACAGCAGACGCGTCGCTACCAAACTGTGGGAATCGAGAGTCGTTGCCATGGGATCTGGGCGGGCTTCTCGGGCTCATCGCTGGGCGATCGTCCCCGGTGTAGCGCAACCCGCCCTCACCGCGGCCTTTATCAGGCATAGCCATGCCAACCAGGGCGCGGATGATACCGATGAGAACGACAATGACGTAGATGAGAAGGATGCCAGTGGAGATGAGCGCTTCCTTGATGATGCCCCGTCGGAGCATGTCGGTAACATGAGTCACGGCACCGGTCACCTCGTCCGTTGATACACTTGAGGGTGACGAGAGGAAGGTCTTGAGGTCTGAGTCGCCCGAGATAGACTCTTGAGCGCCGAGGCTGAAGGTATCGTTGTCGAAGAGAGGGAACGAGATCTGCGAGTGATCATGGACCCAAGTAAGTCCTTTCTGGACAGCCTCGACCTTGAGGCCAATCGTGCAGCGAATGACGTCCTTGATGGGGTTAATCAGGATGGTGCCGTTGAAGACAGTCTCCAGACCAGTTGTCATGGTGTTGGTGAATGTGTTCAAGGTGTCGTTGACCGCAGAAGTAGCGTTCGTGACGTAGCCGAGCATGTCTTGATTGATCTCGTTCTGTGTAGACAGCACGACACCATTGGCATCGTCGGCCCACTGCTTGGAGACATCCTGGAGCGAGGTGACGACTTCGCCGGCAAATTCACCGACCTGGTTGGCAAGGGCGGGCACTTCTCTTTCGACAGCCTTGAGCAAGACGTACTGGCACAAGCAGGAGAAAAAGCCAGCAATGGCAAGAGACAGGACGAAGAGAGCGGGAAGTGATGTGGCGTACGCAATGGCCCAGCGAACCAAGATCTGGCGACGGCCCTTAAACTTAGAAGCAATCTTAATACCCCAGGTAGCGGTCATTGGGCGGGAAGCGATGTAGACCACGTCCATTGAGTCGTACTGGTTGCTGGCCATGATCTGAGCGTGCTTTCGCTCACGTCTCCAGCGCCTAATCTCCAGCCAAGCCATGGGTGCAATGACCAGCACAGCCAGGATGCAGAGAACGACAATGAAGATAATGCGAGCCTTCTGAATCATGTCTCGCAGATTGTTGAAGAAGTCGGAGATGTTATTGTTGGTCGAGCAGAACTGGAGCGCCTGCTTTTGGGCGACAGGGAAGACTGATCGATCGAACTTGTAGCCCTTGTAGGCATCGTTGACAGTCTGCTTGAGCAAGTTGAAAGGGAACGAGATGGCCTGGGCCGTCATATTCTGAACCTCCTCAAAGGTGGGCAGGTCGTCGTTGAGCTTGTTGATGTCACTGACGAAGCCGCTGGAGTCGATCTTGATGTCGCGCAGGTCATTGACGGGCCCAGAGAAGTCGACCTTGGGGAAGTCAGGCAGAACGCTACCGAGAACGGAGTTTTCTATTGCGTCCACGGCCTTGTTGATGCCGTCCGAGAGACTCTTGGCCTTATCATCGATGGTGTTGCTGATGTCGCCAACCACCTTGTTCATGGCGTCGGTAACCTTCTTGGTCACGTCAGAGGCAACGTCAAGACCGCCATGGATGAAGGCAGTGATGAGGCAGGTGTACATCGAGGTCATCATGTTGATGACGAAGATGATGAGATTCTGGACACCAGTAAGAATTAGACCTAGTGCGGCAACCATGCCGTCGAGGGTCTTCTCGATGCCCTTGGCTGATAGCTCGTTGACGCCGACAGAGAGATAGTGAGGCATGGAGGCCATGGCGCTGCCGATATCTTCGACCTTTGTGCAAGCAGAGAGTGCTTTTTGATTTGCGTCGTCGACATTGTCGTTGAGGCTGGCGATGAGCAGGATGACTCTGAGGAGGACGAGTAATAGCAAGATCGTCCAGCGGTTCAGCCAGATCTGAGAGAGCCTGGCTTGAAGACTGAGGTATGGTGTTATGGCAGGGGAAGTGTCGGCTCGCGCTTGTTGCGTCTTTCTAAGTTCCGCCATCTCGAGCGAGTCCGACCTGAGAGAGTCGGGGACGGCCGGGTAGGCCGCCTCCTCCTTGCGATTCCGTGAGGAAAACATGTTGATTCTATCGAAGAATGTAAGAAGCCGATGCGAGTAATTCTGAGCCAGCAGATAAAAATGAAAAAGAAAAAAATGGCGAAGGCCAGAAATGAAGTGAAAAAGGACGGCGATCGACGTCGAGGAGCAATTAATTGGTGGAGTTGGTGATGGAATTAGGTGAATCACTCGACACGAAGGGGGAAAAGAGGCAAAGGGGAAAAAGAGAGGAAGGAAATAGAGTGACAAAGGAAACTCGTCGAGCACTGATTTCTGAACAAGCTTCTATTCATTCATTGTGGGGTACTTTTTTTTTCGGGAGAGCATATGAATACACAGGACGAGGATGACTTGGAAGGACGGCAGAGACAAGAGAGGACAGGAATGACTGGGCAGTACGCATAATAAAAAGGAAGCCGACTAACACGGCCAGGCCCACGAAATCGCCCAGCAATAGGCGCGCAACAATCGGAACAAAGTCGAGAAAAGAAAATAAAAGGCGGCTTACCTGATTCACACCGCAATGCCAAAGAAAGCCAGCAATGGGCCCTTTGGCCGTGGCCTTGAAGGGAAATTACCTCGACTTGGCCCAAATCTTTGTTTCGTTTGGCGACACCCAGTGAGGGTGGATATAGGGATTTGGGGTGAGGCTCGTTTTCTAAGCGCGCTCAACGGCCGCTCTCAGCCAACCAAACCTGCCGTCCGGGGTCACGATGAGCGGCTGCCCAAACGCTGCTAAGGCAAAGCGATATTTTCGGAGACCGGAACGGGGCTCTTGAGATTTGATGTCGTGTTGCCCGTATTCAGATCAGATGACGTTACGCCCTGCAATGATAGACTCGATCCGTCTTGTCGAGGCCAGAGCTGGGTGTGAGAGCTGAGAGTCGGGTGTGAGTTTGCTTGGAGAGAGTGAGAAGGTGTGAGGTGGTTTCTGTTGCTCCTACAATGAGGTCTTATCGAACGATGAGACTCTTGCTTGGAACTTGATGAGTGGGATTCGGTTGCGATATCACAAGAGCTATGGCCTTACTCAAGTCAGGCCAACAGTTGGTGGCTTCATGAATGGGGGCGAACTCGAGAGTGATATACAAGTCGAGATTTGAGTCACTGAACAAGGGGACACCACGGAGCAACGGATGAATGGTGCCCATCTTTCCAAAAGTCGCCTTTCCTGGGGTGTAGCAGAGGGTAGAAGGCATTTTAACACAACCTGGTCTCGCTCATAGGCTCGGGTTGATCCAGAGAGCTCACGACAAGAATGCGCTGCGACGTCATTGGCAAGGCCGGGGGATTATTGCGGAGAGCTTCCCACCCGTGCCACCTCGTAAGGATAAGGTACCGTTCTGGTTGCGAGGTGGACGGCGCCGCTCCAGTGGCATCCCCGTCGCGAGTCACGCCAACAGACCAGGTGGTTGCCGGTGGCTGTGCCTGGCGGATGAGGCATGAATGGGTTTGGTGCCGTTGCGGGCGGAGAAACGGTGAGTTGGCCTGGTTAGGCTGGTCTGGACGATTCTGGATTTGCTGGAGCATCCGGGGATGTCGCGAGGTTTGTGTGGTTTTCTCTCGGAAACTGCACGAAGGGTCACGGTAACCGGGAAGAGGATGTGAGGGACCGCAGCGAGCGAAGCAGGAACAGAGCAAAGATCTTCAGCCAACGAACGAAAAGAGACGGCGGATGGCTGGCGCCAGCAGGGGACCCCTGAGGGCATTGCCAAACATTTTGTCCAATCGTCGTGGGAAAAAGGCAATTCGGTTCTCGCCGCTAACATCTAATCCTTGTAAGCAGATGGTAAGAATGGCCGGGAATTGGGCAGGTCAATGGCAAAAGAGTGGAGATGGACCCTAGATAGTTTTTTTGGTGTTGTGATTCGTGACTTACTGGCTGCTCGTCTCTGTGCTCCCTCATCCTGGAGGTTCTTGAGGCTTCAGGTCCCTGCTAAGCATCAAGCAATGATCGATGCCAAGTCTTTTGCCACCGACCACCGCGGAATGCTAAAAACCGGTTTACGACAGGAACGGCCTTTTGGAGGCTGATCTTGGTCAGACGGTGGGAAAAGCTTGTTAAAATCCCACAAATCGTGGCATCCCAGGAATGTTCGTCTAATGGCATTGGCCGGTCATTCACCTCAGGCACAGAGATAAGACTGAAAGAGTGAAGAGTTGGAAGGCAAAGAAGGAACGCAACATGAGATGCCTTGTCGTGCCCTGCTTCTTTCCTGATTTTCCCGACGGTGGCCTCCTCTTGCCGACGAGAGGCGCAGGCGCAGTCGGGCGAGGGTAAGCGTGAGCGTGAGGGTGCCTTCCAAGTTACATTTGTTCCATTATTCCTTCCTCACGAGATTAATCAGGTACTATCGATGGTCGCGACCTGGAAGTCCATGGAACCTGGAATGTTGCGGCATTTGGCAGTGGCTCCACTAAACAAGAAGTTCGCACTTGCCCTGTGCACCCAAGCTCCCACGCTCCTTCCTTCTTTCTGTGGGGTCGTCTCAAGTCTTGACGCTGGCAAAGATTGATTGGCGGCCGGTGGCCCGCGCTCTGCGACGATGGGCGCTTCGCTACAGAACTCATCGTTGCCAGCCATGAGGTCGGCGCTTGCGATATTCAGTACAGAAACCGACAGATGAGCAACCTCAAGTTGAGGGATTCATTTGTGGTCA